CCGACACTCTGACATCAACCTGCCACCCTGAAGCGCATGGCCCCACACCTTGTCCCCTCCGTACGCTCCTGACCGTTATCCCCTTTTGTCGCCATGCGCCCTCCTCTGGGCCTGGCCCCACTGCTCGGGCCTCAGCCCTTGGTCCCTTTTTGGGCCTGGCCCCTTCCTCGGCCCAAGATGGCCTCCTGGCTCTTTACTTGGGCCCTTTCTTCTCTGCCCCCCAACAAAAAATTATCATGATTTTTCTCGTGGATGCGGAAATGAAATTGAATAATCACTCCTTGTATGAGTATGGATGGGTTACATGTATAGGTGTCAAAATATGACCCGACCCGAGTAACCCGCCCAACCAACCCGATCCGCAACCCGCCCGCAACCCGAATGTACTAAAAGTCACCGACCCGCAACCCGCCCGACCCGCAACCCGAATGACCCGTAACTCGATTAACCCGCAACCCGATTGACCCACAACCCGCTTGACCCGAACCCGATTGACCCGCAACCCGCTTGACCCGCAACCCGCTTAACCCGCAACCCGCTTGACCCGCAACCCGACTAACCCGAACCCGATTAACCCAACCCGAACCCGCCCGATTAAAACGAATAATACTACATAATATATTTTAGTGCATAAATATTATATGTAGATAATATATATATAAAGTTTACCTGACTTTGCCTTGTTATTTTTTCATCTTTCCCGCCAAGAATAAAGCTCTACTTTGTATTGCCAATTGCCATTAAATTGAACCACATAATACTATAATAGTCTCATTGTCTGTCTTAGTAGATAAATAAAAATCCTAGAAGGGTTATAAACATTTCACTACAAGAAAAACAATGTTTTGCACCGGTTGCTTTGTGTTGGTTAACTTAAACTACACAAATTTTAGAATTTTTGTCGGTTATTTGAGTCGGGTAAGTGCCCGATGCCATTCTTTTGCTATTTATGTCGGTTAAATCTGCAACCGACACAATTCTTTAATATTTGTGTCGGTTAACATTTGAGTCTGCCAAAACCAGCACAATTATTCGAATTGAGTCGTTTCTTAACTGGCACAAAGTTCAATTTCAATTTTTTGGGGTTATTGACTCTAAAATATTTTCACATACCCGCCCAAATACCCCCTTCCCACCCAAATTGGCTCTCAATATTTCAATCCTGGCCAAAATTTCCCAAGCGGGAGATTTCCCTCCCAATGTGCCTTGTTTAGATTTTTATCCGTCTCTCTTTTTCCCTAATCTGATTAGTCGATTCCCTCTTCACTGTTCTTCTTTTCTCCATAAATTTCCCCTCTACTCTACCATGGTGACGACCAGTACCACCTCAACCTAAAAATCTCCCATCGCAGGCTTCTTAGTCTCCACCAGTGTCCCGATTTGGCGATTCGTCTCCTTCTTCTCCACAAAATGAAGGCCAAGCGAGTGTTGGGTCCAGTTTTAATTGATTTCAGATGGTGGTAAAGCCACACTAGAAGCCACAGCGACGCAACTCAGGGGGTTGTGGAGGCGGTGGTAAAGTGGCTGGGAGGAGGAAAAATGAAGGGCTTGAGCGAGGGTGAGCTGGGTTTGGATTTGGGATTCTGTTTTCTATGTGCCTGGGTTTGTGGGTGCCCTTGTGTTCTCTGGATCTGGTGGTTCCTTTTCTGTAGCCATGTTGGGATTCATAGAAAGAGGGGAGGAAAGCAGGGGAGGGCCGCTGGCGAATTGAGAGGAGCTGGAGATTCTGGGTTCAATGGCTTGCAAAGACAGCAGGAGATTCTGGGTTTCCGAACAATATAGAAAGATGATTGCTTCTGGAGAAGCAAGCTTGAGATTCTGGGTTTCCGACATGCTCTACAGAAGAACGGTCAGAGGCAGCTTGTAAGATCCGTTGGAGATCCAGAGCCAGGCAGCGAAGATCCAGCGGAGAGCCAGATTTATTTGGCGTGAGACGCAAAATGGCCGGTGGGGAGGATTTGAGACCCAAAGTGGGTGATTTGCGTGAGGTGAACGACGAGGAGGGTGGATGCAGATTCGTCGTGGTGGCTGGATTTTCGTGAGAAAGAAACAAGCCTGGCGGGTGGATAGATTAACGGAGATTGAAACAGGCCGGCGACTAGATGCGTCTGGCCCGGACAATTTATTTTATAAAAAAAGTGGTGATTTGAGTTGGTTAGTCAACCGAGACAAATGTTACAATTAAAATAAAAAATGTGTTTTTTTCTTTAATGAATTGACTCGATTTTGAACCGACATAAATATGATTTATGACGGTTATTTCAGCGGTTGTCCAAAACCGACACAAATTCGTTTAGTGTTTGGTTGGTGTGTATAAATAATATATATAGATAACACATATACATATAAAAAACATGATTGACTTAATTAAACCAATCATATATCAGTACCTAATAATTACATCATTTTTCTTCCACACATAATATAACTAGTCACTTAACATTGTCAAAATATTAACCTAACATAAGAAGTTTCGTAATAGTACATAAGTCATAACTCATAACCTAATTCCAATCATAAGAAGACACATAACAATTTGCTTACTAAGTTCTACCATATCGAAAATAGTAGGATTAGGACGTATGTTCTTCTCGATAATCGAATATAAAATTGACGTAACTTACATTCTTCACATAACATAGGTTATAGTTTATACCAACAATTTCATAACATATAACTATAGTTCATGGTTTAAGGTTAGTGCATAGGGTATACGGTCGTGGACTCGTGGGTTAGAGTTAGGAGGATTAGGACGTATGTTCTTCTCAATAACCGAATCTAAATTGACTTATCTTACATTCTTCACATAACATACGTTATAGTTTATACGAATAATTTCATAACATATAACTATAGATCATCGTTTATGGTTAGTGTATAGGGTATAAGGTCATGGTTTAGAGTTTAGTGTTTGGGTTATGGTAAAGGGTTGAGGTTAGTTTTAGGGTAATGTATGGTTGATGGTGTTATAGGATAAGGGTTTAGGATTTCTTCATGGTTATGCTTTATGATAGATATTTTGGTTTTTATATTTTATTATTAATCTGTTTTAACAATTAATTTAGCTATTCAACAATTCAATCCCCAAATATCTGTCCCAAAATTCCCTCCCCATACCCACAAAAGAACTTTTAAAACCCCGCCCAAGATTTGGTCCAAAATTCCCTCCCAAACCCGCAAAACACTTTTAAATCCCCCGCACTATATTTTGTCCAAAGGCCAAAATTCCCTCCCAGCCTCCTTTTTTGTAACAAAAAATATATAGAATATTAATAATATATTTTTTTAATTCTTTAATGAATTGACATTAGTTAAGAAGGGAAAATACAAAATGGTTGCGTGAACCAAGGCCCAGCCTCATTGCAAAATGGTGATCGGTGAGTTTGTTTTAAATTAGTGTAATAACTAATTAAAAAAAATTTGATGGTTTGGACCGAACAACCCGCAACCCGACCTGTTGTAACCCGCTATCCGATCAACCCGAACTCGATTGATCCGCAACCCGATCAACCTGTAACCCGTTTGATCCGCAACCCGATCGACCCGAACCCGATTTTCCCGCAACCCGATCGACCCGCAACCCGATCAATCCGCAACCCGATCAACCCGAACCCGCTTGACCCACAACCCAATCGACCCGCGACCCGATTAACCCGCGACCCGAATGAACCCGACCCGAACCCGCCCGATTGACACCTATAGTTACATGGGTATGTGTTTAAATGTTTGGAGTCGAGAATAATTTAGGGGTCGTTTGGATTAGAGTTTCTTATGAGGGATTTTGGCACAATCTCTCACAATGAGAGATTTTAATGAAATTACTCGTTTGGAAAGTGATTAATTAGTGAGAGATTTTAAACATTAAGAATTTAAAAAAACCCTCAAACGTGGGTTTTCAAAATAGCTGATGACCACCAGCTATTTCGAAATCTCTCGTTTTAATTTTTTCATTTCCAAATGTTACCCTTCGGCCTTCCTTCTCCCTTCAATTCGAAGAGTAGACGCCGCCATTCAACATCAATGAACGCCTCCATCGGCCACAAAGCCCAGTCGCATCTTAGGAGCCGGCGGCGGCTGGTCCCGACCACTAAAGTCGACGGCGGCATCTCACAGCCCAGCCGCCATCAAGCTTTCTTTGCTGCAGAACCCATTGTGATTCATCATTCCTCTTGACGATGTTGTCAAGAACCCATTGTTGCAGAAACCGCTCTTCTTCCCGCAACCCATTCCCCATTCCCCCACTCTCCGCGATGTCGTCCAATCCTGTCGTTTGGGTTGTTTCTCTGCAGCACAGATCGCAGTAGCCATCAAATCTAGGTTCTTGAATCCAGTAATTGAATCTGATTCTGGCGATTGGAGGGGTCCGTCCATGGGAGCAGATGAATCGTCTTAAGGGATGACGATGACGAGCGACGAAGGTTGTGCCCATCCATGTCAGTAGATGAATCGTCCAAATTGAACCCAGAGGGCAGTTCTCCTGTTCGTTCCCATCGACGAGCAGAGTGGTTGGTGGTTCTGGGTTGATTTGCAACTCCGATATTTTGCAATCGATGAGGAAGATCTAGGTTCCTCTTCCATAGCCACCGCCAAATTGCGATATCGACGCCGGCGAGATCGCCGCCTGGAGAGATTGTAGTCCGGCAAGATTGCCGTCTAGCAAGGGCACCGGCCGTGAGCATGACAAGTTCGTCGGCTTCTTTGTCTGGTGGAGTTTTCCAGTCTTCGGTGGTTGAACAATGAACAGGATGTGAGAGGAGGAAAAAGGAGATGAGGGTACATTAGTCTTTAGCCAATTAGGGTTAAAATCTCTCATGTCTAACCAAACGAGTAAATTGGTTCAAATACCTCATTAAAATTTCCTGGGTTTTTAGTTGAGTGATTTGGGCCCAAATCCTTCATAAATCTCTCGAATTAAAATTCCTAATCCAAACGACCCCTAGGGAAAATCTGCCCCAAATCCGTATCATTGTAATCCCGGTCCAACCGACTGCTCCGGTCCGGTCCAGTATAAATACTAAACAGTAACCAACCACAGAGAATCAAAATCGTTTTTCCAATGGGGGAAAAACAATAATGAAATCGAAAAGATAAAGTAACGGAATAAACTGAAAGCGTACGCAGGATAGAGGGAGGGAAGGAGAGAGATGGTGGAGAAAGAAGCGGGAGAGGATGACGGTGGCGCCACCACTGCCGCCGCCGCCGCTTCTTCTTCCATGAGCTTCGACCTTCCGGAGGAAGTACTGCAAGTTCTGCCGTCGGATCCATTTGAGCAGCTTGACGTCGCCCGCAAAATCACCTCCATCGCCCTCGCCACACGCGTCTCCTCCCTCGAGGCAGAATCCTCCTCCCTCCGCGCCCAGCTCGCCGACCGCGATAACCTCGTCGCCGACCTCGAGTCTCAAATTGAATCCCTCGACGCCTCCCTCTCCGCCGCCTCCGACAAACTCTCCCTCGCCGACCAAGAGAAGGTCATATATTTCCTCCCCCAGCTTGAATTGTTGCTCATGGTGACTCGCCGGCTGAATTTTTTTTTTAATTTGGGGGTTGACCAGGATAAATTGTTGAGGGAGAATGCTTCGCTGTCCAGTAATGTCAGGAAGCTCCAGCGCGATGTCGCCAAGGTTCGAATTTCTTCTTGAATTGACCGGAATTTCACAACTCTCTTTTGTTAGGGTTTCGTAAGTGAGGAATTCTGATTGCTTGTTTTGGGATTAGTTAAGTTTCTCATATTCTGCTGTTCGAAAAATGGTATTGCTTGCAGTTGGAGGTTTTCAGGAAGACGCTAATGCAGTCGCTTCAAGAGGATGAAGACAGCTCTGTGAAAAGCACTGTGAGTAGTTTGGTTTCATTTCATGAATCGAAATTTTGAGTCTTTTTGGAGTTGAGAAGTTGATAGGAAGTTTTATTTTCTCTTTTTTTCTTCTTCACAGGGTGGCGGAGGAGGCGCTGCTGTAGGAGCTCATCATATCATCGCTAAGCCAACACCTAGCGGTAATATCGATTTGTGCATTGCCTTCCTTTTCGTTGTCCCGTTGGAAATGTTCTTCATGAATGGAGCTAACTAACTTAGGGAGATTTTCTCTCTCTCGCACGGATCTCATACAGAGGATGATACAATGTTGCCGCCTTACAGATCATCTTCAACGGCGAGCCAGTTCTCAGAAGTGGGGAGCTCTTATGCCGAGGATCGCAGCTCAGATGGTATATGCCAATGCTAACCACTAACCTGGAAAATCTTTTGAAGTTGATTAAACCTACTTTTTGAGCTTTTCAAACTACTTATGTATGTGAAAATGTGTTTTTGGTTGATGTTGTTTTGTTAGCAGCATCAAGGCCTAGTGTTTCAATGTCGATGCTGCTAGCATCTCAGACAAGCACACCGAAGCTGACACCGCCTGGCTCTCCTCCGAGCTTTTCAGCTAGTGTATCTCCTACAAGATCGTCTAAATCCGCTTCACCAAGGCGAAGTACCATGTCATTTTCTACCTCGAGAGGGATGCCTGAAGACAGGTTCTCGTCTCTCCCACCAAGCCAGTACAGTTCCGTATCGAGCTCTGACACAGCATCACAGACTGGTTTGTGATTTAACTACTTCCAATGCAGATAAAAAGAATTAGGTTGTTCTTTTATCTTACATGGATGTCATGTTTTGCTGTTACAGGAAGAGCTCGAGTTGACGGGAAAGAATTCTTCCGCCAAGTTAGGTAATCACTGGCTCGAATCGCATTTCCTTTTCACTCTTGGACTCAGTAGCTTCGAGCTTCTGACTCCCGGGTTCCCTGCTATTAGTTGTTGAATCTTAACCTATTTCCATGTGCGTACAGGAGCCGTTTGTCATACGAGCAGTTCGGTGCATTTCTGGCTAATGTCAAGGAATTGAACTCCCATAAGCAAAGCAAAGATGTATTTATCTATCTCATAGTCATTTCACTCCCCGATTCTGTAACGTCCCTTTAAATGCAGATCAACCATCATTGTTTTTAATGCAACTACATCTGTTCTACAGGAAACATTGAGGAAGGCAGAGGAGATTTTCGGGTCGGAGAACAAGGACCTTTACGCCATATTCGAAGGATTGATCTCTCGAAGCAGCGTTCATTGAAACACTCCCATTACCAGGTTCCTGTATCCAGATGTTGTGTTCTTGCCCCCCGCCCCACATTTTTTCTTCTCGGGTGTAAATTCTTCGTCATGTACACAACTCTCCTCTTCTCTGTCTTTCTCTCCACTTCCATCGATTATGTGCATGTTGTATTACTTCACTGACTGCTAAATTTTAAGCCTGAGAAAAGGATCTCACTGATATTGGACGAAGGGATACTTAATAATAAGTTATTTTATAAGGGGAATTCCCTTTTCGCTGCAGTTTGCTTCGAGGTTTGGAATACAGAAGGATTCGAGGCTGTAAGTATGATAATGAATGAGGGTTAGTGCTTTGATTATTCAATAATAGACAATTAGCAAACGGTAACAAGATTGTGATCAAGTCTAAGTCAGGCTGTCTGCACTTTCTTTGTGTTCCCAGTTGAGATCTCTACTGCGTGTTGCTTCGGTTTGCTGAAGTTCCTCCTTCAAAACAGCTTTCTCACTTTTGACAGACTGAAGCTAAGGCTTTATGGGAATCTATTATCGGTTTCATAACTTTCATCAATCCACATTCACATTTTTTCAAAGACAACCGATTCTCACTTATGCATTGATCTAATATTATTGGTTATTGGACTTAATTTTAATTCACATGATTTTATTGTAATTAGAGGCTTATTGTGCACTTTTTATTATTAATGTTGGTGAGTTGACATGCTGATTCAGATATTTGGATGAAAAATTTGACAACCGGATTAAGGATTCAATTGGAAGTTGGGATGTTAATGTATTGTTGTGAATGCATGTATAATATTATACATGTATTGTTGAATTTGATGCATTGTAAAATACAACGTTTGGTATGTGTGATTGTGTATGTCACATTAGTTAAAAGCTGAGACAAAACAATCTTAACTCAACTATCTCAACAATCGCAATTAAAAGGAGAGATATAACAATCACACATTTTGAGTGATTGTTTCTGTCACATCATAAAAACAATCCACGTATTTATTTCTGTTAAAAAAATGATGCATTCTAAACAATACATGTATAATAACAATCTCACTAAAACAATCGCAACTTCCTAACGACCCCTTAGTGAATATTATGTAGTAGATAATCAAAGTTCAGTGATTGATTTGTCGACGAATCCAATTATTTAGTGACTGTTTGTGCAGTTGTTATTTACTTAATCCATCCATAGGGGTGAGCAATGTTCCGGTCTGGGACCGAGTATAATGCGGTACGGTAAGGTCCACATGAATTTTATAATCACTGAAAAAATGATGTACCAAACTGATATTTAGACAGGACTGAACCGAACCAAATGGACTGAATGCAATGATGGTCCGGTCCTTGGTCCTAAAGATGTCTTTCACTAATTTCTCATGAGTTTGATCCTGTCTGGTCCATCTCTTTTTTTTTTGGTGTATAGGAAATTCAATTACAAGTAATTAAAAGTTGAAGAAAACAAAAACATGTGCTGGGAAAACTCCAGCCACAACCTCAAGTCGTATTCGGGTTCCCAATGTGTCCCACTCCCATTTTATCTTGGCGCAAATATAACTCCACACTCGGGGGGGGGGGCAGTATCCCAGCATTCCTCGGAGTGCCCTAATTGGTGTCCTAGTTTAGCTAGGCAATCGGCAACAGAATTAGCTCCTCTTGGCACAAAAGAAATCGTAGCCTCCCAATTATTTGTCAGAAGACTACGACAATCATCTATCAATACCCAGTCTGGGTGGGTTGAAGGGGCATTTCCGCGTATCAATAGTATCGCTGCTTGTGAATCCGTCTCAACTTCAATTCTTCTAATTCCAAGCCTCCAAACTAAAGATAAACCATCTCTTATTGCTCTCAACTCTGCAGATAAAATAGAGCACCGGCCAATATTGTGAGCGAAACCATAAACCCATGTTGCTTGGGAGTCCCGAACCACACCGCCAATGGCAGCAAGTTCTGTATGTGAATAATAGCTACCATCCACATTAAGCTTCCATCGTCCTGATTTTGGAGGTTGCCACCGAACCACAGTCGGAACTTGTCGTGGCGTATCTTTCATTCGTTGTAAGGCATGAATATCTTCAGCCCACTTGTGGATGTGTTGCCACAAACCTACTCTTGAAAGTCGATCTCTCGCGTGGTTTAGCCATAAGAAGGACTTTAATCTTTGGGGTGCTTTTAGTTTCCAAATCCACCTACAATCTGGTAATGGGTGGTGTTGTGGAACCTCCTGTTGAGAGCTTATAAATGAGTACGCTGACTTTGCTGAATAATTTCTAGAAGATGAGAGAGACCAAATAATTGCATCCGGAACTTTAGAATTTTGCGGCAACGGCAAAGCCCGCATGCAGTCTAATACATGTTCCGGAAAATTCTGAGGGAATGAATTAAGTTTCCACTGTCCCTCCCTGGTCAACATGTCACTTACTCGCAGCTCGAGATTGATCTCGCTACCATCAATCTCTGTTAGCTCTAGCAAAGAACCAAATGGTAACCATGTGTCACTCCAAAATTTGACATCTGAACCTGTCCCAATTCTCCAGCGAAAACCATTTTTGACGATGTTGTAGCTTTTGACAATTCCCTTCCAAATCACAGAAGCTGTTTGACCGCCATTCTTCAAATCTCCATACTTATGAGTTAAAACTTTCACCCATAATTTATCTTTTTGGGTTTGAAATAACCATGCCAATTTACCTAGCAAGGCGGTATTTGTGTCGCGTGATCGTCTAATGCCCAATCCTCCGTCATTCTTCGACCTTGTCACTGTACGCCATTTGACTAGCGACATTTTTCGCTGCTGTGGAGTACCTCCCCAAAGAAAATTTCGAGCTACTCTGTCTAACTGCTTACAGGTCTCTTCAGGTAGCCATGTTGATTGCATAGTGTGGATCGGCAATGCAGAAATGGTAGATTTAATATATGTCTCTTTTCCCGCCAACGACAACATGCGACTTTTCCATCCCGATAGTCTCATTTGCAGCTTTTCCAATAGTGGAAAGTAAAGTTCCTTGCTCTTTCTTCCATGTATGAGAGGAACTCCTAGATATCTACCGAGATTCGGTGTCATCTGAATGAATTCCCAATGTGGTAGAAATCTCTGCTTTTGCAGCAAGTGGGCTTGATTGGGAGAAGAAGACCACAGATTTAGAGGGATTGACCAATTGCCCTGAAGCTTGACAAAACACCTCAAATACCCCTTTGATAGCAGTGGCTTGTTGGTTATTTGCTTTAGCAAATAAAAGGAGATCATCAGCGAAGAAGAGATGAGACAACTTTGGTCCATTTCTGCTAACCTGTACCGCTTGCCACGTTCCATCTTCTACCTTGGCATTGATCAACATTGATAATCTTTCCATACATAATGAGAATATATATGGTGATAGAGGATCACCTTGTCGCAGTCCTCGAGTTGGAGAGAATCCCTCTGTAGGTGCACCATTGATCATAATAGCCAACTTAGCTTGAGAAATACAAAACATAATTAGCTTGATCCACTTCTCCGGAAACCCGAAGAACACCAGAGTGTCCTCTACAAACTCCCAACTCAGCCGATCATATGCTTTGATCAAATCAAGTTTGATAATCATGGATGCATTCTTTCCTTTTCTCTTCCGAATGCTGTGTATCACCTCTTGAACAATAACAACATTGTCATGTGTAGCTCTTCCTGGAACAAAACTAGCTTGAGTAGGCCCAATCAATTCATCTAAATGGGGACGTAACCTGTTAACAAGTGTCTTTGTCACAATCTTGAAAAGCACATTACACAAAGAGATAGGACGAAACTGTGATGGGGTATTGGGTAATTGCTCTTTAGGAATCAACACCACTAGAGCTTCTGCCACAGAGGCACTGAAAGAACCGGTTTGAAATGCCTCTGCAACAAATTTCCATACCCCATTTTTAAGTTTCTCCCAAAACCTTTGATAAAATATAGGAGAGAATCCATCGGGACCCGGAGCTTTCATGGGATGCATGCCAAAAACTGCAGCCTTAACTTCCTCGATTGAGATAGGGTATGTCAATGACCTGCAAGTGTTCTGACTCAAGGGTAGCCGAGGTATCACCAGGGGAAGTGAGCTTCGCCGGCTAGTGGTCCATCTCTTCTATCAATTAGGCATAAATCATTTCCAGCTAATCAGACGGGCCCAATAAGTTTTTCTTGCGGGCCGATCAAACTCAACGACCTAAGCCCAAGTTCCCAACATACCAAGAAACCGCTTAAAACTAAAGAAAGATTCCTTCGTAAGAGTTGTCCATGGTACATGTGGCGGGGACCCAATACATGGGGGAAATCTGAAATTTTCACACCACCAGGATCTACATGCGAGCTTGCTCTTCTTCCTTTTTTAGCCAAAATTCAAGGAGGAAAAATGGTAGAGAGAAAGAAGAAAGAGAGCAAAAATCGTTTGAAATTCTTAACTTGATCAATAAACAAGCTCCCATCTCTCTCTGTAATTTCACGATCTTCGGCTTTATCACCTTCCCCCCTTCCCCTGCGTTTGCCGCAGTGAGAAGAGAGAGACACGGAGAGAGAGGGCAGCGAGTTTCTCCCTCTCTCTGGGAAGCCTTAATATCATGGATGGTGGTGGCCGATCAACGGCTCCTTCTCAAGCTTCCTCGTGGTCGTCGTTTCAACATTTTAACCTCTGGACCAAATTCTCCAGGTAATTTAACCCACATTTCCTCCTCCTTTCTTCCTGCACTTTACTTTCCTTTCTTTTCCTTCTTCTTCCTCCTTCGTTGTTTCTGGGGTCAAGAGGAAGAGAAACAAAAACAAACAATGTCATTTGATCAGACATTGTTGATACAAACTTCTAGTTTGGTTGCATGTTTGTCTTCCAACTGTCAATCTTGTAATACTCACCAAACATACAAATAATTTTGTATTTTTTCATTTTTGAATTTTCGTTGTGTATGCATGGTGTTCGGTCATTTGCCTCAAAGAAGGGAAAAAAAAAATTGGTGGTTATTTTTTTTGTTTTGGCAGTGGGAACAACAGTTCTTCTCGGGAGCCCGCCAAAGAAGCCATCCAAGACAAAGGGCCGCAACCTATCACAGGGAGAAGAAGTCGAGCTGGGTTCTCCGACTCCTTTCAAGATCTTGGTATGATCAAAGTTGTTGTCTTTTTTCTTTGCTTCCTCCCCTTGCGTTTTCCTTTTTGCCTCCACATTCTTCTTGTTGGTTTTCTTTCTTTATTTATTTATGAAAAAAGGAGATTACGATAACCATAAAAAGATGGGATTATGATGGTAACATCAATGGTAGACCGGTTTTTATCTCAGACGTGGGATCTTTAGTTGCTGACGACCACGACGAAGGCAACGATAAAGTTCAACATCACCCTCAAGCTGAAGCTAATAATACAAAATCTCAGCAGGAAGAAGTGGATACAAAGGTCAAACATCCAGAGCCCTCTCCAAAAACAGAAGCATTCGAAGATAGCCCCGATGTCATTAGCCCAGAATCCGTCGTCGTTTCCCAGCCTATAGGAAGTCCCAAAGAAAGCCCCGCCCCCACGGGCACCCCGCCGGCCAACAAAGCATCACCATCATCAGCAACAACTGCTACTTCTGATCAACCCCAACTCCCCACCACTTCTAGCCCCGACACAATATCCTTAGTTCCTTTGGTCTTGCGTGATTTCTGCAAGGCGTTTAAGAAAGGCCCCGCGCCATTGATAAAAAAACAGAACATCGCTAGTTTGAGAAAAGCTGTCCCTAAGCTCACCAGAAGGAAGAGCAAAAGGGTTCGAGAGGGCATGGTTCCACCATTGAGCTCCCCTTTGGATGCTGAACTTTGTTACCTCAAACCCTCGTGGAAGAATTTCGCTCTCTGCGAGTTGCTTGCCGCTACAGATAACTTCAGTCGGGGTTTGCAAATTTTTTCCTTCTCTCACTTTTCATTTTTGCCTTGATCAAGCTGAAATGAAAATGTTATGAAATTTCTGTCGTTTTTTCTCTCTCTTCATCTTGAAGATAACTTGATTGGAGAAGGAGGGTATGCTGAGGTTTACAAAGGGCAATTAACAGATGGGCAGTTCGTCGCTATAAAAAGACTAGTCAGAGGCACTTCACCTGAAGAGATGACCATGGATTATTTATCTGAGCTAGGTATAATCTGCCATGTTGACCATCCCCATATTGCTAAGTTAATTGGGTATGGTGTTGAAGGGGGAATGCATCTTGTTCTTCAGCTGTCCATCAATGGAAGCGTCTCATCTTTACTCTACGGTTAGCTTCTTACTTGAGATTAACAACGTGATTAAGGTTTTAGATTAAAATGTGTAATTATAGTTGTTCTTCTTCATTCATAGGGCCAAGGGAAAAGTTGACTTGGCCGATTAGGTACAAGATCGCTACCGGAACTGCTGAGGGGCTCTTGTACCTTCACGAGGGTTGCCAGAAGAGGATCATCCATAAAGATATAAAGGCTGCTAATATTTTGCTCACAGAAGATTTCGAGCCTCAGGTTTGGTTGATTAACTTTTAGATACCTGACGAATTTAAGCCCTCAATTATGTTAACATTTCTATCATGTGCCAATGCAGATTGCCGATTTTGGGTTAGCAAAATGGTTACCAGAGCATTGGACTCATCACACTGTATCAAAAATTGAAGGAACCTTTGGGTTTGTAAATACCATATCTTCCACTTTCATTACTTTGCAAATTGCATTAAGCTCATTTCTAAATATATACTTTTTAACTTGCTCATTGCAGTTACCTTCCTCCTGAATTCTTCATGCATGGTATAGTAGATGAGAAAACGGATGTTTTTGCTTATGGTGTGCTATTACTAGAGCTCATCACAGGAAGACAAGCAATCGACAGTTCACAACATAGCCTCGTGATGTGGGTGTGTACGATACTCTCCCCTCTTTCCTTCCAGCTTTAAATTCATCCATTTTATTCTACAAATACAAACAAAGAGTCTTGAACTACTGTTATCTTCCTTCTTTTGTGCAGGCTAAACCATTTCTGATGCAGAACAAGATCAATGAGCTAGTCGATCCAGTCCTGGGCGACTCATACGACATGGAACAAATGGAGCGACTTGTTTGTCTAGCTGCAATGTGTGTTGAACAGGCCTCGATTCAGCGGCCACAGATGAGCCTGGCGGTGGAGATTCTGAAGGGTGATGGGAGCACATTGGAGGAAGTGAAACGAAGGCAGAAATCCAAGCTTCAAAGAACTTACTCCGATGAGCTCTTTGATGCGGATGAGTACAATTCCACGAGGTACTTGAGTGATCTCAACATACATATGGAGGATCTCTTGGAACCGGATGATAATGATAACAACAATGAGGATAACAACGAGGAGGCTCATGTCGAGGCTCCTGAACATGTCAAGCCGCTATCAAAAGATGAAGACGAGAAGTCCTCGAGCCATGATGATGATGATGCAGAGAAGTTATTGAAGGTTGAGGAGGTGAAAGCGGCAAACGATGCAGAAAACTCATTTAAGGTTGATGAGGTGAAATCGACAGATGGTGACAAAGGGAAATCAAATGAAGGGGAACATAAAATAGAATCAAAAAATTAAAGACAAAAGGGAGTTATTGCTTAACACTAAGCTAACCTCTATTTATTATATGTAGTTCTTGTCCTAGAAGAAGATCACCGGTGAGGCAATTTTCTTGGAAAGTCGGTAACTTTCAGAAACTCATAGCGGATTTGATTTTCGATTTTGGCTTGTATAGGTGCTTCAACAATTTATCAATGTTTCACATTAGCAGAAAAAAAAAAAATCTATGAACAAATGAACACTTCGTTTTTGTATAGAAATAAAACACAGATTCCTTTTGTTTTTTATATGAAATGAAAAAGAAATAGCACTATAGCAGACATTTTCAGCAGCGACGGGAAAGCTTTAAGCACATCGCAACGCGTCATTTAAGCCTTGTTTCTAGCAGAACGGTGTCGTTCGGTTGTTTGATGGACTCGTCGCCGTTAGCCGTTTTGTCAACGTTATCCCTTCCGGCGAAAGCAAATCTCTTCCTCCGCTACTAATTACTTCTCTTCTCAACCGCCAACGCCAAAAAAAAGATCAATTGGCACAAAATCCCAACTCCATGGCAACTTCGATCTTCCTTTCGCAGCGTCTCTTCTTCTTCTTCTTCCTCTTCTCGATTTCATTGCTGATCCACGAATCCACCGCCTACCCTGCTACTGCCAGCTCCATTGTTGACCCCTCCAAAGTCAAACAGGTCTCATGGAAGCCAAGGTTTGCTGCTCGAACTTTGGACATGGGTTTACTAGCTCGCTTCCCCTTCTCGTCAAAGATGGCGCCTTTTTTACTTCTTCTCTTAATGGGTTCTTTTTTCGCCATTTTCTGCAGGGCATTTGTGTACCAAGGGTTTCTTACCGCCTTGGAGTGCGATCACCTGATCTCCCTGGTGAGTTGGTTACTGTTTCTTTGACCAGTTCGAATAGAGAGTGAATCTGTTTCTCCTCTGATTTTCTTGTTGGCGGGTGAGAAACTCTTCAGGCGAAATCGGAGCTGAAGAGATCGGCTGTTGCTGATAATTTGAGTGGGCAGAGTACGCTGAGCGAAGTCCGGACCAGCTCTGGGATGTTCATTCCTAAGGGAAAGGTTTTGCTGCTTCCTTTTACTTTCCGTTTTTAGCATGCGTGTTCTTGAATGGGATCTTGTTAGAATAATTAGCTTGCTTCGATTCTCCCAATTTGGGGAGTTTTCTTTGAGTTTCCTAGTTAGTCTTTGTTCTGTTGTAACTGTTATTGTTCTGCTACTTTCTAGGATCCAATTGTTGCTGGCATTGAAGAGAAGATTGCAACTTGGACGTTCCTTCCAAAAGGTTTTTCATTTGCCCTAATCATACTTCTTGACCTATTTCCTTATCCCTCAGTTCGTTCTGATTTCAAGTTCTTTACTTGGGCTTCTTCTTGCAATGTGATGGATGAATTGAAGAAGCCAAACGGTTGTTGTTCCAATGCATGTTCATCTTGTGAAACATATTTGACTAGTGAATGTGAATTGTATAGTTTACCAGGCTGGTTTCTACCCTTGGGAAGATTCCCTGTGTTTTCCTTTCTTGTGCTTTTTGTCTTGCAAACTTGTATGAGGCATATAGAAGTGGTTCCTTGGCTTCTCTCATGTCTCTTTCTTTTTCAGACAATGGAGAGGACATCCAGGTGTTGAGGTATGAGCATGGGCAGAAGTATGATCCTCATTACGATTACTTTGCTGATAAGGTCAACATTGTTCGTGGTGGACACCGTGTGGCAACTGTGCTCATGTACCTTAGTGATGTTGAAAAGGGTGGCGAGACCGTGTTCCCTTCTGCTGAGGTTAGTAGTTCAAAGGTCTCCCTTATAATCTTCTTCCTCAAGTTACTAGATAGGTTGGTTCAAGTGTCAGAATTGACTGTCCCTAGTACTCTGTGACTGTAATTTATGAAACAAATTTTGGCAACAGGAACCTCCACGTCGTCGTAATGTTGTGAAAGAGGATCTCTCTGAATGTGCTAAGAAAGGAGTTGCAGGTGAGTTTGTGCAGATGTGAATTAAATGTCTTGGTGGTCATTCAACTATGTGTGCTTGTAACTAAAGGATCACTGAATTGGAAATTTTAGCAGCACTCATGTTCGAGAAACAGTGATTGCATCTAATCTGTAGATAAATTGACCAAGTCAACCTGCCAAATAGTCTTACATGTCACAGTAACCGCTCAATTAGCAAGCATCCCCCACGCAACCACCTAATCCAAATCGTTTTCCTACTCGAGGATGGACTGGGTCATAGGTTCATTGGCTTTGCTCGCGTGTTGAATGTTAGGTTTGTGTGTTGGGGTCAAGTTGGGGGTCACCTGACCTAACCCTTTCCGAACTTGTGAATGGGTTGGTCACGTGGTTTTGCTTGTAACGTTGGCAGTAAGGTTTGTGGGTTAAGACCAAAGTAGGTGCTTGGGTGCTGATTAGGATGATTCTGGTCACGTAGCGAACCTATTTGCCAAATGTTTACTCATAAGGGCTAGTGGCAATTTAGATGGAATGAAACTGAATGATGTTATGTTGCAAACCACATAGTTTAATGACCATTTAGGCCCAGAACTCGTACATGATGATCAACTGCTTTATTGACAGTCGGACATTGGGGCCATCTCAATTTGCTCTTTCTTGTTCAATTTCCCTTTCCCCAGAGTGGGTGTCATCTCATCATTTCAGCTCACTAGTGTTTCGAACTAAAACCTTGCAGTGAAACCACGAAGAGGAGACGCACTGCTATTCTTCAGCCTGCTCCCAACAGCCATACCGGACACCAGCAGCCTCCACGCTGGTTGTCCAGTGATCGAGGGCGAGAAATGGTCAGCAACAAAGTGGATCCACGTGGACTCATTCGACAAGAACGTAGAGGTTGGTGGGAACTGCACCGACCAGAATGAGAGCTGCGAGAGGTGGGCAGCCCTAGGGGAGTGCACCAAGAATCCCGAGTACATGCTGGGTTCAGCTGAACTTCCCGGCTACTGCAGAAGGAGTTGTAAGGCGTGTTAACCCGCCTCTGGCATCACTTCCCTTCTGCAATCTAGACACGAGTTTGAGTTCCCCCTTGTATCTTTCTGGTGTTTGGCCCAAGTTTTGTGATGAACCTCAAGCTGTTGTACTTGTTTGTTTGTTGTGGAAAATGTTTGTAGATTGTTGTTGGATCCTCCCTTTGCTTACTTCTGGTAAAGTTTCTGTAACATACATGACGACTTGTTAGAAAAAAAATGTTATAGATTGATATTAGACTCTGCTGATTGTATTGCTATTAAACTCAACTTGAGCAGGGTGAGGATTAGGTTCTAGAGTATTGATAACCTAAAAGAATACTGGCAAATGATCTAATGAACAAGAATTTGTACTGACAAAGTTGCTCATATTAAATAGAAAGATGAGATTTACGTATCAATTGTATGAAAGCGATATAGTAACGTATAGACAAAAGAAAACTATCGTAATAATGAGATAAAGATACAATTGGACTCCACTTAAACTACAAAAACAAATTGTACCTATCAGGAGTAGCTGTACTTTGATTGAAGAATCTAACTGGAGATCTTAGTCTTCCTATTCTATTGCTCCAATCTAATCTTGTTACATATAAAAATGAGCCAATTAATTAATTAATTAAGCGTATGAGGTTGTCAATCCGCTGGTTGACCCGGACCCGGTCGAACTAGTGGGTCAAGGGTTAATGGGTCAACCGTTTTAGCCCGGTTTGGCCCGGAAATATGAAAAAGTCATTATATTGTACTTATCCTTATAAATTATATCAAATCTTATCTAACATATGAGTTATAACATATAATATTACACCAAAATAACATATCGTACTTAGATCCAGCATAAGGTGAAAATTCACACACACTTATACAACATCAATATTCAAATATTCAACTTAGGATTCCAAAGATTGAGTTAGGCGAAAAGAAAAATCGGAAAATAGGCGCATTTCGCAGACCAAAGAAAAAAATGACACAATTTGACTTTCAACCCGGTACCTTGTAGCAGTCGACCCGACGAGTGCGTGCGGCCCATTTTTCTCACCGGGTCAGAGTCAAAGTGGGTCGACTCGTGGGTCAACCCGCGGGTTGACTTGGACTATGATGTAAAATAGGTTAGGCTTTCAGCGTGGAGCAAGGAACAGTTGCAGTTTCGTCGTGTAGTCATAATACTGTTAAGATGACGGCCCGTCACGCTCTAAGATATGGGCCTAGGCTCATGCTGCGTTCAGGATTCACTCCCTCGTCACTTCATGTGGAGGCCCATTGCCTTCCAGATTTTTTTTTAATGGTTATTTTTTTTTTCTTTTTCACTTGAACATATATAGAAATTTTGTGCTCACTAGTCACTACATTGATGAATAACATGTTTTAAATTCGACATTTTCTTCCTTCATATATATGCTTCGAGAAACTAATAGATACGTGTATAGGTTCAAGATCAATAATCAATAATAATGATAATTATAATCTATCAAAATTGTAGGAAACGTTGAGCGAGATTTATGATTACTCATATGAGTTGTTCTGTTGCTATTCCGATAAATTACATATTGGAAAAATGACTATAACGATTATAGTTGTCGTATCTACTTCGACCTTTATGATAATCTATTATTGAAAGTTATCTTCCATCATATTGCTGGTTCAGAGCTGAATCCAAGCCTTTGGAAGCAGAAGTGAATTTAGGATTTAATTAGTTGGATATATGTTTTTTGGATAATGGAGATTAGTTTGATATTAAATCACCAATTAGAAATTAAACAAAGTGCTCACTTGGAAGATAAAAAGGAAAAGAAAAACGAAAATTATCGTTGATATGCTCGAATCTGAGATTGGAGAGTGGAGGATCCCAAAATGGCCAGATACTCTGTATTGGTACATGATACAATATATAAATATTCTTTTATGCTTAAAAATAAATAATTATTATATACGAGAGATAAGATAATGGTATTCTTATTCTTGTATATATATGACTACACATGAGTTTAGTCTAGACGAGTTTTGACCCAGTTTGAGCACGGCTCATTAAAATGAGTGAGCTCAAGATTAGCTTGTTTACGAAAACTTTGTCTTGTTTGTTACCTGAGTCCGGCTCTCATCAATTAAATTAAGAGATAGCTCGAGCTCAAGTATCATATCATTCAGTTTATAATTTTTAATTTTTCATATCATCAGGTGTGATCAATTTAATTTACGATATATAATTTCTTTTTTTGAATTATAAATGAAACATATTTAAACTCGTGCTCAAATTCTTAGAATGGTGAGATAAATAATCTAACAACCTATGAATTATCAACAAGCCAACGATAAGCTATTAATCGATTCGCCCATAAGTTGCTAATTTGAGGTGGCCGTCGCTAGCCATATTATCGCGCGCCATCTCAGAGCTCAAAACAAGCTAGCTAACCAGTTGACCTCAACATAACCATCGAGTCGAGTTCCACCACGAGCCTTCCGAGTTAAACAGGGCTTAATTAGTCCTGAGAACCCATTATCCAGGTCACCTATGGAAGACTGGGAGCTGTCGTCGTGCACTTTCAAATCAACATGCTTTCTGTTTCACGGATGAAATCAGCCGTATCTGATTTTCAACTGGAACTTATTTGGTGATGAAAGCAAATCAACAGAAAGAAAAATAAAAAGGAAAAGAAGAAGAAGGGTTTACAGAGTCACAGACAAAGAACTGAAGAAGTGGTTAACAACTTTACAGGCAGCATGACTAGCATTACAGAGAGTCACAAACATCACAGATGTAAGATGGTTTCCTGTTTTTAGATGTCGTACCAAGAAAAATATAAACACAATATATACTATTCTTTTAATTTGTTTGAAGAAAAACAATCCAGGTAGTGCAAGTGGTTCTTGTCCGTAGTTTCGGGAAAATGAGATCTTATCTGGTTATCGGATAAATATTCCCTTGTTTTTATGATTTCAGAAAAGAAGTTTGATGTTATGAGTATTCATGATATTTTGATTTCTAACCGTGTTCGAGCAATTATGATAACTTTTAATCTTATGATTATTAGCAAATTTCTCAAAAGAACCAAAGTGGTAGTGCAAATGAATATACGTACGGTTGTTTATTACCATACTCGATTGCTTTTGTAAATTCATTTTGAGAGGGATATTAAAGCAGTTATTGTCGTATTTCTTTCTCAATTCATCTTTCATTATTGGTTTAAATTTACCTCGGAAGAAGACATAAAAAATTATTTACGTGTAATTGTTTGAGCAGTCCAATTAAAAAGCTTAACTTTAAGGGTGTGCCTACGGTGACATGCATGTCACGGTGACTTGCACTTTCCGGTCGACCTCAGTTAGGATTAGGTCGACCGAATTCTAGGATCCGGTCGACCTCATATAGGATCCGGTCGACCTCATATGTTGTTTCAGTGTAAAAACAGTTCATGGTGTCTACTTTGGATATTCATATCATACAATTGGCTAGATGGAAATTGAAGACTAATGACTTGTTTTGAAGCTGGAGTGTCCCTCTACATATTGAAGTGATTGAGAGCTCGATAGGAAGTCCAGAAGACCATTTTTGAATCTCATCAAAAGGCTATGCCAAAACTGAGAAACTGCATGGAAAGGGCTAAGTCTGGAAACGTGTTTGTGAAGCCTATTTTGGAGCTCAATTCGATAAGCATGAATGCGAGTCGAGTCCAGGAGCCTCTACCACGTTAAATTAGGTATATTTTTATACAAATTCAAGGCATTGGATGAAAGATTGGATATCTGTAAGGCTTCAAATAAAAGGGTCGAAGTTGCTACGAAGGCTGTTTTTCTGGCAGACTTCGAGCACAAGAAAGCTGCCAGAAAAACAGCCTTCGTAGCAACTTCGAGCCTTTTGTTTGAAGCCTTAAAGATATTCAATATTTCAACCAATTCCTTGCCTTTGTATAAAAAAAATACGTAATTTAACGTGGTAGAGGCCCCTGGACTTGACTCGCATCCATGCTTCTCAAATTGAGCTCCAAATTAGGCTTGACAAACACGTTGCCAGACTTAGCCATTTTCAGGCAGTTTCCAGTTTTGGCATAGCCTTTTGGTCAGGTTAAAAAATGGTCTTCTGGACTTTCTATTGAGCTCCCAAGTACTTTAATGTGTAGAGGGACACTTCAGCTTCAAAACAAGCCTTTAATCTCCAATTTCCATCTAGCCAATTGTAAGATATGAATCTCCAAAGTAGGCACCATGAAACTGTTTTTACACTGAAACAACATATTAGGTCGACCTGATCCTATATGAGGTCGACCGAATCCTAAATGAGGTCGACCGGATCCTATATGAGGTCGACCGGATCCTAGAATTCGGTCGACCTAATCCTAACTGAGGTCGACCGGAAAGTGCAAGTCACCGTGACATGCATGTCACCGTAGCAAAGTCCTAACTTTAATTTCAATAAAAGAGTAAATTAATTTTTGTAAAATAATAAAAGAACCAGATCCATGAACTTTAATTTCAATAAAAAAGTATCCAATGAACCAAATAAATTCAATATTTGCAGATAAATATTTTCCCAAAAAATGGCACTCCATTGACCATTTCTGGATTTTTTTTTTGTCAAATTTCAATGTAAGATGTCGCAAAACCGCACACCATTTCTGGAAAATGTTTGTCCAATTTCAAAGGATTAACATTGTAATAATAATGAAATTAATAAGATAGCATTTCTAGGTTCGGACAAAAACGTTTTAAAAAAGCAAAAATGGAAAAGAATTGAATTGGCTTTAGCCTGGTGTAAGATTATTAAATCCCTCTTGGCCTCTTCTGATCTCTCCTTGCTTTGCTGCTGCTCATACTGAACTCTCTCTCTTTACCTCTCCTCTTCTGGCTAAAGCCACAAACCCAGAAGAAAAGAAAAGGGAAGCTTACAGCTTACTGCTTACAACTTTCTTGGTTTGAGCTCTTCTTCTCCAGCCATTAAATTCCAGCAACTGGGTCGATTCATTTTGTCTGAAAGCTGCCATCTTTCTGTCGGAGAAGGAAAAACAAAATGGATGTAATCCAGATGCAGAGAACCTGGGTTGAGTACACCAAGTCCTTGTACAGAGAGGTAAGGGTCCCAAGAATTCAAATCAACATAATGATTGAAGCTTTACTCAATGGTTATTTTCCTCTTTCTGGTTCATTGATTGATGTGCAAATTTCGATTGGTTGGTGGTGGTGGGGAAAAAAGGGTTTTCTGGACAGTCAATTTGCTCAGCTTCAGCTGCTGCAAGATGAGAGCAACCCAGATTTCGTTGTGGAAGTTGTTTCTCTCTTCTTTGAAGATTCCGAGCGTCTTCTCAATGAACTCACCAAAGTTATGTAAGTACTCTCAGCAGAAGCTAATTACTGACATCCCCTTGTTTGTTTTTCTCCTCTCAATCCCTTAAGAAGTTTGATCCGATCCTTGTTTTGTTCACAGAGATCAGCAGCAAGGTGTGGACTTTAAGAAAGTTGATGCACATGTCCATCAGCTCAAAGGCAGTAGCTCCAGGTAAAATTATTGCTTTTGATGATCCATTTCCACCAAAAAACCCTCTTCAAAAAGTTCCAACCTTTTTTTCACTTTGTGAGATTTCACTTTAGAACCTGGCAGTATCTCTATTCTGTGAGAATATGAAATGGGAGTTTGAATCTGGTAGTTTATTAGATCTGAAGACATGATGATGGGCTGAGAGAATAATTCTGCTCTGTTGAATTCTTGCAGCATAGGAGCTCAGAGAGTTAAGAATGCCTGTGTTGCTTTCCGCAGCTTCTGTGATGAACAGAACATTGAAGGGTGAGTTCTGAATTTCGAGGGTTTGGTTAATGTATTTGTAGAAATAGTCTTGTTCATTGCATTGCATTTGTATATGAAACTGGATCAGAAAGGTGAGAATAAACAAATTAGACTCGTTTGATTTGAGGAAATTTATTCAAATACCTCATACTTCATGTAATTTGAGATTCTTTGTCTAGAAAAAAACTATAGATTGTTTCAAATGATCGTTAAGCCTAGAAAGGTTCCATTTTTCATTATCTTTTGGTTCATAAACTGATTGTTGAGTTCAAGAGACCTCTGGAATTTTGAACCTGAAAACTGTTCCAATGGTTTCTGTCCAATGCAGGAGCCTGAGATGCCTGCATCAGGTAAAGCAGGAATACTTCCTTGTGAAGAACAAGCTAGAAAATCTCTTCAGTGTGAGTTCATACACAATCTTAGTTTGATCCTTTGTCCTCTCCTTTTCCCTTTTCTGGTTATAAGGGTGAGGAATTTATTAATTTTCTTGCTGCAAAATCTGCAGCTGGAGCGAAAAATCGTGGCGGCTGGGGGATCAGTTCCTACGGAAGAGCTGAATTTCCTCTGAGCAAACGGTGAGAAGAAGAGAATGGGAAGTTGTTTTAATGTAGAGAAAGCTATTATTCCCTTGTGATGTTCTTCTTCTTCTTCTTCTTCATGCTTTATGATTTCCCTCCCTATAAGGTTTCTGTTCTTAACTAGTGAGGGGAGGTTGTTTGTGCTATGTATTGATGCATGCTTGTGAAAGATTTGATTGGCATCTTTTCAATAGAATAGAACCTCTCCTTCCCCTCTCTGCTTCTTGATGTTACAATTGGTTTCATGTTCCTGGATTGTTGTTTCATGTTGGCTACTGTCATTAACAGAACGGAATGGATGATGTAACTGTTCGACCGTGTAATGATTTACTGTGATGAAAGTTTAGTCGTCAGTCTCTAGTTCAACTGATACAATGATTTGTAGATAAACCTTGAGATGTAATCTTGTTCGTTTGAGACCATGTGACTTAGAGTTAATTAAGTTCAGACGAAATTATAACGAGAAATCTTGCGTTCGGAGTGGAAATCTGATAGGTTTGAGGATGGAAGCAAATCAACACATGTCTAGCTAATGGCCCCATATCTCACAAAACAGACATGCCTTCCTAGGTAAACAAATAGCAAAATCTTCACAAGAACTCAAATGTGCCAACTATGAATGTTGTGGGGACTCGAAATCATCTCCCATCTCAACTGGGAAAGATTTGATTCCTCAGAAACAGTCAACTCCTTACTCTGCTGAGGCTGTCCTTCTGTCTTGTGTCTTCTGTTCCTCTCTTCCCCACAAAAAATTATGCAAACAAACAAAACATGGAAGTTAGTGGTGGCATATGATACTCCTAGCACATGATTGAGCTTTAAAAAGGGAAAATGGGCCAATTCCCATCAACCAAATCACACCAAACAGTTGCTGGCCACTCATCAAATCTTGAATGATTTCCTCTGTTAGCTAGTGAGTAGTGAGGATCATCATTGGAAGGAAAACAAAAACAAAACCTTTCCTGTCAGCTCAATCAACCAAAGTGTGTATCCATGTTGGAAAAACACTAGGGTCGTTTGGATGTGGAAATTCTAAAACGTTGAAATTTGTCTGAATTTCCATGTTGTACAAAACCAAAGAATTGACGTGTGGAAATTGAAAAAATAATCACGTTTGGATAGGGTTTAGTTTTGTGGGAATTGATGGTGTGGAATTTGGAAAAAGAAGTAAGAAAACGTGGTAATGTCAAATTACTAGGGGGAGGTGTAGTATTCTCATGGTAATTGAAGTCAATTTCCAAGGTCCAATTTTCATACCATTTTTGCTCTCCCAAACATGGGGTTTTAACCCAATTACTGCATTATATGGTAATTGGGTCCAATTACTGTATTACATTTCCACATTCAAACGAACCAAGTCTTTTATAGGATAAATGAAAAGGAAAGTAAAACAACTCTGTAGAATTCCCGCAACCATGAATTTAGAATCTCAGACTGATAAAGAACCGCCTTAACTTTAATTTCAATAAGAGACTAAATTAATTTTTGTAAAATAATAAAAGAACCAGATCCATGAACTTTAATTTCAATAAAAAAGTATCCAATGAACCAAATAAATTCAATATTTGCAGAAAAATATTTTCCCAATAAATGGCACTCCATTGACCATTTCTGGAATTTTTTTTTGTCAAATTTCAATGTAAGATGTCACAAAACCGCACACCATTTCTGGAAAATGTTTGTACAATTTCAAAGGATTAACATGGTAATAACAATGAAATTAATAAGATAATAACGTTTCTAGGTTCGGACAAAAACGTTTAAAAAAAGCCAAAATGGAAAAGAAATGAATTGGCTTAGCCTGGTGTAAGATTATTAACCCTCTCTTCTGATCTCCTCTTGCTTTGCTGCTGCTCGTACCGAACTCTCTCTCTCTCTCTCTCTCTCTCTCTCTCTTCTTTTCTGGCTAAAGTCACAAACCCAGAAGAAAAGGCTACAACTTTCTCGGTTTGAGCTCTTCTTCTCCGGCCATTAAATTCCAGCAACTGGGTCGATTCATTTTGTCTGAAAGCTGCCATCTTTCCCGAATAAGCAGCCTCTCCTAACAGAAGAATAACAAAACGAGAAATCGCCTGGAATTCGATCACCTACCAATCCAGCCATCCAGCCATTTTCCTCCCATTGAAATTCAAGTGATTGGCCGCCATCGAATCAGATTCAGAGAACTCCGGCCACCACAACCATCAGACTAAAGCTATTAGCAGAACAGCAGAGGAGCTCCCCTAAAAATGGCGGAAACGATACCTACCAAATCACATTCTGCAACTGGTACTACATCACGACTACTATTCATCTCTGATTCGGTATCTTTTGATGATTTATTTATCTGGGTTGTGAGTCCTTTGCACAAGTATTCTATATCGCGCGATCAATTATGATTCGGATCGTATGCTAGTTGTGGGGGGGTCCTTTATGCTTCAATTATTACGCACTGCCGAATCTTGATTCAATCTGGTTCTGCAATTTCAATCTGTACATATGGGATTTGACTTATCTGATTTGTTTATGAATTGAAGAAGGTAAGCATCCAAACTTCATTGAGAAGGCTAAGGAAAAAATTGACAAGGTAATCCACTCCCCAAAGCATACCAAGGAAACTCATGGAACAAGCAATGACATTGATGAGAAGACAGACATTGATGAAGTGAGGGGGCCAGGAGTGTTTCAGAGGGCCAAGGAAGAAATCGAGGCCCTGGTCGAGACGATTCATCACAAGAAGGAAAAGGCAGGAAACCACTCCCCAACTCACACCAAGGAAACTCATGGAACGAGCGATGACATTGATGAGAAGACCTCCATTGATGAAGTGAGAGGACCAGGAGTGTTTCAGAGGGCAAAGGAAGAAATCGAGGCCCTCGTCGAGACGATTCATCACAAGAAGGACAAGGCAGGAGACCATTCCCCAACCCATACCAAGGAAACTCACAAGAAGGACAAGGCAGGAAACCACTCCCCAACACACACCAAGGAAACTCATGGAACGAGCGATGATATTGATGAGTTCACATCGGTCGATGAAGTAAAAGGACCAGGGGTGTTTCAGCGGGCAAAGGAGGAGATCGAGGCCCTCGTCGAAACAATTCATCCGAAGAAGGAGAAGGATCATCACAAGTCATCTTCCACATAATAGTATGGAAGTTGGAAGGGTTGACAAATATTTGGTTGTGTTATCATCCTTTTGGGTATAGGGTGAGAGATTGATCAGAATGTGCATTCCACGATGACCATTGTCATTTGAAAACATCTGCTGAATGGATTGTAATCTGCTGATTCACCATTGTAGTAATTGCTCTTCTTTCTTGTGATACCAATGCTCTATTTCTATATGGATGTTTGCTATTGGTTCTTCATCCAAATTATAAAAAGAATTTCTCTGGGGGATCCGTTCCTACGAAAGAGCTCAATTTCCTATGAGCAAGTGGTGAGAAGAAGAGAATGGGAAGTTGTTTTAATGTAGAGAAAGCTATTTCCTTGTGATGTTGTTCTTCTTCTTCATGCTTTATGATTTCCCTCCCCATAAGGTTTCTGTTCTTAACTAGTGAGGGGAGGTTGTTTGTGCTATGCATTGATGCATGCTTGTGAAAGATTTGATTGGCATCTTTTCAATAGAATAGAACCTCTCCTTCCCCTCTCTGCTTCTTGATGTTACAATTGGTTTCATGTTCCTGGATTGTTGTTTCATGTTGGCTACTGTCATTAACAGAATGGAATGGATGATGTAACTGTTCGACCGTGTAATGATTTACTGTGATGAAAGTTTAGTCGCCAGTCTCTAGTTCAACTGATACAATGATTTGTAGATAAACCTTGAGATGTAATCTTGTTCGTTTGAGACCATGTGACTTTGAGTTAATTAAGTTCATACGAAATTATAACGAGAAATCTTGCGTTCGAAATGGAAATCTGATAGATTTGAGGATGGAAGCAAATCAACACATGTCTAGCTAATGGCCCCATATCTCACAAAACAAACATGCCTTCCTAGGTAAACAAATAGCAAAATCTTCACAAGAACTCAAATGTGCCAACTATGAATGTTGTGGGGACTCGAAATCATCTCCCATCTCAACTGGGAAAGATTTGATTCCTCAGAAACAGTCAACTCCTTACTCTGCTGAGGCTGTCCTTCTGTCTTGTGTCTTGTGTTCCTCTCTTCCCCCCCAAAAAATTATGCAAACAAACAAAACATGGAAGTTAGTGGTGGCATATGATACTCCTAGCACATGATTGAGCTTTAAAAAGGGAAAATGGGCCAATTCCCATCAACCAAATCACACCAAACAGTTGCTGGCCACTCATCAAATCTTGAATGATTTCCTCTGTTAGCTAGTGAGTAGTGAGAATCATCATTGGAAGGAAAACAAAAACAAAACCTTTCCTTGTCAGCTCAATCAACCGAAGTGTGAATCCATGTTGGAAAAACACCAAGTCTTTTATAGGATAAATGAAAAAGGAAAGTAAAACAAATCTGTAGAATTCCCGCAACCATGAATTCAGAATCTCAGACTGATAAAGAAATGATCTTTGACTTTAAGCAAATCTGAAAGTGTTGACTTCTGATGGTCGGCTGATCCAAATCCTTTTTTTCTTTCTTGCTGATCAACACATGCTGTTAAATCCTGATTGGCTAGTTAATCCTCAATTGCTTAGAAATAAAATAGTTAACGAATTTTCAGTCATAAGGCACGAGGATTGGCAAGCTATACTCTCAAATATCAACTTTTACAACCTACCATTCTGATTAGACACTGCTTTATTAGAGTAGATAGAACACTGTCTGTATATGACCTTTCTATATGAACTGTATTCTGTTTTTGCTTTGAGTATCCATTTTCCTATATCTCCTTCTAATAGGCAAGTATTAATAAAAACTAAAACTTTTCCGTGTCAATTAGTCTGGTGCAGATTCTTGGTGTTATTTTGGTGGTGTGTTCCAGATTCTTTTCTGCTCCTCAAAGCTTCCTATAACAGCAGATTGCTCCTTTTCCCCTAGTTGATTTGCGAATGCTTCGTAATATGCATCTGGGTCTATAGATTTCAATGCTCTGACTGATTTCCCTTGCTTCTCATCGATCACGATTTGGCCATCGGTGGATTCATCACCTCCAGCAAGGACCTTGATGGGTTTGACTTGTAGCACAGGCTTCACTACAGAATGGTCACCAGCCAAAACTACTGCACCTAGAATTTCTCCCAGGAATATGTCCTGCATTGAAAAGTTGGAATGTTTTTGTAATTTTTATGGAAAATCCCATTTGAGCCAAAGCAAAAGCACTGTTACCATGTGTTGATATCTGTTATGAATATGTTGCAGGCGATTAAGCATCGAGATCAAGCGGTTGGTAAACAATGCCTCAGGAGTATTATTTGTCAACCTGAGCTTTTGTACGAGTTTAGAGAAGGAACTGACTTCACGTTGAGCTTCAAGGGGAATTAGTGTAATGTTGAGTGATGATTCAAAGACAGTTTTTGCAGCAAACGGATCAAGAAACATGTTCATCTCTGCATAATCGTTTGGATGCTTGTTTAAGAGGTTACCCTTATCAAAACATCCATTGCTGAGGTGTCCTCCTACCACATAAACTTCCTGCATTTGACATGACTAGATCAGTTTAGAGCCTCCAAGCCCAAGAAATATGACTTGTTTTATATTTTTTACCTGTATCATAGAGCTTTTATAGTCCTTGGACAGAATAATCTTAGCTAGATTAGTTAAAGGTCCATTTGTCAGCAATGTGATTTTGGATCCTGCAGATTCCAATGACTTCATCACTGATTCCCATACTTCATTTGCTCGGGGCTGCCTGAGCTTGGGGTGATCAGTGTCTCGAGGGGCTCCAAATGCTACAGAGTTTTCTGCGGTGTACCTCCTGGGGCTTCGAGGCAAGTCTCGAGCTAGACCGTATAATGTGTCAGAATCAAGAAATCCACCACTACCTTGAGGGATGGCCTTGGAATACTTGCAGCCTCCAACTGAATCAGGGAACTTTGGATTAGACTGGTTTGTTCCAATCACTTCTCCAAGCCCTACAGGGATGTCATCGCGGCCCATCATGTGGAGCAAGTCATAAACAACATCTATCGTCGCAGCATTTGCCCACCCAGTCGGGCTTACTATGATAGCCTGCAGAAAATTCCTAGTTGAGTTTATCTGAATTTTATGCAGAACTCTGAAAAGACACCAAATGTACCTTTATGTTGATCACTTCTACAGGAACTTTAAGGAGATAAAGAAGGGACAGGAAATCTCCAGGGCTCATATCCATGTCAAACACAACAGGTTTCCCTAGTCTCTTAGTCCCAAAGTCTGGTTTGTGAAGAACTTCTCTGTAGTAAGGAAATTGGTTTGTGAAATTGAACTTCCCAGACTGATGAGGGTGATTCAGAACCTGTACTCAGAAATGACACAATTGTGATTTGTGATGGTTATCTTTCACTTTGAAATAAGAAAGGAAAGAATATGGCAAGATAGTATATGGTTTTGCAGACAGCTCACATCTAAGAAGCTCTTGAAAAATGCTTTCTTCAGCTGGCTATTAGGTTCTGCACTAGCCTTTGCTCTTGTGGCAACAAGAACTTGTACTGAATCTGGACCTGCTGTCTCCTTTGTGTAGCCATCCTATATGCCACAGAAGAATTAAGAAGCAAATTTGAGAAATAAAAGGAAATGCAGTCAGTCATTTTTGTACCTGGCATTTGCCTTTGCCATTCTTCACTATGCAGAATGGATCTCTAGGGCTTGTCTGGACATGTCCACTATGAATCCCACCTTTCTCCAGACCAAATTTGGGAACACGACGGCCATCAAAGGCTGGATTAGAGCCATCATTGATCCCATAAGGTTGATTTGAGGTCACCACAGTGATGTTGATGTACTCCATCTCTGAAAACTGATTCTCTCCATTTTTGCTGTTATGTGGATTTTGCAGCATGATGGAAGCTGCCACACCAGATGTGAAAGAGTCCCACATGTAGTAGCTCTGCAAGCAAACTTAGAGTCATTGTCTCAACCAAAATTCCTTCTTTTCATTGTGAACTGGCGTTGGAACTAGAGGCTCCAAAAACAGAAGTAGAAATTACTGAGTAGAATTGGTTATCCAACCAAGTGTCCCGGGCCATTTTCAAGGATTTGTAGCAGTATTGTGCCTCATATGTCGCCTGTTTCTGTTCAAACACTTCAAAGAACTCCGGATCTGTCGGAATGGTATTTGTTGCATCCAAGGGCACTAGAGTGACTGGAATTCCTGAATGAATAACCTGAAAACAAAATATAAAAAAACATATATCTATTGTCCGAATCCTTATCGAACAAGGATTACAAGATTTTTTATTCTAACTACCTGGTATGCAGAAAAAGGGTCTGCAAATATGTTAAATTCAGCATAAGGGTTGCTCTCATAGGAAGAAAACAGATTCCCAGGGTCACCACACTGCTTTGGCTGGCAAGAAACAGTGGCATTCAGAGGACAGCAGCCAGCAGGGTTTCTTGACCTCACACCACCTCCCATGATGTAAATATGTTCAATGTTCTTCCTCAAATGTGGATTGTTCATCAAGAAAATGGCTATATTTGTTGGAGAACCTATCATGAGTATGGTTATGGGACCTGCAGATGCTTTCTCTATAAGCACTTGCTGCGATGTAGGCTGTCGAAGAGGGACATACCTCCTAATTCCCTGGTTTTACAAACCCAAAAATGTTCCCAAGTCAGAAGCCAGAAAGGGATCATGAGATTAAATATCATCCTAAGTCAATAAGCAAACCTGGGGAAGGAATGCTCTCCTGAGACCCATGTTAGAATCCCTGTCCAACCTCCCTCCCCCACCAACTGGAATCGCCTGTCTGTATCTGCAGCTTCCTGCTGTTGTCATCCCCTAAACCCTTGATAAATAAAGTTACACCGATCTCGAGACATCCCAATTAGAAATTTCCATTTGACAAGAAGAAAAAGGAGGCAACTTTTGTTCTTATTTTACCTGCTCAATCAATGGAAGGTATCCACCTACATTGGTGAGTATGGTGCCATCATCAAGAACACCACCTTCCCCTCCAACACCGACATGGACATCATCGCGATCCATCATGTACAGAATATCATATACTTGGTTCACTGCATGTCCTGCATTACTCCAGGCATTTGCACTGATGGTCACTGCCTGTATTCTCATGCATGGTTAATACAACAGACATATAATAGCTATTCATCAAAGAGTCGGTTCTTAAGTACTAGTTAATGAATTTACTAGTTGATGAAGTTCTTAAGTAGCAGTCATTTTAAGCTTTGCTTACCTCAACTGCAAAATCTGATTGGTTAAGCTTCAAGAGGTACAGAAGAGCAAAGAAATCATCAGTGTCCATATCAGTATCCAAGACAATCCGCCGCGGCTTCCCCTCTACCACAGCATCTCCAACAAGTAACATACTCAATAATATGATCACAACCCAGGATTTCATCTTTTCTAGCTGAATCCAGAATCCTCAAAAAACCCAAAAAGTTGGTATATCCTGTTTCTCTTCCAATGGCTGCCAAGAAAAAAAGCAACTTCTGCAGACTGTTGTTACCTTCATGTGTATTGTATGGGACAAAATCAGAAACTGGTGCAAGGCAAATAATGACCAAAAGCAGTCAAGAAACTTGAAGGGTGGTGGACATTACCAGTTTTAGAACAGATTCTATGGGACACCAATATCTGAGAAAAAAGTTGGAAGGAAAAAGGGGTGTTTTGTTTATGTGATGTATATTAGTGAAAGGGGAAATGATGGTTAGTTTTACTAAATATGTTGTTGGTGGTGGTGAGTAGACTAGCTAATACAAGGAGAGAGCCTTTTCTCCCTATGTCAGCTTTGATTAATAAGGTCAATTGCTTGCTTCATTTGAATGAGTGAAAGGAAAGGGAAACACAGTGAATTAAAGAGAGAAAAAAGAGAGTCTGGAGATCTGCTGAGATAAGCTACAAAGCTTTTTAGACAAATCCTTGGAAGTTCCCTTCTTTTAATCCATCCCATATCTTTTGATTTGTGGATACCCGCTAGCAGTGGCATAGCTAGGAATTTGGTCAACGGCTTCTATTACATAATAATAAATATTTAAAATATGTTATTTCGATAAAATATAAATGTTTGATGTTTGATTGATATAATTTCGAAATTACTGTCTTATACAAGTTACAAGTTTGATGTTTTATATGAGAAAATCTAAAATATAGTTAATGGTCTATATTATTGAAGAATCTAAAATATAGTTAATGGTCTATATTATTGAAGATATATCTCTTTTTATATATCCGGTTAAATAAATATTCATGAACTCTATCATTGATTTAACTTCGAAATTTGTTGTGAGAAACATAAAATAATTATTCAGGAACTCATCATTTATTTAACTTCGAAACTAAATTGAGGGTAGATTTAGGGATCGAAGAGGGGAATTAAAGGGACAACCGACATAAATTAGAGACATAGCTAAAGGAAGAAATTGAGGGAAAAGAGGAAAAATAGTCAGCGGCCTAACTAGAGAGGAGAAAGAATTAAAATTTTGTGAGAGAGATAAGATCCAAACAAAGTATATATTTAAAAGACCAAAAACCTAATAAAAACGTAATCCTAGTCGACCCCTTCTTTCACCGCCAAACTCCCTACAACTCTAATAATAGGGTCTGGGAAGAAAACTCTATAGTTTTGTTTTTGTAGTACTACAGAATCATAATTGACGACTGAGATTGAGAGGGAAGTGATAAAATGATCATCTTTATCGAAGGGTCATCAGAGAACGTAAGAGTTTAGCGAGAGAGTTGACCACATTTTAGGAACAGCTGACCGAATTTTGGGGGGCTGGCGCGGATTTATAGACGGCAGTTAAAACACATTTCAAATCTCTTATGAAAATTTAACGAACCTTGTCTCATTCAATTTACATTAGATTTCAAAAAATGTTGCACTTAAAAATCAAATTTTTTGCTTTCTACAAGATGATATCCATTTCGACATTTCCAGGAGCAAAATTTTTAGGTCATCTTACCGTTGCGATATCACGGTATTACCACTAACAGTGATATAATGTTGATATGATAGTGATATAATGTTTGTATGATGTTGTTATGATAATGATACGATGATGGTATGAGGTCTTATGTTTGAAAAAATAATTTGATGACATCATTACAATATGATAAAAATGAACGAGATAGGATATTTAGAAAAATAGAGAATTAGAAAAAGTGATTTCTCTCTATTCTAGATCCTTGTCAGTACAAAAGAAAAAAAAGGCAGGAGGTGTAGAATTATCAGTACGCCCCTCCTAATTTTTTTTTGTTGTGAATTAATTTGAACGTTAGATGTGATTCAAATGGATGAATTCAGATTTAGTTTTGTAGTGGATTTATATCTTTGAGTTTTGTACCCTATCTTTCTCACCACCCTTTAAAGAGAAAGACGGGTTGACGGCCTAACTAGAGAGGAGAAAGAATTAGTATTTTGAGATAAAAAAAATTAGGTTTAACTTTTTATATTTTTCTTCTTGATTATGAGAGAAATACCCATTGTACATATTTATCACTTATGATAAAATGTCAAAACTCTAACAAAACCCTAATCCGAGTCGGTCCCCTTCTTTGGCCATACCCTACAACTCTAATAATAGTTATATTATTAAATGCATGTTTCTAACCGTTGTTCTAAGAGAAAAATGCAAAATACATATTTATAATAAAATAACAAATGCCTAATAAAAATAGAATTCTAGTCGGCCCACTTATTTTTGCGCCGAACTACCTAAACTCTAATAATTTTAACTAGATATGACCGCTCACTTTTGCTTCACGGCTAATGGAAGATAAAAATGTAAATACGTTTGATAAAATATTTAGCAAAATATAAATCATAAGACTTAATTGCAAAAGTAGCAAGAAAAATGAAAAAAATATTATGGGAGAGCTCTATAGTAATTTACACTCGCTAACCAATGAGGTTACAGATCTACATCTATAGAGTAAAAAAGAACCAATTTGATATAGAGCTCGACAACTATTAATTTATGAATTTACGAATGGAAAAGAATAAAGAGGTAACTAATTATGTATCTATTCAGCCCACAAACAAGAAAATAAACTTAGAATTTACATGGATTTTCAACTAAGATGTAAAAAAAGGAGAAATAGAGAATATGCAAAAAATCAACAAAAGCGAAGGAAAAGACCAAAGAAAGAACCTGGTATCTGGTTTCTATGTTTCATATGTCACTTTTATCCTTTTTTATTGGGAGCGAGGGATTTTATCGTGAACTTCCTTCGACATCGAGCAAGAGAGATGAGTAAAAATCCAAAACTATATACGAAATTTGGTCTCGAGCGAAATAATTGAGTAAGTTAACGAAAGTTGGTCTCGAGCGAAATAATTTAGCTTTTGTTGGCTAAATTACACGTTTGATCACTCAAATTATAAAAAAGTTGGTCACTGAGATTACTAAATTGTGTCATGTTTAGTCACTATAAAAATTTAATATCAATTTTGGTCACTCTAATTACTGGAATATGTCACATTTAGTCACTCTCTCGTTAGTTTTCGTCCAACTCCATTAATGGATTTGGACGGAAACTAACGGGAGAGTGACTAAATGTGACATGTTCCAGTAATTAGAGTAACTAAATGTGACATGTTTCAGTAATTCGAGTGATTGGAGTTGGACGGAGGCTAACGGGAGAGTGACTAAATGTGAATAGTTTCAGTAATTCGAGTGACCAAAATTGATATTAAATTTTTCTAGTGACTAAACATGACACAATTTAGTAATTTTAATGACCAAATATGCATTTACCTGAAAGAAATAGGAATACATGAAATAGGTGGAGAATGAGTTAAAAAAAATAAAATAAAAAAAGACCAATAAAATGTTGGCATATATGTAGAAGTATGATCTTAAAGTTTGGTAAAACTACCAAAGGACTTCTTACTAAATAGTAACACGCTAATCGAGTCTTCAATATATCAATAATAATGTTAATTCATGTTTCTAACAATTGTTCGTACAAAGCAAAAAGATTAACACCATTATTCAAGATATCTCATGAGTTTTTTTTTTAAGTGATATAGACTTTTATTTTTAAAGTTAGATGCTACTTATATAATTCGAACCCCGTTAACTTGAGATTCAAAACCAATGATATCTCTTTTTTTTTTTACAAAAGATAATCATATATTGATTAGAACAAAAGATCATTACATCCTGGAGTTCAGACAGGCCAAAAAATCAAATAGACGACACGTAGTAAAGTACAAAGAGAGGACTTTTTTAGCCATCGGATAGGCTACCCTATTGCTACTCAGACCTACAAATCGCACATGAAAATACGGACGACCTCTTAAGGATTGTCCTAGTGAGACTATCCCTAGTATCCGCCCCATTGATCTTATCAATGACCACCTTCGTGTTCCCAGCAAAGCAAACCTCCGTGAGTCCAAGATCCAGACAGCACACAATGGCCTCTCGGAGGACAAGCAGTTCAACAGCTATCGGATCATAGATATCCGGAAACTGAACCCCTCTGGCCATTAGGAGGCGCCCCCTTGGTCCATGATAATCATTCCCCCCGCAGAGTGGGACTCACTCTTTGTGGCTCCATCCCACATGCAGAACATGGTATTAGGAAGCCTGGCCTCCCTTGCTTGAGGGACTGACAACCGCGGGTTAGGATCTAGGGGCAAACTGATCCATTCTTGGTATTGTTGATGGAATTGACGCATCAAAATTGAAATCCCATATTGTTTGCCTTCAAATACAATCCAATTCCGGGATCTCCAAATCCGCCAAAGAATCACTACAACCGCCATAAGCAATTGGGGTTGATTTATCAACAATATCAACTTTTTAAGGAATAGCTGAAAAGTATGCCAAGGCAATCCCTGACCTAGGTATTCCAATCTAGAATGATTCCATAAAGCTCGAGCTATGGGACACTCAAGAAATAAATGCTCCACATTTTCGAGTCAGCCCAACAGACGAGACATCTAGAGAGCACTTGAACCTTCTTTTCAATAAGAGCTTCTGTCGTTGGAAGGATCATATGGAAAAGCTTCCATAGAAACACCTTTAACTAAGGCGGAAACGAGCTTCTCACAAACTGATCCATCTAGATCGATCCATCCAACTAGCCATAGATCGCCATCGACCACCTTGCTTGTACAATAAAACTCCAGATGATAGGCTGACTTAACAGTAAAAATCTCGTCGGTTGTGTCATGCCATATCAACCTGTCCTCCACATCGTCACAAGAGAGAGTAATAGTTTTGATTGCTCGACAAGTAGCTGGGTCAATCCACTGACTCACCCTATGTTCACACTACTGCCCACCCTCTGGGGAAATTACCTCAGCCGCCTTTGGGTCTTTCCCATCTGGGAGCACCTGAGGATTATAGACAGGGATAGTGAGGTGTAGGTGATGAATCCAACTAGAGTGAAACAAAGAAGCAGATCGACTATTAACAATCTGCCAACAAAGGCCCGTGACCAACAACTGTCAGCCATAGACAACACTCTGACATCCCCACGAGTCCACTACCAACGTGACCGGGGCAGAATCAATGAGGAAAGTCCTAGTTGAAAAATACTTCCCCTTATAAACCTGTGCCAAGAGCTACTGGGGATCAAAAAGAATTTGCCATCTGGGACCAATGATATCTCATCAGTTCCTTTCAATTAGGAGAATTTGTCATGAACCTTTCCATATGGCCTAAAGGTTGAACCTTTCCATATGACCATATGTTCCAACATGTTCACTAACTATTCCCTTGGTTTTCATCAAGCGTTGCTAGTTAAGAGTGTATAGAACATTATATCCATATAACCTTTCTCTATGAACTGTATCCTTCTCTTTCTGGTTTGAACATCCAATTTTCTATGCTTCCTTTGAATAAGACAAGTAAAAAAAAACCAAAAATCAAACTTTCTTTATGCAGGGTATATGTCAAAAAGGTATTCCTAGTATTATTTTGGTGGCCTGTTCCAAATTCTTTTCTGCTCTTCAAAGCTTCCTATAACAGCAGATTGCTTCTTCTCTCCTAGTAGATTCGTGAAAGCTTCGTAATAAGCATCCGGGTCTATACATTTCAATGCTCTGACATGTTTCCCTTGCTTCTCATCGATCACGATTTGCCCATCCTTCGATTCATCGCCTCCAGCAAGGACCTTGATGTGCTTGACTTGTAGTGCAAGCTTCAGTATGGAATGATCAGCAGCCAAAACTACTGCACCAAGAATCTCACCTAGAAATGTGTCCTGCATTGATAAGTTAGAAATCTCTTTGAAAGTCTTTATGGAAACACCTATGATCCCAAGCAAAAGCACTGTTACCATGTGTTGATATCTGTGATGATCCTGTTGCAGGCTATTAAGCAGCGAGAGCAAGCGATTGGTAAACAATGCCTCGGGGGTCTTATTCGTCCATTTGTTTAGCCTTTGTATGAGTTTGGAGAAGGAACTCAATTTATGCTGAACTTCAAGTGGAATCAGTGTTATGTTGAGTGATGATTCCAAGACTGTTTTTGCAGCATATGGATCAAGAAACATGTTCATCTCTGCATATTCGTTCGGATGCTTGTTCAAAAGGTTCCCCTTGTCCCCATTTCCATTGCTGAGATGTCCTCCTACCACATAAACTTCCTGCATTGACATAACTAGATAAATTTTGAATCTTCAGCCCCAAGAAATCTGAATTTTGCTTGTACCTGTATCATAGAGCTTTTGGAGTCCTTGGACAGAATAATCTTTGCTAGATTAGTCAAAGGTCCATTTGTCAGGAATGTGATTTTGGACCCTTCAGCAGCTTCCTTCACCACTGACTCCCACACTTCCACTGCTCGAGGCTGCCTGAGCTCGGGATGATCCATGTCTGGAGGGCCTCTAGATGATACTGATTTTTCTGCTGTGTACCTTCTGGGGGATCGAGGCAAGTCTCGAGCAAGCCCGTATAATGTGTCTGAATCCAGGAATCCACCACTGCCCTGAGGGATGGCCTTGGTATATTTGCAGCCTCCAACTGAAGAAGGGAAGTTTGGATCAGACTGGTTTGTTCCTATCACTTCTCCAAGGCCAACTGGTATGTCATCGCGGCCCATCATGTGGAGCAAGTCATAAACAACATCTATTGTTGCAGCATTTGCCCACCCAGTTGGGCTTACTATGATAGCCTGCCAAAGATTCTAGCTTCAGTTAATGTGCATATTTTTGCAGGTAGTGCTGTATGGTCAATGTGCTAGAAATGATAAAAGTTACCAACTCTGGAATTTTACCTTTAGGTTGATGACTTCTGTAGGTACTTTAAGGAGATACAGAAGGGCAAGGAAATCTCCAGGGCTCATGTCCATGTCAAAAACAACAGGCTTGCCTAATATTTTGGTTCCAAAGTCTGGCTTGTGGAGAACTTCCCTGTGGTAAGGAAATTGGTTGGTGAAATTGAATTTGCCAGACTGTTGAGGGTGATTCATAACCTGTACTCAGTGAATACAAAATTGCAGTATCATGTTAGTTTGGTTAATGCCATTTAGTCACTGTATCAGGTTGTTTTAATCAATATGTAATTGTACTATGAATTTCACCAAACAAGTTCTTGTATTATGACATTTAAACCTTTCTTAGAAAAACAGCCATCTGGTGTGCAACTAGCAAGCTTACATCTAAGAAGCTCTTGAGAAATGCTTTCTTGAGCTGGCAGTTAGGTTCTGCAGTAGGCTTTGCTCTTGTGGCAGCAAGAACTTGTACAGAATTCGGACCTTTTGTCTCTCTTGTAAATCCATCCTAAAACATGTTCATGACTACATGAAGAATAAAAAAAAACCCATTGGTGGAAATCTTAGAAAACACAAAATGCATTTTAACCTTTTCTTTTGGTACCTGACATTTGCCTGTACCATTCTGTACAATGCAGAATGGATCTCTAAGGCCTGTCTGGACATGGCCACTATGAATCCCACCATTCTCCATACCAAATTTTGGAACTCGAATGCGATCAAAGAACGGGTTTGAGCCATCATGAATTCCATAAGGCTGATTTGATGTCACCACAGTTATGTTCATGTACTCCATTTCTGCAAACTCATTATCTCCATTTCTGTTTGTATTCTGTGAATTTCTCTGCATGATGGAAGCTGCAACACCAGATGAAAAAGAGTCCCACATGCAGTAGCTCTGCAAAAGTAAAATTGAAGCTGTTCTTTAAACCACCAGCCCCTTCATTCCTTGTACTATATTCTTTTAGCAAACATGTTACCATGTTGTTTATCTGTTACTTGCCATCAGTTAACAAGCATCCAAATTTCGATAAGGTTGATCCATGCTTAATTGAAAGTATAGTTCAATCTCACTAGTAACAGAATTAGATGAAATCTTCAAATGAGATGCTTAAGAAACAGATAAACAACGTAGTACGGAGAACATGTCTGTTAAAATAACATAGTACCTGCAAATGCCATTAACCATTGCTTCTTATTTTGGTCATGTTGAACTTTCAGGGTAACAAAGATCTTGTAAGAGATTGGAGAAGAAATTACTGAGTAGAATTGGTCGGGTAACCAAGTGTCCCTGGCCATTTTCAAGGACTTGAAGCAGTACTGGGCCTCATAAGTCTCCTGTCTCTCTTCAAACGCCTCGAAGAACTCCTTACTCGTCGGAATAGTATTGGTTGCATCCAAAGGGACCAACGTTACTGGAACTCCCGAATGAATAACCTGAAAAAACAGAATGAAAAGGTAAAATCCTTATTCAACAAGGTTTACTACTTGTATAAGCTTGTTCTTCTCTTTGCCAGTATACCTGGTATGCAGCAAAAGGGTCTGCAAATATGTTGAACTCAGCATAGGGGTTGCTTGCAGAAGAAGTATACAAATTGCCAGGGTTGCTTGACCTCACACTACCTCCCATTATGTAGATATGCTCAATGTTTTGCCTCAGATGTGGATTGTTCATCAAGAAAATGGCTATGTTTGTATGCGATCCTGTCATCAGTATTGTAATTGGACCTGCAGATGCTTTCTCTATCAGGACTTGCTGCGATGTTGGCTGTCGAAGAGGGCGATATCTCCTGCTTCCCTGGTTTTATCAAAACCCCAGAATGGTGCTAATGAGAAGTGAGAGTACATATTCAAAGGGTAAATGACATTTGCAGCCAATCAACTACCTGGGGAAGGAAAGCTCTCCTGAGGCCATAGTTAGAATCAGTGTCAAGCCTCCCTCTCCCACCAACAGGAATGGCCTGCCTGTATCTGCAACTTCCTGCTGTTGTCATTCCCTAACATCAAAACCTTCAATAAGAAAGTCATAGCAGACAAAAAAAAATTGACAACTTTTTACATAGAAGTGTAATGAAATTTGATCTACCTGTTCAATCAAGGGAAGGTATCCTCCAACATTAGGGTCCATGGTCCCATCATCAAGGACACCCCCTTCACCTCCAAGACCAACAGAGACATCGTCGCGATCCATCATGTACAGAATGTCATAGATATGGTTCACTGCATGCCCTGCATCACTCCATGCATTTGCACTGATGGTCACTGCCTCAACTGCAAAATCTGAAGTGTTGAGCTTCAAGAGGTACAAAAGAGCAAAGAAATCGTCTGTGTCAACATCTGTATCCAACAGAATCCGCTGTGGTTTTCTGCTTCCTCCTCCTGCTGCTGCTTCTTCACCTTTCTCCACAGCTTGATCTCCATCAAGCAGTATGCTGAGCACCATGATCAGAAGTAAAACCCATGAATTCTTCTTCTTCTTCTGCAGAACAGCCATCTTTGGTTCCTGTTTCCTATCAGACTGTTACATTCACATATATGTGGGACAAAATGTAGGTGTGGTGATTCACTCTAGTAAAAGTCATGAAGGGACAAGACAAAGGAAGATGCAAAATTATGTGTTAGTTAGTGATTACCAGAATTGGAACAGATTCTTGGGAAGGAGAGAGGAGCACCAATATCTGAGAATAAAGGGTACAAGGAGGGATCAAAGGGAAAAGGGTGTGTTTAATTAATTATTTTTTTATCTGTTTTGTTAATGATGTGTATAGTGAAAGGGGAAATGATGATTATTTTCACTAAATATGTTGTTGTTGGTGAGTAGACTAGGGGAGCCTTTTGCCTACGTCAGATTTGATTGTGGTCAATGCCTTGCTTCATTTGAACGAGTAAAAAGGGATTAGGGAAGAACACAGTGATTTAGAAAACAGGGAAAAAATGAACCAACAAAAGATTTTATGCCAAGAGAGTTTGTTCAGAGCTTTTGTTAGAAGTTGCAAGTTGGAAATCTCCATTTCCTTGGAAGTTAGACATGGCACTTTACGATATGTATCATTTTTGTTTTTAATTGATATAGACGATTTTTAGTACTATATACAAAATTTATAATATTCAACTCCTAAATTTTATAAATTACTGTTTAAATATTTGCAAACTTTAAACATTTAGCAACCACAATAGTGTACTATATCCATATGAAATTCTGGGAGTACCATAGAAGTTCCCTTGTACCCATATTTAATGACCAAAATTATGTAAGTTTATCGAATATCGATGCTATTTCCTCTCTATTTGTAAGATTTTCTTTCCTTTTTGGAATGACACCATATCGGTTGAATCGAGTAGATGCAATATTTGTGCTTGTGAAACTGCATTCTCGATCGAACAAGAGGGGCTTATTTGAACTGGGATAAATGGGAAGAAGTGCATAAAGTTTTACCAACTACCATATTTCCTAAATATGATACAAATTTTATATGTAATTTAATTTATATTTCAAAGTTGAGGAGGACTAGCTAATGGATTATACTGCTATAGCACCTTAACTTCGCCATTGCGAGGTACTCATATTTATAGAGAGGTTGACTTTCTGGTTGACGATTTGGCTGGTAAGAGGTCCTTCGGCCGTTCTTCAATCTCGTTTAGTTGACTCGAATATTTCCACTAGGAGTTGCATGATCGTTTTGACAACTTTTCGTATCGTCGTATTAATGGTTAAAGGTAATGTTCTCGTCTTGCATGTTTTGTCATACTTTTGACTATGTTTCTATCTTTAACCTACCTTGTTAAGTTGCAAACCATCAACTTTTGATCATTGGAGTTGGAATGAGAGGAAAGACCCGACAAAGGTGGGATTAGCCTCGTGGAGGATAATTCACTGCTGGTAATTACACAGAAACACCTTGACTTAGCATATCATATCTCCCTTTTTTTTTCTACCGCCACAAAGACAAACACGCAAAGAGCATATCTTTGAGATTCTTTGTGTCTTGTTTTCCATGCCACGCTGTCGAGATTAACAAAAGGCCGCCGCCGCCACGTCACTATTGTAAATCGATTTTTGACCGACTCTCAATTTCTGGCTCCAATATTTTTAGAACCGAATCATAGTATCAATCGGCATAACGAGTAGTTCACACTTTATTGATTTAATCGATATTAAACAGTTAAAACTGTTAACGAACCAGTGCATCATTATTCATAAATAAGATTACTATAAAAAGAATACACAAACTAACATATTAAACTATAAATCTAAGATAAAAACACATTACTCATAAACAAAGATGAGTGCTAAAATTTCTATATTCCACACTTCAAACGTTGAATATTCTAATTTATTTCCATATTGACAGAAAATAGAGACATCACCGTTGGTAAAAAAGCTTGTGTTGTCGCATGTCACTAAGAGGGTCAGAGCTCAAATCTCGGCATCAAATTAGTTGTCTGGTTCTGTCGCTCAGAGCAATTAATCGCTCGAACTATTCACGGACCGACCGGTTTAAGAGAGCCGGCTTCGTGGTTGAGTCTCATTTTTACCGTTCCGACTCGTTCAATTCGAGTCGGTTTTAACAACTCTGATTTATTTATAATGGAGATTGCAACAAATCAAGTCACCTTACCTTGTTCCTACTTACATGATATCATGAAAGTTGGGTTAATTATTAAGTAGATGTGGTGGACAATTTAAAGAGGAGGCTATGAGAAGTGTTGTAGAATTAAGGAGGAAGAATGAGCCAGCAAAAGTTAATCACGCGTGGACTTTGCATATGATGCTTAATGGGAAGGAAGGATAGGAATAGGAGCGCATATCCAATTTGATGATTAGGGCCTTCATTGATTTTGATATAAGATTAAGTTAATCACAAAAGGGGAAGCAATTAAGGATTAGTGCGCATGAATGGGAATCATACTAGTGTAGCATTAGGTCCACGGTCCACCCTTGCCCTACAACACTTAATCATCATGGACCATGAGAAGATTCATTTAATTATATCAATCATATCACTAAATGTTGAAATGGGAAGTTGGAACCCTACAATAATCTTCTATATGTGAGTGAAAATGATGGCCCTCAACTTCACTATTGTGTTAGCTAAGCTAATTGCTAACAAAGCGTCGTGAAACTACCTGATGTCGTTTAAAACAGGAAGCGTCATCGAACTGGTTAAGTGTAATGTTTAAGATATCAAGTGTCGAGCAGATGAGAGATGTGACGATCAACCTAGTCTTGTAGGTGGAGATCGTACATCATACTTCAGAAATTACCAAACTTGACTAAAGGTGACAGTCTACTTCATAAATCCAGAATGGAGGGGGGGGGGGAATTTTGAAAAACTACAAGTCTCATATGAATAATTTCACTTTGTATCTACTTTTCTCTCTACAATTTTCTCAATTGACTTAATCATCATCGGCGCAATAAGGCATGAGAGCCACATAATCAGCTGATTAGGCGGAGAGTCAACTGAATTCCTTCTTCTAATGCATTGAACTATTAATTTCAAGTCTAGTCTGACTCAACTTATTTCTCTTCATTCCAAAAAGTCAACTACTTTCATAACACTCACCAATTTACACCTCACCCCAAAAGTCAACCAATCCGGAACTTCTACCGATCTTCTTTTCATAAAATGATAATTGTCCGTAAGTAGAAACATCGGAAGTTATTACCAAAAAAAAAAATACATCGGAAGTAACATATTTACATATCGGCCACAAACTCAAATGTCTCTTACGTAAAATCATACTGGATGTTGTATTAGTCAATAAAAGAATATCTCATACTGAAACTGTAATTTAATCATCGTATAACCATTTCATACGGCTAGAATCGCCTACCACCATCACTAATACGAACGATCCTGCCAACATACGAGAACCGGTCATCGATCCCAAAAAGGGCTGGGCCTCCACTACATGAATGGCTTAAAGTTAAACCCATTAAAGGCCCAATCACAAAAAACAAAAAAACAAAACAAAACAAAACTTCTATCGTCGGCCGACACAAGATCCGTTGGAAACCTCCCACAGCCGGGTAAAAAATCACTGAATCGCTAAATGTCGCCCTAAGAATTGCTAAACATCGCCCTAACTTAAATCTGAAATTACTCATATGCCCTTAAACAAAAACTCAAAATGGGCTTAACCAAACAAGCCCTTAGCAAAAAAAAAAAAAAATTCTCCTTCCTCACCCGCGACCCTCCTCTCACCCGCGACCCTCCCCTCTGCAACCCAACCCGCCGCCGACCTCCCCTCCTCCCCTCTGCAACCCAACCGCCGGCGACGACCTCCCCTCCTCCCCTCTGCAACCCAGCCGGCGACGACCTCCCCTCTGCCACGGACCCGTCGCCGCCGGCCTCTTCGCGTTGCCGCCCGCCCACGCCAGCCTCGCCGGACCTCGTCGAGTCGCCATCGTCGCCAGCGCGCCTCAGCCTCGCCGGAGAAGAAGGAAAACGCCGGAAAAAAAAATTGCCTGACCGCGGTCAACACGCGGTTGGACCGGCGGTCAACCTCGGTCAACGCGCGGTTGGACCGACGGCTGACCGCGGTCATAGCGCGATTGACCGATGGTCAAACCGCGCTTTGACCGCGGTCAGCCGTCGGTTCAACCGCAGGTGATTTGCGGTCCAGCCATGGTCCAACCGCAGGTGATTTGCGGTCCACCCATGGTACAACCGCATGTGATTTGCGGTCCGGCCATGGTCCAACCGCAGGTCACTTGCGGTTGAACCATGGTCGAACCGCAAGTGACCCGCGGTTCCCATTTTCTGTGTTTTTTTTTTCAGTTCATGTTTTTACCTCGTCAGAGTCGCTACTCATGATTCAGACGTCCTACCGACGATATCGGCTTCAAAATGACTATGAGAGATTTTTCTCTCCTTAGATAGTGTTTTTTAGTCCAAGTGATGTTTGTTTGAGGAAGGGAAGGTAAAGAAGCCAAGGAGGTTAAAAGTGTAACTTTGATTCTTTTTAAGGCGACCTTTAGCAATTTTAAGGGCGACCTTTAGCAACTCCCAAAAATCAGACCACTGTCCTAATCCTAAATCCCACCATCTTAATGCAAATATATGCAAATAATGGCTGTTGGATATTGCTTTTCACAATTGATGATTTGTTTCAGGTTCACAGTCATTGAATGAATGCACATAGTGACAATGCCATAGGAAATCGACATAATCGTGGTAAATCACCGAAAAGACCACGCTGGAACATTCTACCACCAATGAACATTAGAATAGTATCCCAAGCCGAATCGAGCATAAACACACACAAATTCGCAGCGAGAAAATCACCATAAGCATAGCACCATAGCCGAATTGCAATCGAGAGACCTATGCTCATTGAAAGCAAAACCAAATGATAATTCTAATCCAACTCGATTGAAAGTCTCCTTAGTCCTTAGAGATTTTCCGATAAAATTGGAACGATACAGAGAAGATTTGAACCTCAGTGAAATGTATTATTACCTCTTCTTCTTCAACTCTTAGGCAGGCAGCGCTACGATACATAGGATTACAAAAATTACTATCCTAGCCGGAGAGAATGTCGCTCTTCTTCTTCCTTCCCGGGCAATTATTTCCTTTCTCTATAACAACAAACAAACAAACAAACAAGTGATCTTCAGATTAACGAAATGCCCGCCAGGAGGAGAAAGGAATCGTGGTTTCTGCGGCTCTCTACAACGATCCAACCCGGCCGACGAACTGCAGCAGCTTCCGGTTAGTCGCCCGGCGCTGCTCGCGCACGACGCCGCCGGGATCCGACTCGTCGTGGAACCACCCCACCGATTTCTGCGCCTCGTACACGATCTGCGAAATCCCTGCCGACAGGAAGAAGAAAAAAAAAAGAGCCTCAGAACGAGCCGAATCGAAGGGGGCGGCGATTATTAGGGTTAGGGAGGAAGGGAGAGGAAATTAAAATTGTTGGTGCTGAAACCTTGCTTCACGGTGCGCTTGTTCTCGCGGACCTCTTGGATGGTGGCGGAGATCTTCCAGTAGAGCGGACGGCCGACGTAGAACAGTACCGTGATTACCATCACTGCTACGGCGATGCGGAACGCGATCTTCGCTGCCGGCGATGCCATTCTTCTTCTTCTTTTGTGGATCTGGATTGAGATTAGGATGAGTAAAATCTGCGTGTGCGACTCTTCGTTGGGCGGAGATGAAGAAATTGAGGGAGGGAGGGAAAGGGTCTGGGAGACACGACACGACGCACGTGTTTCGGGAGAGAGATTTTAGTACGGGGAAGTCTTTCGGGCCTCGCTGAGAAAGGCCCGGACTGTATTCGTTTTCCTGAAGTCCAGAGCAAAGAATTGGGCCAAGCCCAGCTGGCTATTGACACCCGGCGTGCTTACCAATCCGTATCCGTTGGATATATCCGCATTGTCGTTGCATTCATCCAACTAGGAATGGCAATGGGGCAGGTCCGGGGCGGGTTTCTTGGTACCCAGACTCGCCCCGTGGCAGGGCGGGTCCAGGTCAGGTAATTGATCACGGGTCGCGGGTCGGGGCAGGTCGACCCAATGGGTATGCAATTTATCTGAAAAACATTAGAAATATTGTTATTTTTATTATAAAACTAAGAAAATAAACAATATTATGACAATTGTAGTTAAATTATTGGAGAAATTGAGGTTTTCACTAATTTACAACTTTATTATAGCTAAAATATGATGCGATAAAAGTAAAATTCAAAGTAATTTGACTAAGATTTCATGTAATTTAGACAAGAACGGGTCGAGAATGGGGCGGGTCAGGGCAGGTCGGGTCGATGAGACTACCCATGCCCGCCCCGCCCCGCCTACGGGGCGGGTCGGACCCGCTCCAAAACAGGTCAAACAGGTCGGGTAAAACGGGTCAGGTCGAAATTTCCATCCCTACATCCAACAATCGCAAAGCACGTAGCATGCAATCAGACGATTATATGCATTGTAAGCATTATGTCCTTACAAATAGTAATGTAAACTCAAATTCACCAAAGTACAACAACAAAGTACATCCAACGATCAATCACTTGAAATATGGTATACTCCAATAATAGACGAGTAGTTCATTACTATGTATATAATATACATCACAAGCTATTCCCATTATAAATTGTGATTCTACAGAATGCAAGAAACCCAGAAGTACCAGAAAAGTACTAAACAATGTTTGCTGATAGAGAGAAAGAAACTTCACTTACAACTTTTAAGGAATTCAGAGCAGCTACTTTCACAACAGTTCCACTCAAACCTTTTTATTCTTCTTCTTCTGTATACATACATACACAGGACGACGAGGAGATGGATCCTTCTTTAGGTATGGACCAGCCACATGAGCTCCCTCGCAAGAACAGGGCTCTCTTCCTTCTCCTCACTCAGTATAGAAAATGATGGCGAGTAGCTCTCTTCTTCCGTTTGACAGCAGGTGGATTCGAATCCTCATCGGGACCAGGAAACTCCCATTTCATGATGCGACCATCCCACGAAGAGCTGACGAGCATCGGGTAGATGGGATGCCAACTAACATCCCTCACAGGTCCTTCATGATAATCCAAGCAACCCACTTGAGCACCACTCACCTTTGTAACACAACATACACCAACAGAAAAAAATTTCACAACCATAAACCTTGAAGCTTCCTGTCAATAAATAGAGGGGAACTCTGCTCTTTGATTTCTGAGGTGAGGGGGAGCTTACCAAGTCATAAATATAAACGCAACAGTCGCTCGAACCTGTGAAGATGTACTTCCTGCCGGTGCTGGACAAACAAGTTTGCATCAACATCATGATCACAATTGATTACATCAAAAGTCGTGAGTTGTGGCCAGTAACATTTAGGCTGTGTTTGTTTTAGCTTTGCGTTTTTCTTTCTTTTAAGTTGTAGTTGAAGTACTTTTCAAGTTACTTAGTTTTTTGCCAAAAACAAGCACACCTTTGAGCAAAAATCAGTACCTGTACTCGGGCGAGAAGTAACAGCGAATAAGGGTGCGAAGGACCGAATGACCGCTGTAAGTAGTCAAGGACAGATCACGAGGATGCTTCATCGTTTTGGCATGAGGTGGGTATTCCATCCACCTGTAATCCCAGTCTGGATCTCTTATTCTTGGATAGCTGGTTGAAGGGATGAAATGAGATGTCACCATATGGTTATGACAAAATTGCTCAAGGCAATGACAAAACAATAGCATCTCACTTACGTTGTGGCATTTGAAGTCATCTTCCGTATATCCCAGAGCTTTGTGGTCTGATCCTTCCCGTTCGATATCAAATAACGTCCATCTCCACGGCTATCTATGAATGTGACACCTTCCAGATGACCCACCAATACCCCTGCTGCTGCCTGCCCTCTGTCGTTAAAGCATCTTCTGTCCCAAACCTGCCATCGTTTTGAATAATAAGCCAACAGCAACAACTTGATGAGAAATATACTTACTGGGAAGCAAAGTTTAATTACCTTGCATAAGTGGTCATCACTTCCAGAGTAAATAACATGGCCGGATTCATCAGCAAAGCATACTGTATTTACATCAGCCTGCAAGAAGACATCCAAATCAAGACTGTAATACATTGAAGATTCAACTAAACCAAGAGTACAGGTCTCATTCTCATCATTCGATCATTGACAAGGCCGGAAATTGGTGAGGAAGGAATGACAAAGAAAAAGCTACCTGGTGGGCAGGAATGTGGAGGGTTCGAGTGTTGGCTTGAAGATCATAAACATATATAGAAGCATCACTAGTTGCAGCAACGAGCTCCTTCCCATCAGTTGAAAATTTTATGGAGAAGATCCCGAATTCATCAGTATCCTCATAGCTGGAAAAATCCAAACCATCATGGATTTCCTGCACATGAATATTTTTAGATTGAAAAAGCAAAACCCACATAAATATATCACTTTCTGTTAAACACTAAGAGTACCAGCTCTATGGGAAGAACACAGTTCTGCTCATACCATCAATTGAAACTTTGGGTTTATCAATGAGAAAACATCTGGATTACGTATATAGCATATAAAAATTCAATCTTGCAATGGCAGTTACAGCATGCCTACCGTTACATTTGCAAGCGACTCGGTTGTGGAAGATCCAACATCAACAATATGTACAACAGGTGACAGACTCGCATACACCTGCCATTATGGAAATAAAAAAGAAAGAACCAAGCCAGCCATCAATAGGAAACACAATAAGAACTTCCAGAATTTCAGAAACAATCTAATGTTCTCCATCCAACAAATTCAACCACCCAAAACTTACAAGATATCGCTGATCAGGGGAAAGACAAGTATCAGTAATCGTCCACCGCAAGCTCTTGGCCAAGATATTCTTATGAACTTGCCATCCCTTGTCCACATTATATATCCTAATGTGACTCCCCTGCGCAACCCCAAACCTCCCAAATGTTTAACCACCAAAAACCCATTTCCACAGGAGAAAATCACAGTCACCACTCACCACCTCAGGTCAACAGGGTAACAGGAAGTTGTACCTGAAACGCTGCAACGAAAAGCGACCCATCGGCCGAGAACTGAGACACATAAGCCCGACTCCTCGTGTTGTCGACCTCAACGGGAGTACTCACAGGCAAATACCGGCTCAGTACATGGCAACCATCGGCCGCCGAGAATCTCCCTCTTCCGGAGCAATTCGCCTCCCGCCCAGCCAACATCTTGAAGGTTGAGACGGATGATGCCCTGGGCCTCCCGCCGACCTTCGGGGTTTCCCGACTGAAGAGCTCGTGCGGCCCTGACCTAAGCTTCGTCAGCTGCACAATTTCGTGATGGAATTGATCGGAGGTCTCGCCTTCATTTCCTCCCGTCCCGTCCGATTTCCCTCCAGCATTCCCTTTCTCCTCACAAGCTCTCCAAAACTTAGACCTCAACGCCCTCATCTCTGGGTTCTTTTCTTTACCAACGTTTCCCCTCAGTCGAATTCGAGAAGCGCCGGGAACATCACTCTCGTCGACCGATCGTCAATTGCAGGGCAGGAGAAAGTGATCGGAGGTGAATTGATTTCGCGTTACGGTTGACTGAGGAGGATTGCCGGATTCCTCGAGCGGCGACGGCGGTGGTTACAGTTTGACTGAGGAGATCGTTTCGAGTGAACAATTGGGAGAGAGAGGGACACGTCGGCGTTTAGTTTGGATTCGACCGACGTTTATTATACAATTGGGAGATGGCGAGTTGGTATCACGCGCCTTGAGTTCCGCGTGGGCGGGTTTTATTCCATTTCATATTTCAGCCCAATTTCAATATTTTAGCAGGTTCATAAAAAGATCCAATCGTAATTCGGCCCAATTTCGATATTTTTTTCTTTCACTTTCATCAGTCTACTAACATCAGTACAACAACAGACAAAAATACACTGAGACCGCCGGCAATTCGCCGGAAGTTCCCGTCTCGCCGACCTTCTAATTCCTTCTTCATTCCAACCATCCGCCGGCGACCTTCGCAATCTCTCCCCCATCTCTGCCTCAGAATCCGTAAAACCCAGTCTCAGAGAGACTTCCCTCCTCCATTTGATATGTGAGAATGGCGGGTTCCAATGCCCAATTCAATACTATACAATCGAAATTTCTACAAATTCCTGATCTCGTAATGCGCCTACGAGCTGTTAATCGATTCCTGGATTTCTTCCAGCGTTTTGCCTTTGGTCTCGGGGACGAACTTGGCGACGAAGAGAATGGTCATGATCGAGAACCCGGAGTAGAGAAAGAACGTCCCCGACGAGCTCCAGCTCATGAGGAAGTTGAACGTGAACGAGACTGCCCAAGCGCCCAGCCAATTCACTAGCACCACCAGGCTCCCGCCGACTCCCTTCATGTTGATCGGAAAGATCTGTTTGAAGAGAAAATCAGTAAGTTTATCGTTTATGTTAATGTGGGTTTGTCTAGGGTTAGGGCTTTCTTTGTTTTTTACCTCGGACATGATCACCCAGGGGACTGCTCCCATTCCGATTGAGAATGCAGAAATGTAGACCTGAATTTCACATTCAACTTTTTCAATCAGTGAAAACCCTAACTCAATTTTAGAGGAGGGTTCTTGGAGAGTGAGATCAAGGGTTTTACCAGTACACCGGAGATGGCTAGGATAGGTACCCAGTCGAGCAGCAAATCGTGGCTCTGGTTCGGAAAAGAGGGTTTGTTAGGAACAGTTGTGAAGGAGGGGAAACGTTAAGAAGAAGAAGAAGAGAGGAGATTGTACAGAGGGACTTGCCTTGAGAAAGAAGGAAGCTCCAGCCATGGAGCAGCCGATGAATGTACCAGTTGCAGAGACCATGATGAGTGGTCTTCTACCAGACTTGTCTATCAGCATTGCTCCGGCGACAGTGATCGGGACTTGGATGCAGGCGTATGCTATGGTTCCGATTTTCGCCAGAGAAGGCCCTGGGAAAAAGGCGATATCAGATTATAAAGGGGTTGAATTGAAGCTCTAACTGCAGAAGTCTTGTAGTTTTCTGGTCGTGTGTGGGTGTTTTACCAGCTGCAGCAAATGTTTCACTTGCGTAGAAGCCGATCCCATTGATCCCTCCAAACTGCTGGAACACCATTAGTGCCACTCCAATCTGATCACAACAGCCCGGTTTTGGGTTCGGTATGAGTAAAAGGACCAAAGCTTCGGAGGATTGGCCATGAGAAAAAACCTGGTCTGAGCAAATACTTACAATCATGGAGCGAATGTACTTTGGTTGAAAAAGATCAACCATCCTTGCTTTTGGGAGAGCCCGAAGCGCCTCGAGGTTAACCTGAATTTCAACAGCTTCCCGGCTGATATCAGTGCCGTTGCCTCGGAGTTTCTGCAGGGCGACTTGGAATTCCTTCTCCCGGCCAACTTTTGCCTGAAACAACCGGAATTCATTATCCAAAATTCACCTGGAATAACGATCTCTAAGTAAAGGTCTAGGTGTTAAGCCTTGCTTACCAGCCATCTGGGAGACTCTGGAACGATGAACAGACCAAGAAGCAGGCAAATACAGGGCAGAATACCTTTTTTGTGGAGAACAAAGCATTTTCAGTTAGTCACTCTTAAAGGTACTATTATTATGCACCAATCGGGCAACCAGAAATGAAAATTTACCAGTTAGTGCTAGAGATCTCCATGTAATGACCGAGCCAAGTAAGAAGGCGGTGGAAGCTCCAACAACGATCATCAGCTAAAAACCGGAAACAGAAATCAGTTAAGTTCTGCAACCCAGTAAAAAGTATCTGCTCCTGCATTTTACCATCTATCCTACCTGATTCAGTGTAGTGAGACCTCCTCGGAGATTCTTCGGAGCGATTTCTGCTATGAATATAGGAACCTGAATTCAACAAAGAAGTCATCTTTAGTTGAATGAACCTCCTTGCTTGCAGGTAGAAAGGAACTGCCAAGGGAAATAAAGATGAAGGACAATTACCACGTAAGAGAAAACTCCAATCCCGTATCCTGTGAAGAGCCTTCCAATGTCTAGTGAAAAAGCTTCCTGATATACATATTTGGAAATTGTTAGCAGAAAGTCACTAATTCGACAGATTTCTAGGAGGAATCAGAGAAGATATATATACCGTGGAGAAGAAGATAGCCAGCCATCCCATTATGCAGAGCAGAGCAGACATCCTCATTGCCTGTGCTTTGTCAAAAACATAGAAACATGAGGAATTGAGATTTCACTCACACTCTGTATTATGATTCTTATTCCATAGCTATGGAGTACTAAAACTCACCCCTTTTCGGCCGATGAAGTCTGCAGTTCTGCCGCTGGTTACAGCTCCAAGCATGGCTCCAATTGTCAGTATCGAGCCGAACATGGAGTACTGAAGCAGGGGAGATGGTAACAGAGTGTTTCAGTCTCTGAGTATGATGAGCAAGAGAAAGAAGAAAACTGGAGGGGAAGGAAAGGTGCATTACCTCAGGCAAAGAGAGGTTGAGATCTTCACTAATTGCAGACTGAACAGGTGCAGAGTAACCAACCTGTCAAAATAATAGCTTAAGCTAAACAAACCTTTCCTTTTACCTTCTTTCCCCACCCTTTTGCATATAATTTTTTCCTGAGGGGAATTTCATTTTCGTTCCTATCCCAGACGAAACACAGACACACAAAAACCCACTTAGTAAAAACCATTGATTCAAAGAAAGAAAAAAAACCCTGGCCCCCCTACTTCTCTGATTCCTAAAACTGCCTCTTTCTCACACAGAGTAAAGATCCAAACTTTTTTTTTTTTTTTTTTCAACCATGTGAGCGAGTGAATCAGTTGGGAGTTGTAGACTTACACAAGAGCCAAACTCGAAAGAGCCACAAACCGCAACAGCAGTGCTGAGAAGCACCATTCCTATCGACCCATTGCTGCTGTCTTCTCCTTCTCCATCGGTTTCTTCCCCACTGCTACAGCTCACAACTTTGCCATTCATCAATGGCTCCTCCAAGTCCTCCAGGCCGTAGGTAATCTCACCACTCTCCACATCCTTCAAATTCCCTATCGCCATTTTCCTCTCTCTTTCTCTCTCTGAAAAGAAGAAACAGAAGGTGGCAAAGTTGCAGAGAAGGACTCAGACACTCCCTCTCTCCCTCTGTATCAGAAAATTGTTGTTGGGTGAGCAGAGAGATTTGAGCGGGCTGGCTATTTATACATGCGGAAGGGGGGGAATTGGGAAAAGCCAAAAAGAGAGGATATTGATGGGTAAATGGGTATTTTTGGTGTCCTGAGAAGGGGAAAACGGTGGGGAGAAGGCCCTCGGAGCTGCAATTTCATGAGAATAAGGCATGTGGGTGCGAGGCAGCAGAGAGCTGTAAATTGCAGCAGATTTTTTTATTTATTTAATAATTTGGGGTTCATGAATCCAGGTGTGGCTGACGTGGTGACTATTAATCAGAGTCCATTTGACGGCTACGAATTCGTGTGTATTGGTTGGATTGTTTCTTAATATCGGATGGATTAATGATAATGACGATGATGAGGCATCCAGCCAGCCAGAAAGACAGCAGGGTTTATGCAGGAAAGCCAGTAGAGATAATTGGATAAAAATTGGATAAACTGGATATTCACCTCCCCTGTCTTCGTTCGGATTTCCTATTGTCCAATTTTATCCAAGAGTAAGAATTATCTACTTTTACTATTTATCCTATCCTTTTTTATATCATTATTATTGCCATTATTATTCTTCGAGAAACAAGTTGGAATTCAAGTGGGGATTTGGTGTGTTACGTTTGCGGCTGCAACTTGGATCTCCCTCAGTTTTTTTTTAAGAGGCGGGGGGGAAAAAACAGAGGTCGCAGAACAGGGCAGAGAAACAGAGGGTATTATGTGCATTAGATAGTATCATCTCAACTTTTGTGCATGCAATGTAATCGTTATATTTATCGTGTGATTTGTTTCAATGAACAAGAAGTATGTAATTTTAATTACTCGTATTACATAATTCACCTCAAAATCTCAAGAGTTAACAAAATGACGGTTCTTTATTACTAAACGTATTCATCTCTTTCGTCACCTGCGAAACGAGAAAAACAAAACAAAAGAGTATCTTTTCGAAATATTGTGTATCTCTCTTTGACAATTCTATAACACTGTATTAGTAATGCATAGCTGCCGGTTATGTACGTAACATGTTGTCCCGATATCAATACTCGTAACGGTGTACTAGTTGTTGTCGTGTATCCATCGTCTTACTCGAAATGTGGTAGGCAATGTACTCACACAAAGGACAGGGTTATTCTCTTGAGCATATAGGTATCTTCTCAGCCAGGCTGGCTTGATGCTTTGACAACTTACTGGAACAATGGTTCTGGGGAAGAACCAAATGGGAAAGAGAAGTGAAAAAAATCTGAGAAATACTGCGAAGAAATATCTTGAGCAAACTCCATGATATTTTAGTCATATGTATCATATCCCATTTGTAAAAGAAGAGCAAAGTGGTGTAGAAAATGATGCAAGATTTTTTTTTTATTATTACAAGGGAAGAACAGACAAGGATTACATCATATAATTGTTGACCAAGATTAATTTAATTGTTCCACATAGTTCTATTGGACTCACTGATTCACCCTTTTCACCAAAGCCAAATGCCCCACAGGTTTGAAATTTTGGAACTTTTCTTTTGGGACCTTTCGACAAATAATATGGGTGTAGGTGGTAAAACCAAAATGATTTGTTAGGAGCATATTTTTTTTAATAAGGTCATGATTAACATGATCTGCATCAAACGGTCCGATATAACAATAAGCTCGTAGTAAAATATATATTTGAAAGATCACTGAGGAAACTGGGTTGTAACAGTGTTTGCATATGAAGAACGATGCATTAATTGTCGATCAGTTTCTTTGCTGCTATTAGTTATTTAGTGATGTGTTGGTTGATCACGTAAGCTGAACTGAAAAATTATGAATGCTAAAAGGCGGGAGAGGAAATTGGTAGAGAAGAAAGAGAAGGGTAAGGTGGTACAAGAAAAACTTGTCTTTTTAGTTGGTTTTATGATTCCCTAAAGTTAAGTACGTAGATTAGGAATGAGGGCAAGACTTATAATTTTGCTAAAGCAATGATTAGGGTTAGATTGGCCCATGTTATTATTTGATAAAAATACATGCAATAATTGAAAGTAATATAAAAGATAAAGAGAAGAAGAGCAAAAAATAGACAATGACATGAGGAAAGAACCTAAATCATATGAAACTATGGTGGGTTGCACTTAGTCCTACTACATAGATTCATTATTTCACAAAGAAGTTAAAATAGGAGAAATACCATAAAATATTAAAACCAATCGAGATAAAAATATGGTCACCACCTCCACTACTATTAACGTGTCTACCATAACATTTTATCGTTCTACGAGTCACTATATAACTAACAACGTCAACCAAATTGAACTACAGTCGTAAAGTTCTTATTGTTCCACAATCTCATGTAACAATATGAAAGCAAATTATTACTTCAAATGCATAATAACTATTATTGTTTATATAAAAAAAATAGATTGAGTACTAATTTAATTGTGAGCATAATTATGAACGCGGATTGATTAATCATTTGGATCCGTACTCCTAATTTTGAGAACAATTTCACGATCATAAGCTATAATGGAGGTTTCTGTTTAAGCAATGCAAGCTGCAGCTGGCACCCAATAAACATTAGAGAATTAAAATTGGCAGATTCCTGGGCAGTTACAGCAAGCTTCCTAAATCCTACCTTTACCTTTGCGTGTAATTTTCTGTAATTGAGAAAGTGTTTTGGCCTTAACCCTCTACTTAGCAAGTTAATTATTTGTACGTATAATATGATGCAACGAAGTTCCTTTCAGCTAGGCTGTAATTACATCTCTTTGGATCATGTGTTATGGATGGTATATGATTCGTAATCAAACTTTTTTTTACCGGCTCGAGTTATTAAGGGGTGGTTTGGAAGTTTGTAATTGTGTGGGTAGATTGTTACTATTTTTGTATTGTTTAGAATGCATCGTTTTCTAACATCTTTGCATAATGCATACGCAATACATAAATTGTTTTGTGTGATGTGACATAAACTATGTTTTAAAAAGAGGGATTGTTATATCTCATCTTTTAGCTGAGGTTAATTGAGATGGTTGAGTCGAGATTGTTGTATATCTTAGCTTTTAGCTTATGTAACATACACAATCACACATACCAAACGTTGTATTTTACAGCACATCAAATTCATCAATACATGTACAGTATTGTACATGTATATTCGCTGCAATACATGTTTAACAATCGCAAGTTCCATACGACCTCTAAGATTTATTGGTTCTTGACATGGTATCACAATCTTTGATGATCAAGAGGTCTTGTACGTTCAAATCCTGACGACCATAGTTGAGGGGGCATGTTAGTGGCCAAACAAGATCCATGACCATAGTTGAACATCTCTCAACAACTCCCAACAATTCGAGTTACCAGAATTAACCGGTTTTTAACAAGTTGGAGGTTACAATCAAATTGTTTTAACATTATAACAAAGTTATCATTTAATGAGACGTTTCGTATACACTTGCTCAAATACTACTTAACACGCGGATCCATGTAAAGACGATGTAGGATAGGTCGTGATTCATGAATCTGAATATTAAATAATTAGGGTTTATGTTATCCCAACGAATATGAAATTCTAAACAACCAAATATCAAAACCTAACACCACTTGAATTATCAATCCCGGCTCCTTTTTCTATTAGGTCACGAGCTGAAATTTTATAAGGTGATCCATGCATGTATTATATATTTCGCTTAAAGATTACTGAATATGCACCTCAGTAAAACAAAATAAGAAAGAAAATTTTACAGAATCTTGTTATCAAACTTCCCTTCATAACTCAAATCATTATACTCAGATTAATTCGTGTCAATGCGCCCATCTCATATTGTCATTTTGAAAAATGTGATTCATATCAAAAAGACGTCAATCGATGTTTGTTACTTATACGAAGTACGTTCTTCAAAGACCAATGATTGGCTCAAAAGGCTGGCACCACAACTATTGAGGTTACTTGTATATAATTATATGAATTAGGTTGTTAGGGAGGAGGGACAAGAGATCAGGAATCTTATCGATCGCATGAATAAGATCCGAGTCACCTCCGACATTTGTTTAATGTTTGCATGAAAGTGGCTGGCGCTGCCAAACAGACAAGAAGGCAAGTAAGTCGCCTTTTTGAAGCTCGAGGACCCGTAGAAATGGGAAATGGAGATCGAGTCCCTCACCTCAAATCATTTTCTGAAGGACCGTATTCATATGTTGTTGTTGTTGTTGTTGTTGTTTGTACTGCTAGCTGGGAAAAGGGAAAAGGGAAAAGGGAAGGGAGAAATGGGTACTGTGGTCGCAAGTCATGCCAAAATCAGCAACTTGCTAGCTGGACATACACGACATGAGAGTCGGCTGAATTGAAACCTCGTTGGAATGGTTGGTCACAAAGATATCTAACCCTTTGTTAAACTCAGCCATGAGATTAACGCGCGATTCAATTTATAATAAGCGTAAGATGTTATAGAGCGGGTAGTTGAGTCTTTGTAGAGTGATTTAAGATTTGAATTTGAGTGGGGAGGATAATTTCGGCCTGGCCCGTTTTATTCAATTTGTTTTGTGATATGGGTAATACCTACCTTGTGTAAGAGGAAGGGAGGTGGCGGGGGACGGGCATGTGGTACTCTACTGGACCCGACCTGCCCCATCCTCGACTCGTATTCATCTAAATTACATGTAATTTTACATAAATTACTCAGTATTTTATTTTTATTACCTTATATTTTAGCTACGGTGAAGTTGTAAATAGGTGATAACGTCAATTTCTCAAATAATTTAATTATATTTTTCGTATTATAGAGTTTTTTTATTGGGGTTTCAATGGAAAAAAAAATATTTCTAATATTTTTCTTTTAATTATATACCCAATTAATGGGTCGACCTGTCCCGACCTGCGGTCCGTGGTAAATTATCCGACCTTTCACGGGACGGGTTTGCGTATCGAGATACACTCCTTAGACATGCCTCGTTGCCATTCCCAAACTTGAGTTCTTTTTAACAATTTGAGTAGTTGAGATGGATGAGATTTTTTTTATATAGTAATAGAGCTATTGATTTACGTATAAGATAAGCATGGTCTGTACAAACTGCAAATTCATGAGTCGATTTTCGTTTGAGAAGTCATATCCAATTGGATAAAAGTGATTTTCTATGACAATCAACTCTCAGCAGGAGAATTGCATTTTAATTATAGTATTTACAATAATTCACCACAACATTTATAATAATAAAATAATAGTCGAAAAGACGTAGTTGAAGAAACTCTATTATACCGATTGGCGATCAAGAAAACCGGATACCAAAACTAAAACCTTAATACGATACTAGCAACAGCGACAAAATACTGCCCCTGTTGCCTGTTGGTCAGGGAGAAGCTCCGCGGAAGCCACGAGAAGATTATGTTTTTGCAATTAAGAGATTTTAAGGATTTGGGATTTAGGACAGAAATGGTGTGGTGTTACTTTGAATCTGAGTCAGAACCTATGCACAATCACCACTACCAACACCCAATCCCACCCTTCCAAACCGGCCTTAATTAACCTCTGCCATCTAATTATCTCTCTCAAAGGTTGTTAAACACCTATCGAACTCACGGTTGGACCCGGTCCGACCCGGATCGAGCTTCAAAACTGCCACCAGAAAGGCTTCCTGTCTGAACCCTAAAGAAGGAGAAGAAGAGAGGGGGAAGAGCAGTGTTGTCATAACCAGACCGGACAACGATCCGGATTAGTGAGAGGTTTAAGGTTTATCGGATAACCGGCGATTAACCAGTATAAAACCAGTCATAAAACCGGTAACGTACAAATATTTCGAATAAAATAATCATATCTTAGCAGTACATTTTAAAAGTATATAATTGTGAATTGTAAATTCAGCGGACAATTCTTGATGGAGTTGAATGGGGTTCTTTGTTATTTAAGAGCATATGTATAGCTAATTGCCTAATTTTATTGGAAAAGAAGGTGATCTATGGAAGGGAAAAGGTCAAAAGAAGGAAGGGAGCAAACAATTCAGAAGTAGATAATGTTCCCTTTTCCTTTTCTTTGATTCTTTTTATTCTCCTTAGTTTCATAAGTTAGGTAATTTTAGATTTTATTGGTTTTACGAATTAAAAGCCGCCAAAAATGTCGGCAAAGGAATACGGAATAGACGTAAATGTTCCTATTTTCTTTTTATTCTCTTTCCTTTTTTGTTTCATACGTAACTTAAGGTAAGGTTTGAGGAATTAAAAGCTACAGAACCGCTGGTTCGGGTTGGCCGGTTCTGCCGGTAAACCGGTTAACACCCAGCCGGCTAGATCTAGCATTGGATTTGTGCTTCCGGGACCGGAAACATGCCCGAGTCCGGTTTTCCCCGGTTAGACAGGCCGGTCCGGGCCGGTTTTGACAACAGTGGGGATTGGGAAAGAGAGTAAGAGGAACAAAGGAAGAGAGATGGTGGGTGGGTTATGGAGGTTAGGTAGATTTATTTTGTGGAAAATAAGTTTTTAATAGATATATGTAAGATAAATTTTATTTGAGCCATGAAATCTTTAATTACTACCTTATTTGTATATATATTTAGAAAATGTCTAAAACAGCTCAAACTGGCCGTACCCCGATCAAATCATTAAACCTCAAACCCCTTGCTTGACCGGCTCAATGACTTAAACCGGTTAGATAACCTTGATCTCCCTCCAATTGACTAACACCACACCAACCAAACAAATGTGTTAGAAACAAGTTGATACCAATAAGGCAATAACTCGAGTTGATGAAAGAAATTCGATTATAATTTTTTATAATTTACTAACAATTAGTCTCCGTCTAACTCATATAGATTTGAAATTTGTACAGCTACAATTGTGTTCCAATATCAATGCCCATTGATTGCCAAAATCATTTTGCCATGGTGTTTTAGATTGTAGTTGGTTGTGGGTTAGGTAAATGAAAATGGAATCCGATTTTGCCAAGGCAGCAGCACCGGCTGGATTATGGAAAAACATGTGTCGAATCCAATGATAGTGTGGGCAGTCTATGATTGAACATTGTTTTGTTCCAGCCTTTGCCGCCGCGTTCAATCTTGGAAAATCTTAATCAGCTTCCTGCCGGTTTTCCTCTATGCTCAAAACTAGGAGTGTTCAAACGGTGAGGTTATTGTGGTAACCGTTTTAAACGGTAGTATATGGGGTGTTCAAATGATGTGGTTACTATGGTAATCATTTTAACCAGTAGTGTATGACTCATTTGGTTTGGTTAATTTGGATAATTTGTTTGGTTTGGTTAAAAAGGTTAGTTTGTTTGGTTTCGATGGTTTTGTTTGGTTTCACACACTCCTAACCAATCAAACCAAATTAACCAATTAAGTAATCATTTTATATATTTAATATGTATTATATACACATACTTAATACTTGAGATAACCACTCAATAGCCAAACATTCATTCCTTTTAGGCTCGTCGACAATAAAGTTCAATATTGTTCTTATACTATATATTTGTATTTGTATTTGTAGAGTGTAGACAATGATGTATGAATACACATATATTTTTGTTAGGTGAATAATGTGAATAATTCTATTGACTGTAAGATAATTGTATTAGTTGCATTTTTCTGTAAGGGTCAACTATAAATTATGAATTGATGCATTAACCAAAAAATTTCCCACTTAATGATAATGTGATGTTATATTGGTTAATCTGGTTAACCAATTAACCAAACCGATTAAACTTTAGTTTGGCTAATTTGGTTGTTGTATTAATTTGGACGGTTTGATTATGATATTGTATTCCATGTTTAATAGAATTTTGGCTTGTTTAGTTTGGTAATTACCATAGTAACCATTCCAATACCCCTACTCAAAACGAGGGGCAGACTTCAACTTGGGCCAGCGCATGTTTTGTTGGCACAAACACCGTTTTAACCCTAAAAATGACGGTTATGAAGCGAGTGCACTGAATGCACCCAAAAAAGTGAGTGCAGTCGCTTCATAACCGTCATTTTAAACATGCAATTGATGTTAAAATGATGTCAATCATCACTTATGATGTGATGAACAATAACGCACATGAATATGCACAAAAACCATTAAAGATTTACTTTAATTTGAATGATTTAGAGTTTACAGATTTAGGGTTAGGGTTAGGTTTACAATTTGGGGTTTAGGGATAGAATGCAAAATTGGAGGTCTAGGGCTTAGGGTAATCCGCTAATTAGTTGTTATCATATGATATATCATCATATTACACTAATTCTACAAATTAAAATTCAAAATTTGACACCTTAAGACTATTTTTAAGGTTGGGTGCATTGAACGCACTCATTTTTGTGAGTGCACCGAAGTAGTCACCATATATATATAATAATTTTTCACTTTACTCACATATAGTTGAATAAATGGGCTAAACTCCGATCTAACTATATCACTTACTTCACCAGCATAACAGTATCAAACTAGTTTATACCATTATGTCGATGTAGCAAGTGGTATGGTGTGATACAATTGGTTTGTGCCATTCATGTCAGTTTAATAAAATATGAAAAACCCATTAATATTGAATGAATTTAAGTATATATAAGCCAATTTACTTACAATCTATAATTATATTTAAATAAAATAACAATATACCCACATTTAAGTACAATATTTAACATCAACGACCAAACTTTTATACTCAAATCCAACAAATTATATCAACATTTAACTTTTAAATTCATGAAATAAATCATTAATTAATTTTTTCATTAATTAAATTCATTACAACGTCATCATTTTGTTAATAGTTCAAAAATCGATCATACCAGCCATACCAATAATATCTAGTTCGGTTGAAGTAGGTTCAATCGGCCGGCATTTCACCCGTGTAGACTGTAGAGTGTCAGCCTAGTTATTCTGCTAACTGCATAAGTTGTTAGTATGTACTAACTAATATCCAAAATGTATGAACTAGTATCCAAGTCTGCTGATTTTACTAAAATATCTAGATAGCACAGACTAGTATTCAAAACATCACAAGCTAGTATCCAGATAGCAGATACCGACTAATATCCACAATCAACCAACTAGTATTCAATATGGATACTCTTATGTGTTATCTGGATACTAATTATGTTCTCGTATGGATATTATTCTGTGTTGTCTAGATATTAGTTTGTGAATTTGGGATAATAGTTGATTCATGATGAATATCAATTAGCAAACTTTGAATACTAGTCTGTGATTTCTATATACTTTAGTACTTGGATACTGGTTCATATATTTTTTATATCAGTCCGTTAGTATCTGCTAACGAATTCTCAAATTAGCCATAAAGTGTAGACTCTAGACTCCCAAATTTTATTTTTCTTTTCTTCGTCCAATCCTTTTACAAGCCGGCCCGCAGTCGACTCCGCGATTAACCATCGCACTTCATCTCATCCTTGAGTCATCGCCGCCGTTGGCTCCTTCTCCTTCTACCGTTACCGCAATCCCCGCCGTCGCCTCATCCACATCCTGTCGTCGCATTCATAGCCTCCATTGCAAGCTGTGGCCGCCGCCTCCTCAATTTGGTAGGAGCCCCTGATTTCAGATTTTTTGTTGTTGTTGGTTTCAGCTGCTCTTTCATGAATGATGTGAGACAGAGATGGGGCGACAAGTATAGATTCATGAGAATGATTCTTGTATGAATAGATTCTAGTACTATTAACTGTATTAGTATGTAGTAGCAGCAGAGAACCTATTTGTGATGAATAGGTTCTAGTACTAGTAACTGAAACCCTGCCATCTGCTGCTGTCCATTGTTTGGAATTTAATCTGCCAATTTTCCTTCCATGTCGATGCAAATTGGGTTGCTTGGCATTGTGGGCTACGTGAAAGCTTTTGCTTTCCTTGTACATAGTTAATCATCTATGATTTCCGATTTGATAAAATGGTGTCACCTTTATCTGCTGCACCGAACTCAGACGTCCAGTGAGCTACCTGTTTTCCTTCTCCGCTGTCTGTTTTCCTGGTTCCACCAATTCAATGCTTGGGGTTGGCAGATCGCTTTCCGATGTCAGTCAGCGCCTCCTTCGCAACCTAGCGGTGAGTATTTATTTCTGAACAATTTATCTATGCAGGTCAGGGGTTAGGGTTTGAGCTTAAGGGTCTAGGGGTTTCCCCGATCGTGCCTCTTGTTCACTTACTATCAATTTTCACACATTTCTTGGATTTCTATGCTTGTTGCTTGGAGAAAGTTGAAGCCTTTTTCCCGAATGTGGACTCGAGGGGATTGTTGGTTCTTCGGGCGTGGATTAGATAAGATTGGACCAATATACAGTAAACTTGGGACAGCTCTTTGGTTTAGTTCATTTTGGGTTCTTTGCTTTGCCCTAGCGGTGTTTTCCTGAAATAGGCTGCTCTTACATGTAGAGGGTTCGGCTTTGTGATTTCCGTGTTATGAACTTCCCCTGTTAACCAATTGATTCAGTTACGATGTCAACAAGTGCAATGCCTCCGTGTTGGGAATGCGGAGATTCCAAACCACAAGAGGCTGCAGATTTCTCTTCAGTACATCCATGGAATTGGCCGCAGCAGGGCTCATCAGATTCTGGTGGACTTGAGTGTCCAGAACAAGCTTACCAAGGACTTGACCGGTGTCGAACTTAATGCACTTAAGGAGGAAGTCTCCAAGTACTTGACTGGAGGAGATTTAGTAAGCTCTTCTCACATACCCTAGTTTTTGCTTGCCTTCTCATATCCTGAGTTCTTCTCCTAAACACTTCACACTGTTTGGCGGCATCCAGAAACGATGTGTCAGTGGCGATGTACAAAAGCTGATAGACAGCGGATGCTACAGAGGGATCAGGCATGTCGATATGTTGCCTTGCAGGGGACAACGTACAAAGACCAATGCACGGACTAGGAAAGGTGAGCAAGTTACCTTTGCGGAAGTAAACTCAGTTATAGCTAGATGGAACTTTTAGGTCCTGAATCAATCACATGATCAATCTGGTGTATTGGCTTAGGTTCATTGGATGTTCATATGATTCCGGTCATTGGTGCTGCTTTCTCTGTTATCTGATTTCTTACTGATGGATTGTTTTCATTGTTTGTTGTGGAATTATTATGCAGAACACACCAAGCAGTTGGGGAAAGTACCAACCTCCCGCTGAAGTTTATTTTGGAACACCAGAAAGTATTCTGGCAAACTCTAGGTTGCGCGGATAGAACATCATTGAAAAATTAGTTCTAATGCATACCTTCTTTGCCTTTTGACATTGTGGCTTTGATATCCTCTCTTAATAAAATTTGATGGTGCTTCCTTCTGCCTTGTAATACATTCTATTTTCTTAGTAGATCCTACCCAGTCGAATCCTGGCTACATGCCATTGTCGACCAGTTTAGTCCCAACATCAAATTTTATCGTTGAATCGGGTTAACTCGACACCACATGCAACTGCTAATCAAATGCTGCTACAAAAGTTTCTCCGCTGAAACCCAACAGTGGATTCAACCATAAGAGAGAAATGGAAACAGCACGAGAAAATACACATGAAATACATTAACAGGACAGCCATCTGATGGCTGCCAAGATCTACATTAAGAGAGCACAAACAAAGATGGTAGGCGAAAATTATATAGACAAGCCCTACAAAGAATTTCGTTTCCTAGCCACGGAGCAAAAAAAACCAGGCAGTCTTCTTCATCTGATTCGAGGATGCCTTGCCAGGTTTCGACCTCTGATTCAATTTGTCATTCATATCCATGGCATAATCACTTTGGCCTGTCAAACTGAGGCGGCTTTTCAATCAAGCTCCCGAGCTGTTTCGAGCCGGTTGTCAGCTTCAGATTAGCCCCAGCTGGCTGAGTAATTTACAAACAAAGAGTCTACTAGGCTGGTGTTAGTACCTACTATCAGTCAAGCAGCTCCGGATCGAGACAGCGATTTTGCTAACACTGTGAGGATGGAGCAGCACTGCGCATACTAACAGACACATTGCCATGGCAGCAATTACAAACATCCCGGGCCGTGACCTCAAAACCCGGTTGGACAGAATGAGACTGCACGACTTGATGGCTCTTCCATTTAGGAGCGGAATCTTGTCACTTGTAACATCATGACTTGAGCCTTTCGTTAACCTCAGCCAGTTATCTGGTCTACTCTCTATGTCCTGCAATCACAACCGTCAATTACAACGATAGTTCAGCCAGCAGAAAATAATGGCCTGAAACTACTTATGGCGGACCCTAGTAATTATTAGAATGTAAAAAGGCGTCGCTAATTTTCTCTAAGCTGTTGCTTACATAATTTTTCTCCACTTTTACTACAACCTAAAGGAAAGACACTTATCCAAAGCAAAAGCTAAAACAAACACACCCAAGAAGTACAAAAGAATGAGCTGTCTAACCTCATCGGAACATGCAGCAACAGATGGAAACTCAATCGCAGAGCTACATCGAGTTACATCGCCATGATCCTGCATAGTACACTCTGACTCTGAAACCAAACCTTTGTTTCTGTTGGCTTGTTGGAGAAGAAACCTATGGGCATCATCCACGTATTTTTGTAATAGTTTAGCATCAGCATCATTATCTACATATATTTCATCCATCAGGATTTTCAGATTGGGTAAGATTTTCCCCAAAATGAAGGTTGATTCATGCTGCAGCAAAAATTGCAACAAAGTCATAAATTTCTGGATCTGAAAGGAGGCCCTTTTTAGCTTAATATCTTCTTGGGAAGGTGTTTTCAACAACCAGGCTATGTCCACAATCAACTCCGAGAGTATTCTTTGCCTGGTTTCTGAAACCTCACACTGTAGTAGACCTGTTGGTGGATGAGATGCGTCAAATAATTCCATTCTCTGCCGTATTACTTCCATTTCAGAACAGATTTGTTGATCTCCAACAAGCACAGGAATGAAGTTCGATAAACCGCTTTCATTCTCGACCTGTAAAAGGCGTTGAAGCAGATGTTAGAGAGAAAAAAACAACCTGAAAGGAAAATGGACTTCCCAGCTCCCCCCTGGGAATTTTATATTTCTAGGTTCAACTTTCCAGGGAACTAAAAAATACCTCGATAAAGGCGGGACCATAGATATTAGGATCAATACAAGGAATAGAAATCTTGCACAGCTGGTGGTCCCTGGTCGCTGCTCCATCTGTACTACCGCTGGGTAGTCCAACACAGTGATCATATGCTAAATACTTCCCATCAAATGACACCAGCAACCTGCCACAATGACATCTTTTATTACACTTGCAACATTATTACAGATTTTATAGAAGTCTCTCAAGAATGCTACATCCATAACTAACAAGAGGGGAAAAACAAGTATTCCAGACATGCAACTGAAAGTATAGGTAAGAGAAAGGTAAGAGATTTCAAAATAGGTCGCTTAGGACATTGGACAGCAATGCTATACCGAAATTTGGATTGGAATAGGTTGCTTCCGCAAGTAACAAACTCCATTGGCTTCCCAGCCTCAAAGAACATTGGATGAACATAGTGAAGCCTAGGGGTATGTGTTCCAATACTGAGTTGCATCACTGAAGTTCCACCTATGTTCCATAGGAAGTGTATGTCAGATAGCGAGAACATTGAAACATTTTCTTTTTCTTGAAGAAATTTAGAAGAAACGAAAATTATTCAGACAGCTGTTCCATTAATCAAGAATGCTAATAGGGCTGACACCCTCACATGAATCCTCCTTAACTTTACCATCTACTTGTGAAACTATTTCTTCCTTCTACCCCTAGAGAATCATAAAGGAAGGAATCTTCGATTTGATAATAAAATGTGACATACTAAGGGGAACTGCCAATTGTTTAGCTAGGGCAACTGCTTGCCAAAATCTGAACAGCAATAAGTAGCAGAAAGATCTGTAAACTGAGAAGTCCAGACTAAACTATCCACTTCGCCACTTCCCTAAGCTAGGGCAATTGCTAACCAAGCAAGTTTTTTCAGTTATCACAACAAGATTAAAGTAGTGGAAAGAGCTGTAAGATGGATGTAGCAATCACCCTGAGTCAAACTTTTGGGGCTCCAGTTAGCCATCGATGTATGTCTGGCGATTTTAGCAGCTTGCTTATGACATATGAAAAATAGAGGAGCAGGAAAGCAAGTGCATAACATCTGTTAAGTGCCAGATTACCAATTAAGGGTTTACACCAAAAGGTACACACAACGGAGTACAAAATTCAAGTGCAATAATAAGCCATTTCTAATCTTTTAGTGCATATCAAGACGAAAATAACCATAAATGTTCAGGAGGTCAATCAAAATCTTCAAAAGTTTCTTACCTTTCATTACTCGGAACACCATATCATTCAGATAAATGATCATAGGGCCTTTTCCATACAGCATTGTTCCAGGAACAATGATAAAATTGTGCACATACGATAGAGGATCTTCGAGCACCTGCTTGATACAACAGAAGTTATAAAGGTCAGAACATGCAGAATTAGTGACAGTCCCCAGACTACTTGCAGAGAAGGTAATTTATTCGTCATGTCATTGGCTAAGAAAGATAAAGTGTAGATTTAGCCAAAATACTTTGCATGCACCTTCTATGTCCCACCTTAAAAAAAATCCACCTTACTTCTTCAACTTACTGCTCTATTGAAAACACTTAGTACTCTCAGGAGGATGCATAAACAGAAGAAAAAAATGAGCTAGCAATTCAATCTTTACAAGCTTGAAGTGGCGAGAGCAGATAGTGTGTTCAAATCCACAATACGAAAGGGAAAATTCACTTCTCCAAGTTTAATCACAAAGCTACTCTCAACGAAACATGGAACTCTTTTCGTCCATTGGTTGAACATTTTCAGATAGTAAACGAGTTATTACCTTCGCCCACATGAATTTTGGCATTGCAACAAACACAGTCAATATTGTACATCCAGGACGAATATATCCTTCCAACTCAACAGGCATACTAGCCAACCACTGGAATATCTGCAAACACAATTAGACCAACATCAGTGAACATCTCACACGCTTAACCAATAAAAACCATATTGGCCTTCAAAATACTAAACTGCAATATAATTCTTTAAAATACTTGGTGACGGAGCCTTCTCGGAAACTCTGCTGGATTCCAATCATAGAGCTTGAACGAGATGCGACCTGTTGGACACTAAAAAGAAATAACAATTGATTACAAGGAAACTACATTATTTAACAATGCACCACTATTAACATTGAACAATATCAATGAAGACCCACCAACGATGAGTAAGGAGTCCTATTGTCGAAATAAGAAGGAGAGCCTGACAACTTGGAGTCATACTTCCCACCAGAATCAGCATTTCCAGCATCCAATTGGGTTTCAGCTGAACCAGCACCACTGTCGCTGTTCAATTTCTGGGGTTCAGATTGAAACACAGGTTCATCTTCTATCACAACCAGAGCTTCCTTCCCCACAACCTGCAAGCTTAAACCCTCTGCAGCACAGCCAAAGCATATACATCCATCAGCACACGCGTTATATGTGAGTGCAACTCTCCACCTGACGTCAAATAACCTCACCTTTTTCAGCTTCACCATCAACAACAGCAGCAGCATCTTCAGCTTGCAAACTATCCACACTAGTCCCCACCTTAGCACCAGGCTTTCTACGTCTCCTATTGTTGTGACGCTCTAATTTCCTTCTACAGCTTCGCTTCCCTTCATCAAAATCCGAAAGCAAGTGAAACCTATACCACAAGGATCCGGCAACGCAGGACATTTCAATCAATCAAACCACCACTCAGAACTACGATCACATTCAAAAAAATGAGAGACTCAAGGAAGCAAAAACCGTTTCTCACACTTACTTCCCACACTGCTGACAGTATCTCTTTGTCTCCCCCTCGAGCTCAACGGCGGTCGCATTCGCACACCGCAAGCACACCCTATGCCGCCGGTGATAACCTTTCAGCTCGCCGATATCCGCCTCACACCCGGGAACCTGGCACCGATACACCCCGGGCCCTCCTCCTCTGGCAACACGCGGACGTTTATTACCCGGGACGCCTTCCTCCCGCTCCAGCTCCAATTGCGCGTCCAGCTCCGGACAAGCGCAGGGGACCCTGCCGGCCAAGAAATTGGAGCAGGTCAACCTCGGGTCCCGCTTCCTGACCCGGTCGGGAGGCGGAGTATCGGGCGTCAAGTGGCCGGGATCCACATCGGGGATATCATCCAACGCCGCGGAACCGTCGAAGGCGAGAGAGAAGTGATCGTCGATGTTGAAGTCGAGGAGATCGGTGAATTCCCAGACGCCGGCAGAAGGAGAAGAAGGATACGGCTCGGTCGCCGCCGGCGGGAGATGGGGTTCCATTGGTGCATCGAGCGGGGCGGCCGGAGGAAAAGGCGACGGTTCCATGGAGCTGTCGTCGATTAGGGAAACCCTTGGAATCGGGGGACGGTGGGGTTGCGCGGTGGTTCGGTTATGGGGGCTTGGCTCGAAGTCGTTGTTCAATTCGATATTTTTTTGTCCTGTTTTTTTTATTATATATTCCATTTTTATTGGAGTGATGTAATGTAAGAAACAAAAGAAAAAAAAAATCGTTCACTCCATGAGGCTATTGTGTCGACATATGATTGGGTATCATTGTCTTGACTCCAAGCTACTCTTGGGTCGTGCTAAATTTTTTTTTTTTTTCATGAATAATAATGCAATTATGCAAAGAGTACGGTTGGTTTCTAGAAGTGATACCAATTCACATAGTTTTGGTGTTTATTTATAGGGTTAATACTCTAGTTTGGCTCAAGTTTAGCGTGAGTGACAATTCTGACCTCATTTTTCAAATCCTTATCCTTACTTAATATTATAGGAATTCAAAACTAAATCTTTGCCACATAAGCACATGGATGACTCTCATTCATCCATGGTGGACAAGTTCTAATTATAATTTTTTTTCTTTACACTTAAAATCATCATTATTATCATTAAAATGTGCATTAAGTAGTGACCAAAAAAAAAAAAAAAATGTGCATTAAGTTAATAACAATGAATGCAATCTTTTGGTTTGTTTCTATTGGTTTTCCAGTATAGATAATCTCTCTAAAATTAAAATTGGAAATTGGAAAAAATAAAAGATAAAAATTGGGTCAAGCCCTATAAAACAAACAAAACTCTCTTTTTATTCACTCAAAATTTTGAGATTTCTAGCATTTCTATTTTCTTCTCTACTATTTTATGTATAGATACATCATACATGTAAGGAAAATGGTAAGACATATAGAGTTTTTTCATTGCGTCAGTTACAAGAGGCAGCAATTAGATGAGAAACAATTGAGTAGTTGTAACATATTTTTCCTATTGACAAAAAAGTTCTTATCATTGAGAATACGAAGTAAACCAAGCCAAGTAGTGACGACAGCTCTCTATTCTCCCGTGATCCGCAGCTGATGACTGACCTCTCTTCTCCAACGGTATTTGGCTGCTTGTGATTGACCGGTCGGGTTCTACTCTTCTTTCCACTTTTAAGTACTTTCATATTATGGTGGCAGGAATTTAAATTGCCCTACTTGATCTACCATTGTCTTTCATCTTCACTTTAGGTATTATTCAAAACTAAATTACTGTCACATCAGCACATGGATAGCTCTCATCCTTTCATGGTGGGCAAGTTCTAATTATAAATGGCGTACCTTATGTTAACACTTTCAATCGTCATTATCATTAATAACACATAAATCGAAGTTAATAACAATGAATGCAACCTTTTAATTCGTTTCTATACGTTTTTTTCTTCGTTTAGATTAGCTCTCTAAAAATAAAACCCATCATTAAAAAGAATAAAATTAATTGATTGGGTCAAGCCCTATAAAAACAAACAAAACTCTTTTCTTATTTGCTCAAAAGTTTGAGATTTCTAGCATTTCTCTTCTATATTATTCATCGGATGCTAAAATGGAAAACAAACTTGTGAGGGTTGTCACCTTACAATGTTCCATCAGAGGATGTTTTTATATTTATTATGTTCATGAGTGACTTGCTACTAGCTAGTTTTACAATGATGATATGGTCAGTAAGTAGTAAGTAGCAGGGGGTTATAAGTAAAATGGATGTGGAGTTTTATAAAGGTCACAAATAAGAAATAAAGTGGTAGTGGTGGTCATTGGGTTGTCTATGTCGATGTTCTTTCAATTTCTTAAAGTGTGCAATGTCATTTGTGTGTTTTCTTAGCGTGGATTGATGCATCAATCCAGTTCATGATTGAGGAACTCATAAGATGGAACGAATTGAGTTGTATTGAAGTTTGCAACTTTCACTATTCGTCTATGTTGTTATTAGGTAAAAAAAACATTCGTTTTGCAGAGGATATTTGGCCCTCTACTAAATATCAATTATATTTATAGGCAGTTAAATTGCTGAAAATATTATTTTAATAATTTAATGATAGTAGTTAGTTCGATTTCTGGTTGATTATGCTAGAACATTGCTAAGGTAAATTAAAATGGATAAGCAGAAGATTGATTATGTGGATGCTAATGAGATTTCTTGCTCTATCAAAATTACATGGATAACTTATATCGCATGATATTGATAGGATCTAAAATAATAATAATAAAAAATAGTAGACACAAAATAGTTGATATAAAATAATTTAATAAAATTAGTGTTTCATTAATAAATGGAAGATACAAAGGGTCAAAGAATATCTTCTTATGAAATAAGGTAAAGGATATTGAAATTTTCATGTATAATAATGTAACATACATGAATTATAAAAAAATAAAATAATACAATGAAAAATAAATCAATTTCGACCGCCCAACGGGCGGATAAAAAACTAGTAAGACATTTATGACCTACTTTTGAAATTATTGGACAAATTTAGCCCAACGTTTGGGTTGACCGTTAAAACTGACGGTCAAACATTCTCACCGTTAATGACTCGGCAAAAACTGGTGATATGGCAATGACATGGCTGCCACGTCATTTTCACAAAAATTAACAATTAAAAAAAGACATGAAATGAAATAAAAAAACAAAAACATGAAAATGAAAATGAAATAAAAAAACAAAAACATGAAAAATAATCCCTTGAACCACTCTCCGTCCTCCGCCCTCCAATCCTCCACCACAAAGAACACTTTGCTTGAATCTCTCTTCTCCATTCCAATAAACCGCCCTCTCTTTCCCCGACAATCCTCACCGAAATCAAGTCCCTTACAAAGGCCGCAAGGAATTCTGCCCGCGACCGACAGAGTGAGGAAGCCCCACAGGTCCAGGCCCCGAACCGTCGCCCTCCCCGCAATTTCAATTCATTGTTCCTTTTTCCCTCTTTTTTTTTTAATTTCGAGGAAATCTTTGTCCAATTTCGTTTGCATCGATTTCAATCTCAGGGGGAGCAGCTCTGGCACGAGAGACGTGAGAGAGCTTAGCCTAGCTGTGGATTTTCGACTGCCGATGCCCGGTGGGGAAAATGGCGGATTGGATTGTGAAGAGAAACAGGGGAAGCAACTCTCGCAACGAGAGACGAGAGGGCGTAGGGTCCTATTTTTCTTGCATCGGACTCGCCGGCTGGCTGGCAAAGATATGAAGTAGAGAGCGGCGAGTCTCGTTCTTCTTGTCTTGGACTCGCCGGCTGGCTAGGGAAAGATTAGAAGCATAGAATGGCGATGGCTTTTCGTCGATAGCAGAGGCGAGCAGGGCGGCGACTGATTGTTGGGGAGAAATAAGGGAAGGGGACGGATTGGGTTCTTCTCGATGGAGAGGATGTTGTTGCCGGGGAATGGAGGCCCTTTCTAGTTTGCAGCCAGCCGGGATTTGGTTTTGAAGAAGACGACCTTCACTCTTCAAATTTTTGTTTTTTTTTATATTTCATTTTCATGTTTTTATTTCAATTTTTGTGGAAATGACGTGGCAGCCATGTCGTTGCCATATCAGCAAATTTTGCTGAGTCATTAATGGTGAGAATGTTTGACCGTTAGTTTAGATGGTCAACCCAAAAATCGGGCCAAATTTATCTAATAATTTCAAAAGTATGCCATAAATGTCTTATTTGAAAAATGAGGCCAGAATAATCACTTATGCTAAACTTCGGGCCAAATAAGGGTATTAACCCTTATTTATATGATTGGGTATATGTGGTTATTCATGAAAATAGTAATTGCTATTCGTGCAACGCATTGAGATTTGTTCACGTACTTGTAGCATTTCAAATAGTATCAATTTCTGAATTTTAAAATACACTAAATGAATTTCGTTGTGTAGATTGTTGTCGATGTAATGTTTTTGTAAAAAAAAAGAATTGAAGTTCAAATTTAAACCCATACATTATGGTCGAAACAAATTATTAGATGGTGAAAATTAAGGAAATTTTCTCCGTTTACAACGAAATAATGTTACATTTTTTAACGTGTTCATGTTTATGGAGGATACAATAGAAATTTTTCTACTGCAAATCAAACGAAACCAAAGGTCTATGATAAACGAGCAGTTATATCAACTTTTTTTTGGAAAGTAGCAGTTATATTGACTTCACATTGCACTCAGTGGTGAGTTTGATTGGATGATCGAGTGGCAAACAATATCACATAGAGATCGATAAATAGTGTAAGCTCGCATATATCCTTTTATAAGTAGGAACTTATAAAAAAAGTCAATATATATCACTCTTATAGGAGAAAAAATCAATTTATGATTCAACATCAACATCCATCGAGAAGAATGTACTATATATATACCATTTGGTTCAACCATGTTGTACGGTAGAAATTTGGTGGCGGAAATGATCGCAAAGGGAAGGATAAAAGTGGTGGTTAGATCAGATGTAGAGAGGGAGATTGCGTGTGGAGGGGAGAATAATCGGTCGGAGGGATGATAAATCGCCATCATTGTCCCATTACTCTAACAACGTGACAAGCCAGTTTACTGATAATGACAACTCTCCTAACTAATCACCCTTTTGATTAGCATTAGCGGACTAGTTAACTAGCCTCTAAGCATATTCCGGTGAACTGAGAGGGCAACGGCGGATGTTGATACGCCGACCGGCTCTCCGGTGGCTCTTGCTGTCGCCCAAGCCCCAAAGGGCACGCGTCCCCGCTGGCCCTTTTTTTCTAACCCTCTGTTTCCGAAGGAAGGGAGGAAAAGGAGGGGAGGTGAAGGAAAATTAGGAGGGGAGGAAGATTTGGAGGTGAAGGGAATTGGAAGGAAAAAGTTGTTTTATGAAGGAAAGTAAGAAGGAAAATGTGTATTGGGAAGTGTGATGGATATATTATTTTATTAGTTATGTAATAGTATAATAATTTAATTATATGTTTATACTATTTATATTATGAATTATGGATAAAAATTATTCTTTATTATAATTTCGTTCATTATCAGAAATTAAAAGCAATGATTGTAAATTATGCCGAAAATTGTACCGGAAAAACAACGATAACAAATAAAAGATATCATCACCGATTTCCATCCCTTGTTGCTTACCGTACCCTAAATCCTTTCAATTATGGACTCCCTCAATCACTATACTCCTTTTTAATACACCACAATTTATTATGAGACCTAATGCACAAGCAAAAAAGGAAAAAAATCTATTAAACTGAACGAAAATGAAGAACATGTAAGAGGAAGAAAAAGAAGTAAAGGAAAAAGAAAGAAAAACTAATAAAGAAGAAAAGCCAAATGAAATAATAAACTAATGAATAAAAGAACAAAAGAAAGGAAAGTAGTTTTCTCTCCAAAATGGAGGGTTGGATTGCACAGTGAAATGTCCACTTAACTTTCTTTCCTCCCTTCCTGTAGCTTATTTCGGAAACAGGGTGAAGTACATTGGGAATGGGACTTTCCTCCCCATTCTTCCCTCCCCTTCCCTTTCCCTCTTTAAAAAACAGAGGGTTAAGTATCGTCATTCGTCACTGCAGGTAGGGTGGTTATACGGTCCAGTTCGATTAGATTGGCCCAAATTGATCTGGTTTTGTTCGATCTTTTTGAAAAATATAAGAACTAAAGATTGGATTGGATACAGTCCGGTCTTGATCCGGTCCGGTTTTGATTCGATTCGGTCTTGACCCGATCCGGTCCCAATTCAGTCTTGATTTTATATTGAACTTGTGGGGATTTGAGTGGTCTAAGGCCTGAAAGGGTGAGGAGTTGGTTAAGTTTTGTACTAAGTGCAAAGGTTTGTGACCGTTTATGCAAATTACCCTTAAGTTTTGGATGATGAGCTCTCTTATCCGGTCTTTATCTAGTTTTCGTTCCAGTCCTGAACGGGTTTTTACCTCAAATCTGAGCCCAAAGATTGGATTGGATTATTTATTATCCGGTCCCGGTTCGATCTCAGTCCAGGTTACATTTTTCAGTTTTAGGTAAAATATAAAAAAATTTCATCACGATCGGATAACCGAGCAAAAAGTTACGTTTTTTTAAAGATTTGACGTAGGTCAGGCCTTCACCAGGCCTTCACCGTTTTCCTCTAACGCGGTGATGCATTCACCGCGTTTCTCTACAGCGGTGATGCAATCACCGTTTTTGTCTAAGGCGGTGATGCAATCACCGTTTTCGTCTAACGCGGTGATTCAATCACCGCCTTTGTCAGACGCGGTGAAGGCCCAAACATGCGTAGATTGGGAATTTTTTTCATAACATGTGTATTTTGAGAATTTTTTTTAAAAACATGTGTACAGTGGGATTTTTTCCCCCTAAGTCCCTCACTGAGTGGTGGAATAATTTATATTTTGGTTTGTGTGCCAATCGTTGTTTTCAATTTGGGCCAAACAAGTAGTGAAATTGTGGACAGCGATAGTTCTTTTAATATCAGAGATGGCACAAAGATATGATATCAACATTTTGGTGGCTGTGGCGAACCTAAAACCCACGAGGTGAGATGGCAGCCTATTGGTGAATACTTTAACATATAATCAACTTGGGTTCGTAATTTCAGAAATTAACATTATGGTTTCAACTATGTATCATATAGTCTAGTGTGGTCGAATGTCTGTTTTGACCATCAATTTAAACGGTCAATACTATTGACTAACGGTCAGCGTTCCAGCTCACCGCCACGTCAGTGACAAATAAATAAAAATTCAAATTGTTTTTTATTTTCTTTATCTATTAAAATAATAAAAGCGTCAGTATTTGGCGACTTACCCAAACACAATAGAGGATAGAATAGCAGTAAAAATCAACTAGACAAACACATTCATTCATTCAAACCCTAAAATATTCATACATATATAATAAACCCTAAAACTAGGATTTGGGGTTTACAACCCCTAGTAATTTACAGGACTACTCCATAAAGGAGGGAGAAGATACATAAAAGAAATGGAAGAAGACTTGAGGTTGAGGAAGATGCCTCATCTCTTCTTGCTCCTTCTCTTCCGCTTTCTTCAACTTCTCTCTCCTCTCTCTTTCTCTCTAGAACCATAAAATCTTCTCTCAAAATCAGATCATCTAAAAGAGGGAAAGGGGTCTTTTATTTATAGGCAATCTGGGAACGGAGAAGCTTGCGGCCAGAGGTGCAGAGATCGTGGACGAGATTTTCAGAGGTGAGGCCGCGATCTTGAAACGTCGTCATGGACTTTGGAAATGAGAAGATCGCGGGCTGACTTCGTGATCGCGATCTTCAGTAACTGCCTCCTTTCTACACTTGTGACCTTGCTTTGTACCTAATTCTCACATATCGTCTAATGCACCATAAAATCACATCGAATTCAAATAGAAACGGAACAGGGATGTAATTGACGATGTTTAAGCAATTATTCACATCAATTGGCACGAAACAAACCTCAATATGGAGGGTAAATAACACCAATTTAGGTGTTATCATGAAGGCAGCTCAGTTGACAGCTCTAGAAACACCAGATGAAGTCTCATTTGCACAAGTTCAGGAGGTTGTACAGAAGCATCGGGACTTGTAGATGGCCAGGGAGAGCTTTTATAAGCAAAAAAACTCACCCCTTACCATATCCTCAATTTGGGAACACACTGCAAGTTGGTGCCATTGGGACACGTGATCGATACCTTGGACTTCCTTCCGTCATCCATCGTTCAAAGCGGGATACTTTCCGATTCATTGAGGAAGCGGTTGCTAAGCGTCTCCAAGGTTGGAAACGACGTTGTTTATCGCCAGCAGGGTTGGAAGTTCTGATTAAGTCAGTCGTGTCGGCCCTACCTGTTTATGCTATGTCATGTTTTCGACTTCCAAAGGAGCTCTGTCGGACTTTAAATCGTATGATTGCACGGTTTTGGTGGGGTCAACAAGGGACTGAAAGACGTTTGCCTTGGGTATCTTTGAGAAAGTTGTGTAAACCAAAAGGGGATGGTGGTTTGGGCTTCCGAGATTTTGAGGCTTTTAATCAAGCGCTACTTGCCAAGCAGTGCTGGCGCATTTTACAAGATCCCAATTCTTTAGTTGCCCGGGTATTAAAAGGACGATACTTCCATCATACGAGTTTCTTGAATGCCGGTGTGGGTTCTAATTCTTCTTGGGCATGGCAATCACTTCTTCATGGCCGGACATTGCTAAGCCGCGGTTTGCGTTGGGAGGTTGGTGCAGGATCTTCAATTGATGCTTTGATGGATCCTTGGGTTCCGTCTCTTCCAAGTTTTCGACCAGTGGTGTTGCCGACTGCTGATCGGTCGCCTCGGTTAATCTCCTACTTCATCTCTCCCGTTAGTCGTTCTTGGGATCATCACCGACTTGGAGAGTTCTTCACGCAGGATTCCATTAAGAGTATCATTTGCAGACCTTTGCCACGACTACTTTGCCCGGATAAATTAATTTGGCATTTTGATCATCATGGTTTATTTACAGTTAAGTCAGCTTATCGGTTGGCGACTAGTTTGCCTCCAGTTTCGAGGGCTCGTGGTAGTGTGGACCAGGCTTCACCTCTTGATCCTGCGCTATGGCATCGACTTTGGGGTCTTCCTCTTGCTCCTAAATTGAAGTTTTTCCTTTGGCGGATTTTACTAAGAATCCTTCCAGTCAGGGAGGATCTTGCCCGACATGGGGTGCATGTAGAAGATTCATGCCCTGTTTGTGGTTCAGATGAAGGCGAATCGCTGGAACATTTATTCCTTGCGTGTTGTGTGGCAGTAGATTTCCGTCAACGGTGTGGTTTACATTTGCCTCCGGGATTTTTTTCAAGCACACATTTGTCCATCTTTTTAAGACACATCATTCTCTCCGATCATGCCACCATAATAAATTGGGTCCTCTTTTTTTGGCGGATTTGGAAAGGGCGGAATAATGTTGTCTTTCCACCCTATGCACAATTTACCACTGCTGCCTTGTACCGTCGCCTATTATCTCATCATGCCTCTCATCAAATTGCCATCCTACCCAATCAGTCGCCGCCACCCAGACCTCAGCCTTATCCTCGTTCGACGCTTCAATCTACTTTTCGCATTGCAGTTGATGGGGCGACAAGTGCTCCGACTCATGGCGCAATTGGCGTGGTGGGTTTGGATCAGAATGTGCCCGTTTTTGCAATGGGTGGTTTCTTTCCAGGTCTTTTTCATTCTAACATCATGGAGGTGTTGCCAATTAGAGAAGCTTTATTACTACTTCGACAATGGTAGTGGCAGGATCGACCGATTGTGATTACAAGTGATGCTCTTGCAGTTGTACAACATTTGAAGGCTTCTGATGCCAATGATGCCCTTGTGGGGGCTATCTTACGATAAGTCATCTTTATGTTGCAAGAATTGCCATTGATTTCTGTTGCTTTTACTCCTAGAGAAGCGAATCGGGCTGCCCATGTTGTGGCACGTAATGCCTTATGCTACTCTGGCTCTTGTAGTGTTCGTTTTAATTGTTCTTATTTACTTTGGCTATCTTTTCACGAAGAAGCCGTTGTATTGTGGCTACTCGTGCTTACCTAGTTAATCCGCAAGGGTTTCTATGACAAAAAAAAAGTTACTAGGTGGTTGTCCTTCACTCTCTCTCCTAAAAAAACATTTTTTCCGAATCGCTCACAAAATTCAAAATTCCCTTTCTGCGCTCCCTTCCCACTCTAGGGTTTCCGCTCTGTTCCCCTTCGTTCAACCTTCGCAAATGGCAAGGTACCGGAGCCGCAGCCGGAGTTACAGTCCCCGCCGCCCCCGCAGCAGGACCCCTCCTCGACTGCGCAAGCGGCACGACGACGACGGCAGCGACGACGAGCCTCGCGATCGTTACCGCGACAGCCGTTCCCGTAGAGACCGACGGTCCCCTCTTCCTTCTGGTTTGCTCGTCCGTAATCTCCCTCTCACCGCTAGGTACTACAACTCCTTCCGTTCTCGATAGTTTGCATTCTGTCGCGCTGGCGCTGTTTTGAGTGCGTTTGTGTTAGTTTGGAGTTGGGGTTTTCCTTCTCAACTGGCTTGTGAGTTTGTTGACATAGCGGGAGGGAGCTGGGGAAAGAGTGCGTTACATTAGAGTCTTGATGTTTGGTTCTAGGTTGAAGTAAGTTTCGGTTGACCATGCATTATGCAATTTTCAGCCAAGATTTTCTGCCTAAAGCTATGTAATATGGATAGCTCATTCCTCCTTGGGTAGTGTTCTGTTGTTTGGCACGATTGTATGTAATTTGAGTTGATATCTTTTAATTTTTAAATATTTCTTTTCTTTGGGATGTGAAATTTAGGGTTGTTACTTTATTTTGTTGCAGCGCTGAGGATCTCAGGATCCCGTTTCAGAAGTATGGCCCTGTTAAAGATATCTATCTGCCTAAGAATTACCATACTGGGTATGCTCGCTAGTTCATTGTTCTTCTCTTATTATCATTTCCTTTGTTCTTTCTGTAATGACGATTATTAGTGATATCCCTATAGTTAACTGCCAATTACTCCTTCATAGGTTAACTAACATATTCTGCTGAACGATATAATGTGGTTATGTGGTTGGTCCTTGGTTCTCAGAATGAAGTGTTTGTGGTTTGTAATATGCGCATTATGAATGATCCAATATGTAAATGCAGGGAGCCTCGAGGCTTTGGGTTTGTCAAGTATCGTTATGGCGAGGATGCAGCGATAGCTAAGGAAAGAATGAATCATAGATTTATTGGTGGACGGGAGATTCGGATTGTTTTTGCTGAGGAAAACCGGAAAACTCCTCAGGAAATGTCTTCAACTGGTGGCCGTACAAGGTGAGTTATTGACTGCATGGTTCACCTTTCGTGAATGTTTTTGTACACTATCCAGGTCTCTCAATTGTGCATTATTGGTTGGTGTATTAATTTCAGCAGTCGACATGGTGGTAGCAGTAGGCACAGATCACCACCAAGGTCTCCAAGACGCAGATTCCGATGTCAGTTATAAATATCTCTCATCTATTATCTGTAGTTTCAGAATCACTACTTTAGCATTATGGTGTTATTATTTGAATGATGCAATGTGAAGATGTCATAGAGGGGACAGTCTTCTGACTAATAGATCTTTCTTTCCAGCTTCATCACGCTCTGCTTCGCCACCTAGGAGAGACACGAGGTTTGGATCCCTTAGCTTCCATCTTACTTTTCCATTCTACTTATCATGAGATTCTTTTTGGTTATCACTATCCTTATTGCTTAGTTTGTCGTTCATGTGTAACATTCTTTTGATGAGGTATGAAGTCCGAGGCATTCATGTGATAGTCATCATATTAATCCACTAGATTTATGTTGCAAATATGATGATATAATCACCGAAAGGAGAGTAGTATGATTGAATGGGATTCATATTCCCTCGATATATTGGTGGTAGATGCAGCAGCAAACATGCATTTGGTTTTTATTGCTCTAGAGAGCTTGATCGTTAAGTTTAGAGAACCTAATGCACCCAGTTAATTTATATAGGGCTGTGCTGTTATTCCTTCTCTTTCCATGACTAATGCACTATGGTCAGTGTTCTTTCTCATTTTATTCTTGTTTGTTGCAATTCTGCTCCAAATAAATACTTAGAGTTGTATAAACAAAATAGAAGTTTTGTAATATGGAAGCTGGAATTGTCACTCCTGAATCTTTTACTGAAAATTTGAAGCTCAGGGTTTCCAATGTATACCCTTCATCAGCCATTGTCTGCAAATTACTGTTGGCACCCCTGTTCTTTGGTTTTCGAAAATTGTTACAGTTCAATGACATGACTAGTTAAATGCAGTACAGAGACTCAGAGAGTAGGGAAAGTATTTGCCCTTTCATTTGTCTTATTTTTCTGTTCTCTCAAGTTTGACATAATTACTACCTGTGAAGGACAATTTGTTGAGTTTGTGTGCTGTTTTGCATATACGATCCAGTTAAGAAAAGAATATAAAGCTTATAGTTGGCACAAAGAGTAATCATCATCTTCAAAGAGGGAAGCTAGTCCAAAGTTTTACTGGTAGAGAGATGTCATGGCCTTGTCCCAGAAAACAAAAGATAGACTGATTTCTTAGGATGTTGGGGCAAAGAGATTGAGAACTGTGAAGTTAGCAAGATGCTGATCCGGCCAGTACAATCCTTGTAGAGCCCAGCTCTCAAAGTGTTTTGGATCAAGTATCATTATTTGTACTGGAATCCTGAAATGGTAACAGGTAAAAAGTCATATTCTGTTTAGTTGGATTTCAACGAGGTCTCATGTGAACATTATTTTGTACATAATCCGAATTCGGTTTCAATTACAGTGCATTCTAGAATTGCCTTTGTTTTTCAATATGCTGACTGAAGAAGGTTGGCTCCATTTTATTTACTCGAATGTCCAAAATGCCATAGATCAACAACATTACTAATTTCTGTTTCTTACTAGAGTTTGTGTATGATTATCCAATTATTGCTTCTGAAGCAGGGATCACAGAGTGAGGGATGACCACCATACTTCAAGGAGATCTAGATCAATCTCAAGATCATACTCTCCACAGGATGAAGAAAGGGATCATAGGTCTAACAGGAGATCTCCAAGTCCAGTTGGAAATGGTCGTAGTCCTCAGGAAGTGCGGGACCATGCCTCTGGTAGATCAATGAGTCCCAAGGATAATCGGTTCAGTCCTTCTCTGTCTGGTTCAAGGTCATACGAGTGAGTTCCTCCTGTAGCCTGTTCGTACCGTGGACAACTGTAATATCTTCTTTTGCCATTGGAGAAAGTTGTTCGCTTATACAGTGATTTGTTTATCTTGTTTTTTATCAACAGCTAATGTGCATGTGCCTGATCGTGATCCTCTCTTCGTCTGATCTTCTCTGCACTGCTTGGTTGAACGGTTGATGGCTGATGGGAATGTGTGAATCTGAGATGTGCAATCAGTTATCAGTGTTTCCTCCTTTCTCTCCCTTCTGTCTCTAGGTCTAGTTACTTCAGACTGAATAGTACTCTTCCGATGCTAGTGGATGTAGTCTCTTTTTCTACATTGGCCATTTTGATTTCTGTACAAATTTGTAGTTTGGGGAACATCAGGAGATTCAGAATTTGATGTCGGTTTTGTTGGTTGTTTCCCCCAATTTGGGCTTCTGGAGTTGATTCTTTGAGTAGATGACTTTCAAGGTAACGACGATATTCCGAGTAAACTGAATGTAGCATTGTGACATTCATCCAGGACAACCTAGCTATGGTGTGCACAAGGAATCTGAAGCCTTGCTCACATTGCCCCTCGTTTGTCAGATTGCGTACAGACGCTTCACAGCCATCGCATTACAATGCCATTCCCTCCATCCGACTGCTCTGGAGCATACGAGCACGTTCTGGCAAGCGTTATGCGCTATGTGCATGTTCTCATAGATGTATAAGAGCAAAATCCCCGAAGGAGGTAAATGCAACTAATATTTCTCAAGTGCAGAGAGTTACATGGCAAAAACGTATCCAAACCCAAAAGAGATCCATTAATACAATCGACAACAGAAAACGAATTCAAAACCACGGTGTTTTGCTCATGGCGGATTGCCATTTACATATTATTAAACTAAGCAGGGGGGAACCGAACATCCAGATTTTTGGCTAGATAGAATCACTACAGAGGGCACTCTTTCTCGAATGCTTGTTGCTCCTTGCGGCACAGATCAAACTCATTTGTGTTGTAGTACATGCAGCCGACGTAATCGTCCATTTGTTTTGTGCAGTTCTGGTGTAGATCTTTCAGCCTGCAAATGACAAAAGCGGATTAAATTCCCAGTCATGCAGCTGCTAAAAACTGCAACAATTCTTCTTGTGTATACATGCGTAGTTCTATGTCAAATTGTCAATGATGTGATGTAAGAAGTTGAGGACTCCTTAAGAAAGATGGTAAAACCGTAAAACTATGGCCCTAAACTGGGCTTGCACAAATGGGATATCAACTGATTAATCCTTTTTTGGCCAGGCATTGTCAACAGCAAATGGATTCCATACCGGAGAAGGGTAAAATGGACGCAAATGTACATATGCTAATAGCAAATCATGGGCATGCAAGCAACCGAGGGCAAAATGCAGGTCAGTAAAAGTTTTCTTCAGACTATATAAATCGTGAATTTCGTATATACAAATGAAAACATCAGACCAATCAAAGTATTGTTTACAGAATGGTGGTTCTATATAGGGGGAAAAAATATATTGGTACTAATAACTCTGCTGAAACTATATCCTAGTCCTATGTAAAGGAATCATGAGGGCGCCAGTAGTTGAAAGTTGAAACTGAATCTCGTACGAGTTAAAGCATTCAAAGAGCCAGTAATGAACCCTGTACTATACTCTTCTAAGTTCCAATTCTTTAAAGATTTTCAATCTAATTGCTCAGAGTTCACTTGCATTCAAGTTAGCAGCAAGAGCATCATGCATACACATCCACTCCATTTACCCAAAACAATAACTTCCACATCACAATGCAAGAATACAACATTTCTTCTCTAAAGCCACGACCACCATAAATTGCAAACTCCAACCTAGTGGTATTACCATTAGTCATACCGAAGTTAATGATTCGTTCACCGAACAAACCATGAATTCAGTAACCTCATAGAAAGAGAAGAGGGATTGTACAAGGTGCAAAATCACCAACTGAGCTAAATAACTAGCCCTAATGCAGAATGTATCGCTTGCAAAAGAATCCAATCGCCTAACCGCACACTCAATCTCACTCCACAGTCACACACCGTCACACCCCCCATGAACACCAAGCCAAAAAAATAAAACCCTAAATGAGAATCGAATTCGCAGCCATAAAGTCAAATCAGCAAACAAAGAAGAATCGCCAAACTGAAGTTGATCCAGTAATCTCCTAGGAAATGAGGAAAGGTATGGTTCAAGCTGTTAGCCAATCCCCAAAATGAGCTAAATACTAAATAGCTACCCTGGTAAGCTCATTGAAGCAGAATGAATCACTTGCAAAGAATCCAATCGCCAAATCTCACTCTAAAACCCTAAAATGAGAAATCATTTTGTTCCGAAGCAGTCAATAAACAAAGAAAGACGAAGCAGAACCTCACACAAGAATGGCAATCAACAGTTAAAAAAGCAGCTAGCTTTTTTTGGCGCATTTTGAAGGCGATGAGATGGCTTACAGGCCCAAGACGCAGCGAGTGACTTGCCGCCCTTTATCGAGGCATTTCTCAGGGTTGGGATCCTGCTGTTTGCACTTGATGAACTCCAAATTCTCGCTATAGCATCTCTTCCCAATGTGCTTCGACGCCGACATCAGAACCGCCGACGTCGGGATCGGATTTCCGGCCTCGTCAACCGAACTACTCGCCATCTTTCAACCTTTGCCCCTACACTCCAATCAACACAAATTTCCCACTTATCCGATCGAAAAGCTTCGCATTTGTTCCCAATCAGAGATACAGGGAGAAACAAAAAATGGCGGAAAACCAAAGGATTAACATTTTCACAGGTCCATACCTCGTCGCTGGCGCAGAGGAAGGAAAAGAGCTCTTCGCGACTCCAGCAGAGAATTTACTGAGCGAGCTCAACTGAGATCCCCGGTTCTGTTTGGTTTCCAGGAAAATGGAGCATAAGGATCCACGTAATTTACCATCGTACCCCTGACTCAGCGTACTAAATAATTGTCAAACCGGTTTATACCATTGCGTTGATTTAACAAGTGTAACGGTACGATCAGTGATACAATAAGTTTGAGCCGATTTATGTCAGCTTAATAAAATACAACATTCCAAATAAAATAACAAATATTCGTATTTAAATACAGTATTTAACGTCAATATCTATACGTTTATACCTAAATCATAATTACTTCAACTTTTAACTTTTTATATTCATAAAATATATATATATGAAAATTTATTTTTTTATCAATAAATTTTACTAAAACGATGCCATTTTACTTATAGTTCGTAAATTGATCATGTGAGTCATATCAATGGTGTTTATGTTGATTTCATGACTGGCACTGGTTGAACCAGGTTCAACTGGCTGGAAGTGCCACTAACAACCATGAATTAACATGATTAAAAAAAAAACACACTTAACCTGCTTTTAGACACGCCCAAGAAATCAAGAACAAGTCGTGAAATAAGAAGACACTCAGGTATCGCCTAGACATAATTAGAGCGAGGTAGGTTGTCAATATCAAATGGGAAAATCAATGTATCTACAAACTTAATCATTTATATTAGGCAAAATACACTTGTATAGCCAAAACTTTCACGTTTGTGTCACTTATAGCCACTTTTGGCGAAATACCACTTATAGCCACTTCCGTCCAATTCTTTAACGGTGTTAGTGTTAGAGTATGACTGGACAAACAGAGATGCTGACGTGGTGAGCATTTCTGGCCAAATTTGCTGATGTGGCAATTTTATATAGAAATATGTCAAATAAAAAAGTATTACCTTTAATGAGGAAAACAAAAAATAAATAAATAAACAAAAAAGATTGGACAAATCAATATTTCCCTCTCTCTTCTCCACCACCGTCCAACTTCCTCCTTCCTCCTCCTTTTCTTTTCCACGACCACCCCACTTCCTCCTTCATCCTCCTTGTCTTCTCCACCGCTGTCAAACTTCCTCTTTCCTCCTCCGCAGGACCTCCACCGCTCCTCTGCTGCTCCAACATCGAACGAAGTAGACCCTGGATCTGGTGGCCATGACTTCTTTCCCTATTCGAATCATTCTTCACGCTCTTCACTGCTGATGTCGTCGACTAATCATGAATACGCTCCTCCGAGCCCCGATTTTGATTCATCATCGAAGAAAATGGAATCCGCTGTTCCTGATCTCCGCTGGCCGATGAAGTTGAGGAAGGTGATTTGTCGGAGGGCGACGCGGCCGAAGGGGCGATGGTGGGGAAGCGACTAGCAGCGGGAGCGGAAGGCAGAAGAGGAAGGTGGTTCGTCGGGATCTGAAGCACCCTTTTCTCTCTATTTGTGCGAGATCTGGAGTTGTTGCCTTCCCCCTCTGCTCCGTCAAAAGGAATTTGAGACTTTTTAGATCCGCGGACACCAGATTTGATTCAATCGGGGGAGAGAGAATGGAAGGCAATTCAGAGAAACGAGATTTTCATCTCTTTTTTTTGGTTTTTTATAATTTAATGTAGTAATTAAATATTAAATAATTATAATATCCGACGTGTCATTGTCCGCTGATTTGGCGCTGACGTGTCCGCTGATTTGACGCATAGTCACCAAATCATCAAATAAGTTGACGGTGTTAATAACACCGATAAAGTATCTAACGAAAATGGCTATATTTGGCACACAACATCTTTAAAAAGTGGCTATAAGTGGTATTTCGCCTAAAGTGGCTATAAGTGGCACAAACGTGAAAGTTTTGGCTACACAAGTGTATTTTGCATTTATATTAATGGCTCAAGAGCTCTATGAGCTATGATTATATGAACTAATGAGTTTTTTTCTTCTTTCTATTGTTGAGTGTGAACTGTGAAGTAAGTTGTTAATGACGAGGTTTAAGTAAGCTAGGCGCTAGACAAACATTCAACACCCGCCTTCTGCGTAGCACCTTTTCAACCTCGATAATTAATAAGGATATATTGACTAGGACTGAGATGTCAATGACGAAAGTAATAGGACTAAATCGGTAATCATGCTTGGATAATTAATAAGGATATTGACTAGGTCTAGGACTGAGATGTCAATGACGAAAGTAATAGGACTAAATCGGTAATCATGCAAGCCGTAAATTTGTGATTGCCATACTCCTCCTTACCCTAAGCTCTCTCTCGCTCTTCCTCCTATTAAACCCTTGCCGCCGGCCGCCTTGAGATCAGTACGAGACACTCTCGCTTCTGCTCGCCGTCCTTTCTTCTCTGTCCGGCTATCTCTCACTCTCTCACGGTATGGAACTTTTCATAATTGAGGAACAAGGATGAATTTTCTCTCGTTTCAATTTAGGCTGTAGATTTCGCAATTTTTTTAGCAACTTGTTGTATGAAGGGTATATAGAATTGATAGATGCATCAAAGGATTGAAGAAGTTCTGATTTGGTGAATCCTACTTGCTAAAGTGCTGTTCGACCAGATATCAAGTGGGGATTAACCAAACAGAAACCCTCTGAAAAATTCTATGTTCAAGAGAGGTTTCACCATTTCTTTGGCCTGTGCTGCTATTTAGCTTGTGAAGCTTCTTCTAGTTTAGGAAGGAAAGGTCTTGCCAAGATTAGGAAGGAAAGGTCAAGTCTTTGTGCTTCATCTGAACTGGTCTTCATAGAGTGTAAAGTTCTCGATTTCTACCTACAGTTGGATTGTTTGGTTTTAGTCCATTGCGATTCCGGGTTCGTGCTAGTTAACTGATCTCTGAGTCCAGTTGGGGATTTGCTGTTCTTCAATCTGGTCCACCTTCACTGAATAATTGCTATTGCTATTGTGTTTCTTTCTGGGTTATGGGATTGTATGCTTAATTTTGGTTCTGTTTTCTTGTGATGTGATACAAGGCAATGGGTGACAAGAAGAAGAAGACGTTCATGTTCATCAGGCTTATCTCAGCAGCCGGGACAGGGTTCTTCTATGTCAAGAAGAAGAGCTCCAAGAAAGTCATGGAGAAGCTCGAGTTCCGGAAGTATGATCCAAGGGTGAACCGCCATGTTCTTTTCACAGAAGCAAAGATGAAATGAGTGAGCAAACAACAATTCTGCTAATGAATAATGGCAGCCAGGTTTTTATTGGCCCTCTGTAGGCGGTGTTCTGAAACCCTTTCCGTGTTCTTCACTGCTGAAACTTTTCATAGCGTTCAAGTTTAGGAGATTGGCATCTTGCTTTCGCTCCCTTATTATGTTGTGCTCATGGTGAACTGATGGAAGAAATGAGTTAGCAATCTTGTCAAGTAATGAAGTTCTAGCATTTTCTTGGCAACGGTAGAATGAATCAATGTTTTGATTTGAACCCCTCTGGAAATGCATGCTCAGTTGAAGTTAGCTAAGGAATTGAAGCAATTCCAGGTCATCAGATGCCATTTTTTCCATTTGTTTCACTCTTTAGTATTATACTGTTCTACCTTGCGAGAGACGACGATTACTTTTTTATAGAATAGCTAGGGTGATTACAGCAAACCTGAGAGGTTCTAGGAGCTGATGTTACTGCTGTAGTTCTGAATTTCTTCACTTTAAGGCATCTGCCTGGTAGAGGTAGTGTTAACTCCACTGTTGTTACTCTGTTGCCTAAGGTCTCCTTTGCCTACTCTGTTGTTACTAGTCAATAGATTAAAGAGAGTTCTCCCACTGTGCTTAGTGAAAATCAGTCCGCTTTTGAGGGAATTATGAGAGAGCCAGTAGTTGAAACTGAATCTTGTACGAGTTAAAAGCATTCCAAGAGCCAGTAATGAACCCTGAAGTTAACCTCTTGAAGTTGTATGATATTATCTTTTATTAATTGCCCATTGATCCAGGTTGTGTAACTAAGAGCTCTACAACATTTTATGTAGAAACTTAGTTATTTGAAAAAGGTTATAATGATTCTTAAGAAGATTGAAAACCCAAAAGTGTTATGAAGGATAACAAGATCCATTTGTTATAGAATGTTTAGCCTTAATAGATGCCATACAATGGTGCATGACACACTCCTTTGTCTCTGTCAAATTTCATGGAGTTTCACAACAATTGATACGACGAACGTTGGAGGCACCTTGCACATGATCGGGGTGAAGCTATACTGGAGGATACTCAGAGTTTAACTTCTCACTTCAACTGGATTTCTTACTGCTTGGCTTTGATCGACTCCTGCGCTTTTTATATTTCCTCTATCCGACAAACTTTTTCAATCTTGGCTTCTACAAAAAATATTAAGCGTTGCCGCTTAGGGATTCAAATTTCCACGCCATCCAAGCCTCCACGTCATTTAATATCTTCCCCAAGAGACTTCCTTCTCCGTTCCCAACCCCAACGACACCTTTATAGGAAAAAAAAAACAAAAGAAGCCCAACGAACCCTCCTCCCCCTTCAATTGCCAAATCTGCCGCCGGGGACAATTTCCAAATCAAACCTCCTCCATCTTCCCCTTGCCATTTTATTCACGATTATCACTTCCTGCATAAGCTCTTAGCCGGTTCCGTTATCGCAAATACCATTCCACTACCGCCCCAGGCTTTCCAACCCCACTCCTTTCTCTGTAATTCTCCCTATTTTCGGACTTGATCCCAGCGACTAGACTCCGCACGTTTTATCCCGTCGACGTTGTATTCCTGAAGTCGACGTTTCCCCTTCTGCGCGGGACAACAACATCCTAATCCTAAATAGGGGAAGCTGTTGTTGCGGCTTCCACCGCTTCGATTCCCAGCCCAGGTGTGTTATCCTCCATTGTTTCTTCTATTGAACGTTTCCTCCAAGTAATAAACCCCCAATCAAAGTGTCCCTCACTGTACAGTAGAGTAGATGTAGGTAGATGTGATTCTCTAAATCATCCAATTCAGTAGACAAAGACAAATAATTGCAGCCTGCACTCATTCTTCCTTCTATTAAAAGAACAAGCAAAGGCTGCACTGATTCTTAGAGTCACATCCAATCCAAACACTGTGACTCCTTTTGCTTTGTTTGCCTCTTGTTAAAAACAAAAAAAAAAAAATCTAAAACTAAAGGGCAATAGTAGCCGCCAAATCCATGGACTGAACTTCTAATTGACCCCTAAATATTCGAATTAATCGCCCTAAAATTATCCAAACTGACGATTTTGCCCCTATTCTTAACAAAACCCAAATACACCACCAGCCCTTCCCGTCACCGTCTTTAGTACCCTCTCCCCGAAAACACTGCCGCCTCCTCCAAACCCAAAGCGACACCACCAGCCCACTCCCCGGTTGCCATCGAGGAAGAAATCCACCCTGCCGCTTGTCGTTGGTCGTCGTCGTGGCGCCCAGCAGCAGGAGGAGGAAGGAGGTCGACGTGGGTTGGCCGAGATTTCAAACCGCCTGTTCCTCCTTGGCCGGCCGGGATTTTCTTCTTCGTCCTCTCCTTCCAGTCAAGCTCGCAGCGGCGGCGAGAAGCAGAGGTCGTGCGGTGGGGGCGGTGAGATTTTTCGATTGTGATTTAGGTTTGAATTTGGAATAGGGGTAATGTATCCATTCTCGGTTGCGACGTAAAGATCCCATCTTTGATCTTTCGACGCCGTTTCCTCCTCTCCGCTTGTCTCGTTTGCTTGCTTTGCTCCTGCATCTGAGTTGCAGGATCGAGGTTCAAACGGAAACCCACCATTTTGCTGAATAGATGAATGCTTTTGCAGTGTCCTTTTTGTTTGTTGCTTGAAATTTAAATTCTCGACGAGGCTTTGGTTTCTGATCGAACTTTTGCATCTTCTTCGTTTTTTTCAGGTAACTATTCAGGTCATCCTGCAAGAAATTGAGTAATGAAGATGTATGTTGTTTCTGTTTTCCCTCGCTTTTCATCCTCTCGATTTCTCACCCTGACAACCAACCCATTTTGAGACTATTTTTTTCCCCCACCCTTATACTAACAAATTTGTTGCAGAAAGGAGGGAAATGCGGGTCTAATCATAAACTTCGAGCTACTGCATTTGCTGAATTCAAGAGGTGCTGCTAAGGATACCACCAGAGTGATGGCTAGTGTGGGACGCTCTGAATACAAGGTTCTTGATTTTGGTTTTTGGATTGAGTGCCTCATTGTATGTAGTGGAAAAAAAGAACCATTCATCTGGTTCTTCCTTGTCTTGTCTGATGAATAATATCTAGTTGTTAGAATTGATTGTAGGTTTATGATTATTTGGTGGGGACAGTTGCCTGCAATCAAACTAAAGAGCACATCAATGAGTTCTTGGAAAAGTCTCAGAAATTTAAGCTTACCAAAGCTGAGATTCTGAGCATCATCAACACCAGGCCTTCCCAGTTAGTGGAGCTTGACCCGGTTGGTATACTTTCTGAGTTTTCTGCTTTTAGGGATCTTGGTTTTGCTTTATTTACATAGTCTGCTGTTCTTACAAAGAGATTCGATACACTGTTGCGGCTTGTGTTTCACTCAATTTTTACAACTGGGTGTGATATCAAACCTGAGACATTCTAATTCCCGCCAAAGTCTTAACAAAGCGTCTAGTTGTACCCTTGGAAACATTTTGCTTCATCAAGATGAGGCAATAGCTTCACCATCTGCACTTTTCGCTTGTATGCATTTGGGGTTCTTACTTTGTTTTGTACTTCATGTCAGCCATATCTACTGTGTGGCTAAGCCCTTTTCTTTTCCCTATTTTATTATGTGCCGGCAGATCGTAGAGCAACAAGAACAGCGACCAGAACTTGATATGGAAGAACTGTTGGAGTTGATCTTGCAAGTTTTGCCACCTCCTCCATCAGAAACAGAACCAGAACCTGAACCAGAACCAGTTGATGAGGACAACAATAAAACTGCAGATGCTGAAAAGAATGTTCCCGATGAGTAGACTAACTGTCCAGGGATCTTGCCTCTCGATACATAGACGGAAAGGGTATCAGTTGAACTGCATTGTTATTTTTTTTTTCTCCAGTTGTTGCAACAAGTACATGTTGCTGATGTTAGTGATCGGGTTAGTATGATAGATAACAGCAACAAACCATGATCAGTAGGGATCCAGGCCACTTGTTCTTTTAGTGCATGCCATTGCCAGGCTATAATATTACGACGGAAAGCTTTGGACAATTGTCAATGTTATGCTGTATAATATAGCAGATTATAATTGCCTGCAATGCAGTTGTAGCTTATTTGATTTATTATCATCTCTTGGATTACTTGCCTGTTTGATATAGCAGATGAAAAAATTATGCTTTCTTGCGCAGGTTGTTGGAATTTTTGTACATTGTGCTTTTATAAACTCTGCATTCCTACCAGTCTGTGTTTTGGCCTCTGAGATGCTGCTCAACTTGACGATGGCTTGAATGTTCTTCAGTTGGTGTCGTTTTCTCGAGTAGTTTCACCATCCCCAGAATTGCTGACCCTGAATTTCCCCTTGTGAGCCGGTCAATTAACTTGATACCTCATTGTGAACCAAGGGAACATTAGGAGGCCTGATGTTTTCTGCAGATGAAATTGTTTTATCATACAATTTCCATGAGCAGACTGACAAGCGAGTGAGAGTCGATATCGAGGCAAATGATTTGTCGAGATTGCGAAGCTTTATATTTCCATAAAGAAGGAAAGATAAACAACTATTGGAACCAGTTCTACGCCAATACTCTGAACAGTTTTATGCCTTCGGCTACCAGATTGGTATTTTATTCAAGGGATTTGTGCTCTTCTTGTCGTCAGAGTACTATAATGTACTGTGGAGGACAAGAGAATTGAAACATTTGTACGGAACTGTACACTGAACACGGCTTAATTGCAATTTTCAAGCGGAGAGCTAGCCCCTTTTGATTGAAACCTGTTGACGCAAGTGGTGTTTTGGCTTTTTATCAAATGGAACTTATGGTTCAAAAGGATCAAACGTGCCGCCTTTTCACCCCAACACTCAAGTAGCCTACTTGTGAGTCTGAACTGTGAACCCAAAACATGTCAATTAACGACTCGTTCAGAAGAAAGAGACCCTTATTACCATTCGGCTTTTGGTACCATTTCCAAAGGAAGAGAAAGGAATTGGAAGAAAGAAGAAGAAGAAGAAACGAATAGATATGCATAAATATACTAAAATAGTAAAATCTATCCATCTATCTATCCATTCTATCTCTTTGTGATTGCTGATGAGCTGGACCAATCAGCGAAGACCCGCAATTCTGGTCCCTGGGTTGTGGAAAAAGCCTTCCTTCCCATTTCCATGACCTATAAATATGACAATCACCTCCCGGATCAAATGCTTCGTTTGGGACATGGTACGAGTTAGAGATTCTCTCCCCAATTTTCCTTGTTCATTCACTGTTGCTTCCACTTAATTAGTGGGAACTGAGAAAGATCACGTCTTCTCCATTAATACCCACCAGCCAAATTCTGTACTTTTGCTTATTTCCTGTTTTCAGGGTTCTTTTTCTTGCTCTCTAATGGCGCTCTGTGCATTCTCATTCCCTGCTCATGCCAACCGAGTTCCAGATCCTGCAAAGTTCAGTTCTTTTTCCGCTACGGGAAGAGATCTGCTTTCCCTGTCTCCCCACAACGTCAATCAGGTTAGCTTCAGTCCCGTTTTCAGTCTCCATTATGTAGTAAGCCTGTGGTTCTGAACTGTGCAGGGGGGAAAAAATCTGTCTTTCTCTTCACTTCTGGGAATTGGTTGTTTCCATGGTGACACATGAGAAAATGATTTAATGGGTGGTTGTTTTTTTGGTGAGGGACAGGCCAAGAAAAGGGGTAATGGTGGGGTTTATGCATCATTGTCAGAAAGAGGGGACTATCATTCTCAGAGTCCCCCAACTCCTCTCCTTGATACCATCAACTACCCAATTCATATGAAGAATCTTTCACTCAAGGTATCCATCTAACTCACTGAGATTGAAGTTTTTTGTAATGTCATCTGTACAATTTTATTGACCATGAACAGTTTGAATTGTGTTATACATCAGGAGCTGAAACAACTGGCAGATGAGCTGAGGTCTGATGTGATCTTCAATGTCTCCAAGACTGGAGGCCACTTAGGCTCCAGCCTTGGTGTTGTGGAGCTCACTGTGGCTCTTCACTATGTCTTCAATTGCCCTCAGGACAAGATTCTTTGGGATGTAGGCCATCAGGTAGCGAAATAGAATTGCAAGTTGTTTGTTTGGTGGATATAAGGTTTCTGATTTTTTTCTCCAAGTTCCCAGTATAATGTTTGAGAACTATTATTCCAGTCATATCCTCATAAGATCCTGACTGGGAGAAGAGACAAGATGCACACTATCAGACAGACAAATGGACTTGCTGGCTTCACAAAACGGTCCGAGAGTGAATATGATTGCTTTGGAACCGGTCATAGCTCCACAACTATCTCTGCTGGCTTAGGTAGGAATAAACAGATACTCCACCAATCGTATATACTTGTCACTAGTGATCTCACAGCTTTCTTTGGTGTGAATCTAGAATGTATAGATGTTGAGTAATGTGATTGTATGGGAACAGGAATGGCTGTGGGAAGGGACCTAAAGGACAGAAAGAACAACGTAGTTGCTGTGATCGGTGATGGAGCGATGACAGCTGGCCAGGCTTATGAAGCCATGAACAATGCTGGTTACCTAGACTCTGATATGATTGTGATTCTCAATGACAACAAACAAGTCTCTTTACCTACGGCTTCTCTCGACGGACCTATACCACCTGTTGGAGCTCTGAGCAGTGCACTCAGTAGACTGCAATCGAACCGGCCTCTCAGGGAACTAAGAGAAGTTGCTAAGGTATGTGATGGAATTGGGAATCTAAAAACAATAGTGGGATAACATAGTTTGGAAAACTTGGTGCTGAACTTGTTAGTTGTGATTAATATCTATCTTAGGGAGTCACGAAACAACTTGGTGGACCGATGCATGAATTGGCAGCTAAGGTTGATGAGTACGCTCGTGGGATGATAAGTGGTTCAGGATCAACCCTTTTCGAAGAGCTTGGTCTTTATTACATCGGTCCAGTTGATGGCCACAATATAGATGACCTTGTGTCAATCCTCAATGAGGTTAAGAGTACCAAAACAACCGGTCCAGTCTTGATCCATGTTGTGACAGAGAAAGGCAGGGGATATCCCTATGCTGAAAAGGCTGCTGACAAGTACCATGGTAAATAACTTCACACAGTGATATTCTCAATTGGACACAACATATAGAGATTCATGTTTATCTTTTACATTTACAGGGGTGGCCAAGTTTGATCCAGCAACGGGAAAGCAATTCAAGTCAAGCTCTCTTACTCAATCATACACCACATACTTCGCAGAGGCTCTAATTGCAGAAGCTGAAGCTGACAAAGATATTGTAGCAATCCATGCAGCAATGGGAGGTGGGACCGGGCTGAACATGTTTCTTCGCCGGTTCCCTACTAGGTGCTTTGACGTTGGGATAGCAGAACAACATGCGGTCACATTTGCTGCCGGGCTAGCCTGTGAAGGACTCAAACCGTTTTGTGCTATATATTCATCTTTCATGCAGAGGGCTTACGACCAGGTAGTCCATGATGTTGATCTACAGAAGCTTCCTGTGAGATTTGCAATGGACCGAGCAGGGTTAGTTGGAGCTGATGGACCGACACATTGTGGAGCTTTTGATGTCACTTTCATGGCATGTCTTCCCAACATGGTGGTCATGGCTCCTTCAGACGAGGCAGAGCTTTTCCATATGGTCGCTACTGCTGCTGCTATAGATGATCGCCCTAGCTGTTTTCGGTATCCGAGAGGCAATGGTTTGGGAGTCGAGTTGCCACCTGGAAACAAAGGAGTTCCCCTTGAGGTAAAAACTCAGCATTACTAGTCAGCATTGCCCTTCTAATCTTGAAAATGAAGATCTAATTTATCCACGAAAAAAATCCTCCATTCACAGGTTGGGAGAGGGAGGATACTTATGGAAGGGGAGAGAGTGGCACTTCTGGGATATGGAACAGCAGTGCAAAGCTGTCTGGCAGCTGCCTCTTTAGTCGAACCTCATGGAATCCGGCCAACGGTTGCAGATGCTCGATTCTGCAAGCCACTGGACCAAGCCTTGATCAGGAGGTTGGCAAAATCACACGAGGTTCTGATCACCGTTGAAGAAGGATCCATTGGTGGGTTTGGCTCCCATGTCGTGCAATTCCTAGCTCTCGATGGACTTCTTGATGGCAATCTCAAGGTAGTCCCTCCATCTCTCTTTCTCGATTCAGAGAAAACTGTTTTTAAGTTAGATTCACATTGCTGATAGTGTGTTCGGAAAATCTTTTGGCGTTTTGCAGTGGCGACCACTGGTTCTCCCTGACCGGTACATCGACCATGGGGCACCAGGTGACCAGATGGTGGAAGCCGGTCTCACACCGTCTCACATTGCAGCAACTGTGCTCAACATACTGGGACAAAAGAGGGAAGCACTGCAGATTATGTCTTAGGTGCAGAGAAGCAAGAATTGTGCATCCCTATAATCTTATTACTTAGAGAAAATGTATAGAACTGTGAGTGATGTGGGAAGTGTAGGAATTTCACTGTAAGCTTCCAGCTTTTGTATAAAGAGAGAATGTATTAGTTCTTTTACATACCGGAAGAAAGATTCCATCCTTTTTGTGGGTTCAAAAGCTTGTGCAGGAATGTGATAGCAGTCATGGTCCAGTTGAGTTAAATATCAAAGCTTCTTTCTTTCCTGCAGTTTCATCAGAAGGGTATTCACTACTGGTAATCTGGTATGACTTTGTATATTGTGATGAAACCAAAGCAGGGAGACACGATTATAACAGCTTCTGACTGGCAAAAAGATGTCTTAACATTTTGTATACTAGAACAACTATGTAGATCAATAGATCATGGACTGGTACTCACTACTCAGTTGACATTCTAAGCCTGATAAAGGAAGTTTCAATGGAGCAATGAAACAAGAGGAAGGTGGGGCGGTGGAGCTGAGTGAAAACGATGAGGGGAGTGGGTTAGGACAATGGAGAGGGGCGTGTGAGCAAGTGACACGATGCAAGGAAAGGGAAAAAAGGAAGTGGGCAAGAAAAGCAAGAGAGGTTTTGTGCCTACAACAAGTCGAGTTGACTTGGGAATGTGGTGGTGAAATGGTGAGTGAGTGAGTGGATTAGGTTTTCCGGTGGATTCAGTTGGCTCATGTTCATGCACCAACACAACAGATATGGGGATAATAACGAATTGTGGACAGTGGCCAGTTGGGGGAACGCGTTGTTGTTGTGCTGCACGTTCAAAATTGTTAGTAAATGATATATGATCAATAATTGAACCTCTCTTAACATTTTGAGTTATTGGACCGAAAGGTCTTGTGTTCGAATCCCGATAACCCCGTTTATGAAGCACATGGTATCGTGCGTTAGTGAATCCAACAACTCAGTCTCCAATAACGACACACATTGATGCTTTTTCCCTAGAATCGTTGCTAGGAGCTTACATATTCTCATTGAATTTATTTTGATTGAAGTTTGGTTATGCATTTATTTTGACTCAGTTTTGTTTCTATTTTATGAAAGCAACTTTACCCATCAAATGCACCCGTAAACCTCATTAACTCATCCAACCCACCAACTATTGTATACTTGTAGTTGTATGAGTGTTAGTTATATTTTTTACTAGCTCATAACCCGGCTCGTTGGCCGGAATATTCATATTTGATTATTTTTATTTTTATTTTACGTTTAAGTCTATCAACCCGTTTAATTTTATTGACAATCCTTCGATCGAGATAATACATATAGAAAGAATATATAGATCGAACATTTGAAGAAATATAAAATGTATCATTGATCTCATTTTCATATTGATAATTAAGTCCCCGGTAAAATGCTATTGGTTAGTTTGATTATCAAGAAAGATAGAGTATCAAAGCTCACTGAAATTCCCTCACGAACCATAGATAGTTCGAAACTAAATTTTAAACCTCGCAATCCTACATAAAGGTTCAATGCTTTCATTTTATGAACCATATTCCACTAATAAAAAAGAAATAAAGAGTTGTTGATTCAAGTCAACTATATGCTAAAAACTCAGCTAAGAGGGGACCATCACAACTTGAGAGCAAACGTCAAATTAGGGTTACCTCCAATATACTAATAGACTCGATCAAAGTAATAAGGAACAAAATTAGACACTCCTTCTCTATCAGTTCCAGTAGGTTAAACTAAGAATCGACCGACCTACTTTAGTAAATCAATCGATGATTCCTTGTTTTAAGATATAATTAGGTCGTCATAGCTTCAAAAACCATAAACCTAAATATCCAATAGCCACCACTCTCCGTTGTACAATAAAATTTTTATCCACTATATCTTCAATCTCAAGGGGTATGTTTCAACCAAAAATTCAATTTTTAATCCTCCTTCGGGACCTCCATTTATTGAACTCCATTCTATTCGTCATTGATTGATATCGGAGTTGAAATCTTTTACTTGCCCAGTTTAAATCCCAAGAATAAAATCATAGTGCCAAGAGACCAGAAGATTGATTTTCAAAGGCGGCCTTGTAATGTGAAGTGAAGGGAAGCAAACTATTGCACCGCGGAGGGAATTTCAGAGGTCGTTAGAAAGAGATGAGAACAAAGATAATAAAGTACAAACTGGAAAATAAATTGAAAATGCAAGGACAGAACACGTAGTAATAGAATCAATTTCTTCCATGTTGGTCAATTACCAATTTACCTTTAGTGAAAATTAAGGAGAGAGCAGTGATTTTAGAATTGAGAAACTACATGAAACTCTGATATGAAAATTGAAGTATCAATTACCATAAAAATACATACGGTAGACTTAGTGGGCTTGCTAATCATGATGAAAAAGTCCTCTGATTTTCAAAGTGTCACTTCGTGTATGTTTTGTGTTAAAAAAGATACAAAAAATTTGTTTAGTGTAATTGGTTGCGATTGTTGTCTTTATTTGAAGAGACCTGAGTTCAAATCCTGATATTGACATTTTTTATATGAAATAAATAAAACTGTCCTTTCTACTTTCACTCTCGTTGCAGGAAATTTGAAATAGAGAAAAGTAGACAAAACTCTACTATATATTATTGGTGGATTCACTGGCTTACATGTGGGTAGGGTTGCTGATAAAAGATTAGTCGTTTAGCGATTTTAATTGATAATGGTGGTTAGTGGTTTATTTATAACCGATGATTATTCTTTAGTGATTTGGTTTCGGTTAGTTAATTTTGCTTAGTAATTCACCGATAACCGCATACTAGTAAATAGTAATATAACCATATCGTTTTGAGTTTTGGCCAAGGGAAAAAAAAAATGCGATTCAAGATCAACCATATGAATTCTCACCTATCGCAAACAACCCCCTACCCAAATCTCAAATCTGTGAAAGTATCAAAACCTGAAAGTCACCTCTTCCCAGCTTCCCTTTACAATCGACGGAGCGAACCTCACTCTCCAGTCGGTTTTAGTATTTTTTATGACAATATTTTATTATTAATGATAAAACCATTAAAAATTTAAAAAAAAAAAACACGACATGGGGAGATTGTTATTGATTAACTGTGGAATTGATCACTAACTAAAATCAGCAACTAACAATTAACGAATAATAGTTATCCATTATATTCAATCATAAGTAAACTTTGTTTACTCAGTCGTTAATCGAAATCAAACTAATTAACACCCCCACTTATAACAGAAATAGCCACGCATCGAAATCTATACACACACGTATCTCTACATTCTATCTTATATATCTACATAACCAAACAAGCGTTGGCATTCTCGTCGCTAAAAGCCGTGAAATAGACTTCATAACTCGGATGCCGCCACGGCCAGACGTAATAGTAGTAATCTGGATGACAATAATAATAATAATAATAAGGAACCAAAACTCCCGCCGGCGGCGGCGTCGTAGTAACCATCTCCATACCCGAACCATCCACCGCCCCTTCCCCGCCGCCGCCGCCGTCGTCAGCCTTCTCTTTCTGACCACCACCATCCTCCGGCGCCACAATCTCCGCCCTTCTCTTCCCCGTCTTCTTCCTCAGTTTCTTCAGAAGCTTCTGCGGGTCCAGATTCCGGCCCGTCACCACCACCTTGTGCTTGTGCATCTGCGTCGTGAACTTCTCCACTCCTTTGAACTTGGAGATGGTTTTCGCCACCAATCTTTCGCATGCATTGCAGTGCATCGGAACTCTGTACTCCACCACAGTTATCTCTTCTTCTTCTTCTTCTTCTTCTTTGGGTTCTTGTTCTTTCTCTGCCATGATTGTATATATGTCACGTTATTAATTGCATGTAGTACGAAAATTAGTGTACGTTGGAGAATAGTGAATTTGGTTGATTCTTGGTTGGCTAGCTTTTATAATAATTCCTAAAAAAAAAGCTAGCGACCAAACCCTTCCCAAATGCCAACCGCAGTTTGGAAAGCGGTTGAGAAACGTTGTGCCTCTTCCCTCGATTTGGATTTCAATTCTTCAAAGTTCAAACACTGCACACTGATAATAGCGAAGCCCAAAGGCCCACGAGACCACGCACTGATCTTTTTTATTCGTGAACTAGAGCCCACAAAAAAAAAATGTGATTAGGAAATTTGGGTCAAAAGGATCACCTATCTTTTTTTTTTTTTTTTTCGTTATTACAAGCGGAAACAATTAATAAATTAAAGCATTTAGAGGGAATTATATAAATAAAAAAAATGTTCAACCATTTAGAGGAAGACATCTCATATTCAATGCGGATATCACCTCTATTAGTTCTTGGGTACTATTATTTTGGCGACTATGGAAAAGTCGCAACAATGTTGTCTTCCTCCCCCACGCCCAGTTTTCCATCGCCTGCCTTCATCGTCAATTACTGTCACACCAGGCTGATCATCAAATTGCCATCCAGTCTCCATTTCTCGCCCAGGCACCACCACCTCGCCGACTACGTGCTCCACAATTGAGTTCCGGATTTCGGATTGCTGTGGACGGTGCGACATCATCTCCCACTCATGGTGCGGTTGGTATTGTTGGCTTTCATGGCGGTCAGGCTACGTTTGGATTTGGGTGTGCTCTACCAGGGATAATTGATGCTTCAACTGTGGAATTATTGGCGATCCGGTATGCTTTACTACTCCTTTCCCGTTGGGATGGTATGATCAACCTGTTCAGATTACTGGGGATGCACAAGCGGTGTTGGAGCGGTTACAGAATAATAATCCTAGTGATGTTCGGTGCGGCGCAATATATCGTGAAGTGTTATCTCTTCTCCACAGTCTACCTTTGGTTACTTTGGCCTTCACACCTCGAGAAGTGAATCGGGCTGCCCATATTGTGGCACGTAATGCCCTTCGCTATCCTGGTATTTGTAATGTATTATTTGATTATTCTTATATGGTCTGTCTTGAGTCCGTGTAGGGGTTGTAATTGCTGTGACCCCACAAGCTTATCTGGTTAATCCGCGAGGATTTCTATGACAAAAAAAAAAAAGTTCAAATTTGTTTTTGGTTCGAGTAAAGTGTGAGTGACTCAACAATCTGTCAGCCAACTCAGCGCTCTCTAGCTACCAGCCACATCATCAAAGAACTAATGGTGTTAATAATGGAATTTAACAATAAAAATGACTAACGATGAATTTTTTTTTTAATATTGCCCAGGAATCTCAGCCTCACATGCCACTTTATAACAGCGGGTCCTACTAAATTTGAGGGCCACCTGCAATCAGATTCGATGTCGACGGGGCTTCGCCCCCCAGCAGCCTTGTACCTACGGGAACACCAATGGGCCTCGCTTGGATTCGAACCTGGGATCTGCACCTCCCAAGCCTTCACTGTCGCGGCAGGTTTACCATTAGCCTATCTTAACTTTGGTACGATGAAAAAGATTTTAAAATGAGTGGCTAATTAAAAAAAAATTATATGTGAATGATAAACCGAGCAACCAATTGTATAACTTAATTTCTCAACCGAAAATAGTTTTATATTGCTCTCCACACTCATAAACTTTTCAGTTCAAAATAAGACTATCACTCAAAGATAGTAATTTAAGTGATTTAACACAAGGAATTAAGAGAAAAAAGGCGCCATCTTTGAGCGCAAAATCACCCCCCAATATTAATTTGTCAATATACCATGCCTAATGGGCAATGTAACATCTCCAAACATCATCATCATCATCCCATTTAATTGATAACGTGACAATTCTTCCTAATCTCTCCCGCACCAACACCACCAATGGCGCCCATCTTCACCATCGACTGACCAAACGCCACGAAGAAAAGCTCCCTGTTGGTCTCGAACACCCGGCTCATTCGAGCCGATCGCTGGTCGGTCAGCAGAGCCGCGTCGGACTCGAACAGCCCCTGGTTCTGTCTTAGAGCCGTGTAGTAATGCGTGTCGAACGAGCTCCCACTGCCCGGGTCCATCTCGATGGCAGGGTCGACGACGTTGTTGTTGGCTCCAAGGTTCGAACATTTCGCCCTGAGCAGGCTCGCGTAGACCCTCGCGATCGACGGGTCGGTGTCCCCCACGCCCGTGAAGTTGAACAACCTGTCGGATATCAAGCCACAATGACCCACCCCGATCGTGTGCGCCCCTGTAACACGAAAATTTCGTAGTGAGGACTCAATTGTTCAAAATTCAAAGAACAAGTACTTATTTGGTCGAAAAATAAGGATAGGGACTAAAAAGAATGTACTAAATTTTTTAGGTACCTGATAAGGCGACGAGATCCTGAAGATCCAGCCCTTTGTTCTTGAAATCTTGGAGCAAGGTGGTGAAGTTGGAAAAAGGAGATGGCAAGTTTGCTGAAGCTTCAGAGGATGAAGACACTCTGCCATCTTTCCTTCCAATGGAAACAGGCCACATTGGCCTTTTGAACTGGATCATATATTATCAATTAATTAGAATTAGATCAACTAATGAAAACCCATTACAATTAATCATATATCAATTGACTATTGAATGTCACATGGATTTGATTAATCATGATTATACTCTTGATTAATTAAATTAATCTACCTGGAAGGAAACAGCATCTCTTGCAGCCAGGGCAACAATGTCAGCACAGGAGACACTTGATGGGCAAACCACTTCTAGTCTTGCCTTGATCTCGTCGATAACCTCATAACCAGCCACCGTTTGGTTCGGAATGGCATCCTTCTCGGCTGAATTGCTCGCGGTCGAATCCAATAGTATCGATGCATCGCAACCCTGCAATAGTATAAAGATTCGATTTTGAAAATCTCAACGAAAGTGACAACGGAAAGTACCTAAAAGAAAACTAGATCGAAATGTTAAACTTAAGGAGAACATTTTTTTGTTGTTGTTGTTGTTACCCTAACAAAGCAGTCGTGAAAGTGGAGCCTGAGTAACTTGGGTGCCAAGGTAGGGTCAGCCGCAACCCTAGTCCAAGTGATGTTCCTAGCAATTGTTTCGAGCTGGGGACATCCCTTGACGTGTGGAGGCGAGTGATCGTCATCCTTCGGCTTTCCATTTCCTTTATGGTCGTCATGATCATCGTGTCCACGTCCTTTATCCTCATCATCCCGATGATGATCGCGACCCTGACCATGACCAGCAGCAGGATTCTTCTGCTGCTGGCCATGATGATGAGGACCTTGTCCGTTGGAAACGTGAGAGAGGACGAACATCGAAAGAGAAAGAAGCAAGAACGTGGTGAAGAACTTGTTGGAACTCATCATCATGATCACGCAGAATGGTATATACCAAGAAAGAAGTTAGTTGATGTTATATTGGAGATGTATTGATGCAAAATGCACAAGAGATTAAGTACACTTATATAGAAGAACTTGGTGCCGACATCCGCCATGAACTTAGGAGGTTTAATACAATTCCTTGCTGGCTGTAAGAACATTGCCAAGAAATATCAATGGGTTATGTATTATAAATTATATATGAAGAATGATTATTGGATCGAGTCAACTATGCATATATAGGTTAATGTTCCCATCGCGCGCCATTGTTTGAGAAGAGGTGATCTTTTGAGATTGAAGAATATATATAACTGATCCGCTCGAATCCGATCTAATCGGGTAGGATGAAATCCGAATCCGAACAGTTTTTTACGAGTACGAGTAAATTAAACTCGAACTCGAATATTGTGGGTAATGGGTGAACATGGTTTTCTCACTTTCGAACCCGAACCCGCCCGATTATACACATGCACATATGATTTATATATAAATGATCATTATTTTTCCCAACATATTTTATTTTTAGCATACAAATACAATATTTTCATGAAATTGTGCTATCTGAAATTAATTTTCTTCATTCAAGTGAATATTTTTCGTATTTTTCCACTTATATAATGTGAGTATATATGTAAATGTTAACATGTTAGTTGGAGTTATAAAGATAAATTAATATCCATGGGTCATGGGTAACCGTGGATACCCGAAATCCAAATGGGTATGGGCATGGTAATGATTTTCTATCCGATTCTTATGTGGGTATGGATATGGATACAACCCGAACTAGTTTGGGTAGGGTAACATAGATATGCCCTAACTGCCCCGACCTGACACATTGATCATAAATCAAAATAATTTATAGTATAATGGTTAATGGGTAACATAACATGCTCTTTGATAATTGAAGCGTCATTGGTTCAAATCACAAAAAAATATATTGTCTTTTCTTTTCAAACTCGAAGCTACGATACAGGGATCGATAATTTTTTCCTCAAATTTTCTGGGTGTCCAACCCTGATATTGTAGGGGTGTTAGTATCAGATGAAATCTATCTGTTAGATAATTCAATGTTATATCGAGAATTAGTTCAACTTAATCACTTAAATTGTTTGGAGAGATCCAAACAAGTTATAAATTATGGTTTTGAGGTGATATGCAAACGCTAACATAAAATCAATTTACATGCATCTCCTAATCATGATCCGAGCTAATGAGGCGGATGACAACAAAATGCATACGAAACAACATAGAATTAATTTATTTCACTTGTCTCGGATCTAAATAAATTATAAATTCCTTGATTTATATTAATTATTAGGGTTTTTAAAGCGAGTTATTAATCTACAGAAAGTACTCCACAAAATAAATATTATGAGATTTCCCCTTTGACTACCATGCATGAGTTTGCACGTCGCCAATAATGGTCACGCTTAATCATTATTATCTGTGTGCTACCATTCTTCTTCTACTACTACGTTTGAAACTAGCTAGCTAGCTTCCTGGAAGGATTGGCCTCATCTAGAGATTTTGTTCTGGATGCTGTGTATCCTAATCAAACAGCAAAGCAAACAGGAAACTTATAAGCATATATTTAAGTTGAAGTTATATAAATAAATATTGCTATGGTTGATTTTTTTTTTTATGTGGTTGGGGCTTTGGGTATGAATAGAATGGTACGATATGTTAAGTTGGGAGGAGGTTTTTCAAGACATGTTTCGTTAAGAAGAAAAACTAGTTTTTTTCTCAATTAAAATAAATAAGTTTTGTTTTGGGGGTTCACTAGTAAGACATCATTAAAATTCCTCCTTCTAAACTATTCTCGAGTTCAATTATCGTGGTCTACCATTTTGAAGAAAATTCTTTGAAGACTTAAGGGTAAAATTGTAAGCTCGAACTGGTGGTATGACATCCATGAATTTGCTTCATATTCATGAGTATCGAGATAGTATATCAGGCATATGCATCGGATTATTGATTCGAAATATTAAGAAGTTTAATTCTCTCATGCTCCACCCCGCCTTCATGAAGAAAAGAAAGCACACCACTCGCGCGCAAGTAGAACTAATCTGAAAAGACTTGAAAATTCGTGTGTAAGGGGAGATCGCAGATGCAACAGCTCTCGAAAATCTCTCAGAGAGGACACCATAGGGAATCTAATTGTCGAACCAGAAAGAGATCCAAGCACCATTTTACGTATCAAAGCTGCATATTTCCATAAAACTAAGAGCATCTATGCTTATGTGTTTTCAAACTGAACAACCAACAACATTACCATAGATCTCTACTTCACCATTTCTCCACATCGGCAATGGTGTAAGGAAATTTGAATGCTAATTAGATCATGTCATGCCACGATGAATCTTTCTCGTACTGTCAGAACAGAAGCGTGCAATCGATAATCCAAACCAACATGAACTAACACAAATTTAACGTGGTTCACTAACACAATGTGTGCTAGCTAATCCACGGACAGGGGGGGGGGACAAATTTCACTAATTTGAGGTGAGTACAGGTTACGAACCAAATTCCAAACGAACAAACCCAACAAACTAACCTGACTGACCTTACAACAGATTAGGGTGGTGAAGAGTATTTATAGAACTCTTCTCCTAATCCCAAACAGAAAACCAAACACTTTTTCCAAACCTACAAGGAAAAGGCCAAAACAAAGAGCAAACACAAACCCAAACAAAATAGGCCAAAACACAAAACAAACCCAAATCAAATTCAAGTTATATTCTAACAATCTCCACCTTGACTTGAATTCTCTCTCAAATACCAAATATACCAGACGCAACCAAAGTTGCCAAATGTACCCAAACGCGATCCATATTGCCAAACTTACTCAAAATGCGATCCAAATCGCCAAACTCATATGCAATCAAAATTGCCAGACGTACTAACTCCTCCAAATCAGCGGTACCAAAATCTCTCATGCCTCCCAATGCCCCTAAGGGCGGTCAACAACTCAAACCATTCGACAAGTCCAATCCATATTGAGACTTGCCATTCAGAACCAACTTGGTGCACTTATCACCAACAGAACATGTCAAAACAGAACCTTGTAGACAATACAAGGCACCCCACTTGGCACCTTTCAAAATCACCTTAGAACCCTTGTAGACAGACAACACTCCACCTTTGAAACTGAAACCCTTGTCGTCGAGTAGACTCAAAGATATCAGATTCTTAGTCATCTCTGGAATATGCCTAACATTGTTCAAGGTGCCAACATAACCATCATATGTCCTTATCCTGACGGAGCCTCTTCCAACAATCTTACAGATAACACCATTGGCCATAGAAACATGTCCTCCATCTATCTGCTCATAAGTTGAAAAACACTCCCTGCTTGGACACATATGATAATCAGCTGCAGTATCTAAATACCACACATCCTGATGATGTACATGTTTGTTCACTGCTAAGGCTAAACCATCTTCAGAATCAGAGTTAGTTTCTTCCGCCACAGCAGCAGATGATTCCTTCTTCTCCTGATATTTCTTTAGTTTAGGACAATCGAATTTCCAATGTCTTTTCTCCTTACAGTAATGACAGATATCATCTTTCAAACCAACAGACGAATTTACATTCAGCTTCCTATTACCAGATTGTTGTCTCCTACTACTCGTAGCAGCCAACCCAAATGCCTGATTTTCCGAACCAGAACCAGACGCCTTATGTCGAACCTCCCTAGTATGTAGAGCAGATCTGACATCTTTCAAAGACAAACTATCTTTCCCAGCAATAAAAGAATCCACAAAATTCTCATATGATTGTGGCAAAGATACCAACAGAATTAAGGCAGCATCCTCATCATCTACTTTAACATCAATATTCCCCAGATCTAACAAGATGGTATTGAGTTGATCTAGATGATTCCTGAGAGACGTACCTTCCTCCATACGCAAATCGAACAAACGTTGTTTCATATGCAACTTGTTAGTTAAAGACTGTATCATGTATAGACTTTCAAGCTTCAACCACAAGCCCGCAGCAGTCTTCTCAGCAGCAACCTCAGTGATGATGTCATTAGCCAAACAAATTAAAGCAAGATTGTAGAGTGAGCTTTCTCCTCCAAAGTAATCCACTCTTCTTCATCTATACTTTTCTTCTTCGATTTTCCAGACAACGGAGCCCACAAACCATGTTGTTTCAACAGTGCTTGCATTTTGATCTGCCACAAACTGAAACTGTTTCTTCTGGTAAACTTCTCAATCTTCATACTGATAGCAGCCATTCTTACTATCAAACAAACTCCAACCAAACTTCTCACCAAAAAAGCGAGACCAAAACACAACTACCCAAAGTCAACTTCAAAGCGATTCCTCCACCGAACCAAGCTAAAGAATTAAAAGCTACCTCCACAAAGCAAAACTTCAGTCCAACGCCAAATTCCCAAAACCGCAACCAAAGGCTCTGATGCCACTTGTCAGAACAGAAGTGTGCAATCGATAATGCAAACCAACATGAACGAACACAAATTTAACGTGGTTCACTAACACAATGTGTGCTAGCTAATCCACGGACTGGGGGGGGGCAAATTTCACTAGTTTGAGGAGAGTACAAGTTACAAACCAAATTCCAAACGGACAAACCAAACAAACTAACCTGACTGACCTTACAACAGATTAGGGTGGTGAAGAGTATTTATAGAACTCTTCTCCTAATCCCAAACAGAAAACCAAATACTTTTTCCAAACCTACAAGGAAAAGGCCAAAACAAAACCCAAACACAAACCAAAACAAAATAGGCCCAAAATACAAAACAAACCCAAATCAAATTCAAGTCATATTCTAACACGTACAAATCTCCAAAGTCATTTACCAAGGAGAACAGAGTTCATGCATCCAATATCAATAATATTCATTGCCCCTCTAGCCTTAGAAGCCTTACATAATCCCAGCTAGCCAGATAGAATTTATTCTCCTTAGCCCTGACTATAGGAACTAACTAGGAACTCTCTCTGAAATTTCCAAACTTCCCAATCAAACTTCTTTGGGGCTTTAAAAGTGACCCTTGATCGATAGATGAATTGGCTAGATAAAGTCGACTAGTTAAGCACAAGTCTTCCTCTAAAAAGACAATGATATGAATTTAAGCACAAATTTGCCTCCAGAAAGACAATGACATGAATTTCCACCACTTCAATATTTTCTAAATACGAGTGAGAATGGAATCCTGGATGGTAGAATACGATGTATTCACTAAGGGGCAGACCAAATATATCGCTGGAAGAGGATTCGAAGGACGCCAAAAGATATATGCTAGTCTATCTACATTCATTACAACGCCAACAAGATACATAATCACTTTTTTTATATTGATTTTAAGCCATGTAACAACTTGAAACATACCAAACTAGCAAGAACATTCAATACTTTTTTCTTTGTTAGAATGGCAGAATATTATTGTGTGATCTGTAAAAAACAGATAAGCTAGTCTCTCATCGATTCTTCGTGCATGCAAAATCATTGTATGTTCTCTCGACTTACTAGACACTATGTCATAAACATTTTGTAGAAATGATGTATCAGCCAAGCGCCTGTAGCTCAGTGGATAGAGCGTCTGTTTCCTAAGCAGAAGGTCGAAGGTTCGACCCCTTCCTGGCGCGAAAATCAGTTTTTCCAGACAACTTTGGTTTTCCGAAAGGCCCATTTTTGCGTTGGATTCTTGGCAGGCTGTAGTGGAAATGAATCTGGGCCCAACACTATAACTGTAAGTGGGTGAGAAAATTTGCTTGTGGTCCAAATCAATGTTTGGGCTGGGCTAACCCAACATTGTCCATCTATGATCTAACCCATCAGAAAACAGAACATAACATTTATTGACTGTTGATATTGGTCGGAGGTCGGCGAAGCAAATTTAATGGTCAGAATTCAGATCACTTAGACTATATTATATTTTTGAAGTATACCAGTCTTTAACAACTAATCCTACTTTTATCAGTGTTGAATATAATACAAAAAATCACTGAGAAGAGAAAAAAGAAAATCAACCACTACAGTTTTACACACACATTCATTGAATAAATAAGAAAAACTTACATATAAAACACCCCCATGTTGTATAGCGATGTTTCAAATAAGGCCAAATATTTCCTTTGTATGAACAAGAAACTGAAAACACTTTCCAATCAAATTTATATACATTACTGTCAAGTATTTGACCAAGCTCATAACTTAGTATGAGAAGTTAAAAAAAAAATGGAAAATTATGTACTCAAACAGAGAAGAAAATAATCTACCGACTAGTCGATTTCAGAGTTTTCATCACAGCTGATCAGATATACGCACATTAATAACACTTCAAATTAGATGATTAAAAGCGCCACAAACCCACCTCTAAATCACATGGTGTATGCATGGATGAAATCAAATAACTCCTAATTAAAAGATTTCAGTAAAGGCTTGGGTATCCTACCGCCAAGCAAGTTTCCCAGAAGAGCCTGTCTTCCATTCTGTCCATCGCATCTCTGCTCATCACCACCATCACCTTCCTACCCTCTTCTTTGTTAACACTATTACTCGATCTCTCTTCTTCTTCTTCTTCCTCCTCCATTGCAACCTGACAATGATCATGATTATCCTTAAACACACAGCCTAATCCACCATTAATCCGGTCGAGGTGAAGGTCGAGCTCTAGCGTACTGCTGCCATCATCATCGTCCTCGCAGCTACAAGACTCTGCATCATCAATAACAACAACATCATCATCATCATCATCGTCGTCATGGAGATCGTCATGATCATCTCCATAGTGATGATCATGACGACATAGTTTGGTGAACCCATGACGATGATGATCGAGTTGCTGCTGTGGCTCGTCATCAGAATCTGCACTTCCCTCCACAAGAAGAAAACAAGAGACGTCCATCGTCATCATCACCATGATCCAATTGCCTTAATTTGTCAGCTTATTGGCCTTTCTCCTTCAATGGAGGGGATGAGCTATATGGTTCTAACTTGTAAGTAGTTGGAGTGCAATTTATATATATGGTGGATGGTAATGGAAGCAATTAAAGAAGGGATGGGGGTTGGCTTCTGGAATAGAAAGTTGAGATTTGGTCGGCCAAAATGTGACGATGACTCTAGACAATGCCACATATCATGATCACTTTATTTGACTAGAATGCTCGTGTTTACTAGGGATTAGTTGTGTATTTCAGTATTTGTAAAGCCATATTGTATCGTATTGATTGGAGAGCATATCGGACATGAAAATTCATACGACGTCACCAAAGTGTTTGGGAACTAGTTTGTAGCGCTTCTCCCATTAAACCTTAAATGTTAGCTCATCACTACCACCACCTTCTATTTTGTGGGAGTCAAGTGATTACTGGCGTTAATATACATCAATATATTCACTATCGACTAATTATCTTATTTTTTACGGTCACACCAAACCGTAAACGATCGTGTATTTAAACCGCATTCGCGTATTAAATGCCTAGCCAACCAAACACTGCATCACACCCTCACATATAGCTACTATTTGACAGTTTTGAATCCAGGAAGAAATATTGTTTTCACACTTTTTAGTGATGATGAGTCAGTTGCTTGCTTGCAGTCTCTAATTTGAATTTTGGTGGGTTTCATGTCATCTGGGAATGGATCAGGTCAGTAACCTTATGGTGAGTAACCATGAGTAACCCGTCCACATCAGCATGACATCAACATCCTCTCTCATGGAAAGCCTTTAATTTTTCCCTCTTTAATCTTTGACGGACGATTTCTCGCTCATTTTAAGTCAAAATTTAATTTTTTTTGCACAGTTAGATCAGATTAATTGTGCTCTTCAAAATGATATCCACTTTAATATATTTTTCGAACAAAAAAAATTGAGCCATTTTTCACCAGCCTATACCATATGGTATTGACTGGTATTGAAATAAAAGCATACCTATGTTTTGAAAAACGTACCATGGTGTGGTATGAACAAACCAATACTGTAGGATGGTTGAATACATGATAGTAGAAGTATATTAATTGTAATTTACGACTTTTAACATTGTATACCACACAATACCACCCCGTACCAGGGTGGTATTGTATGGTATTGTGTGGTATTTTTTGGTCCTGTAATTTGTTCACCCAGAAATTTGTAGATCCAATAGATCATGATGAACTCGTCCCTTCTGTGCAAACGTTTTCAAAAACGAATTAAAAACGAAGAAGATACCATACAATACCACCCTGTACCAGGGTGGTATTGTATGGTATTGTGTGGTATTTTTTTATCCTGTAATTTGTTCACCCAGAAATTTGTAGATCCAGTAGATCATGATGAACTCATCCCTGCTGTGCAAACGTTTTCAAAAACGAATTAAAAACGAAGAAGATACCATATGGTATGTAGTTGGTACCGAGAGGCCATAATTTTTTTTCCCTAAAAAAATATTGAAAATTGATCTCATTTTGTAGAGCACGGTGAACTCGTTCCATCTGTGCAAAAAAAATTAAAATCCGAGTTAAAACGAAAAAGATATGAGTCAATTAAGAAAGCTAGTGAAAATAAAAATAGCCTTTAATTCTCCATCCTTAGATCTGGATTTTCTAAATGAAGGGTCCAGATTTGGTTATTGATGGGTGCATAACCCATGGTTATGCACCCTATCTTGAGCCATGTCATCTTCTATTGAGTCTTTGGGTCTTCTCTCTTTCAAACAACAATCACAAAGCAATCTTTTTGGGAACTGTTGGAACAACTTGTAGGTGTTGCCTCCATAAATGCTGACACTAATGCGTTCATTCTCCGCCATTAGTAATTTGTATTGTTCAAGCACCCTGGTGTGCAACGGTTCGATTCGGTACAAATCTAATCAAATTATGAGAATTGCAGTCCATTAGTAAAAGAAATTTGAGGATCAAGAATTGAATCATCACCGTATTCGATTTGAGTCCAGATATCAACTCGGTACATTTATCTTCAATATTTTAAAATTCATGAGACCAATGATCATATCGCATTATAGAAGTCTGGTATGATCAGATCGGTGTGTACAAACCATCGCACACTCCTACCATTCATGTAATGTAATTATCAAGGATTTTAAAACCGTATTGGAGGTTGTACCGGGAAAGTTAGTTATATGGTATTATATGTTAAGTCTGGTATGATTGGACTAGTACGTACAAACCATCGCACACCTTTACCATTCATGTAATTATCAAGGATTCTAATATCGTACTAGAGGTTGTACCAAAAAAGTTAGTTGTATGGTATTTTGTTCAAGCCATAGTTAAACTATGGTTCCACATTTCACACCTGCCTATCGATTTAAATTCCAATAAATGAATTTTTATGATCGAACCACCTGTACAATACGTTTTCACAAATGCTGGTAATTATATCAAGTGCACTCCTTTTCTCTTCTGAGTTTTGGTCCTTCAGAGTCTCTTTCATGAAAAGAAGGGGCACCATTCACTATCACGTGTGCACGGACGGATCACTTGATTTGATCCTTCTCATGTGGGATTTGGTGAGTAATTAATTGGAGGGTTCTAGCTAATTGTTTGATTAAGAGGGTAATTATAAAAGTGAACCCACATTAGAAGACTAACTCCACACAAAAAAATTCCATGTTGTTGAGCATTTGATCATTTCTCAACCGTGGGTTTTGTTCCCACCTAACCAAGTTGATCTTGGTAAGAGATATGATAAAATCCCTCAATTAATGACCCTTGTAATCCGTCGAAGAGAGTGATATAAAATCGATAATATCCCTCTTCTATTGGAACGAGTTGATTTATAACAATAATAACTCTCAAAACAATATCCATTGATTAAATTACCAACTCTAATCTTGATCAACCAACTTGGCTCTGAGATGAACCTATCAAGCAAATAAAATGCATTCTTGTCCTTATTCCCAAGGAAATTGGTACCATCACGATTGTGAAGAAAGGAAGACAAAATTACATAAAGCATATGCCAACAGAGATGAAATGGCACTTGAGGATGGATCTACCGACGCACCCTCAAACATCACAATCTTCAATCTTCATCCCTTAAGATTTGGTACAAAAATAATCATGTCATTAGAGCTCTAATCAACTTGCGATCAACACTAATTAATGTCCTCCACTACTGACCAGAAGCTCCAACAAGAAGTTCATGAATCCTAACCCCTCTTTTAATGTCGTCATGTCTATATCATTCACAAACTGATCCTTCACGCAACAAAACAAAACAGAAAAGATGGCAAAAAGTCAAGCTACCTAGCTTCCCTGGGAATGTTTTTTCATACATCAACAATCACATCGAAATGGCAAATACTCAAATGTTACTCTCTTTCAAGACTTATACAAGGAATCAATTGAATGTTCATGGCTTCATCCGACATTCGACATCCGAAACATCAAGAACGATCCAACTAAGCAGTGGGATTCTCAAGCAGAGAATAGAACCACATAGTGCCCTCTAAGGATCATAAATAGAGAACTAACTGAAGTTCAACCTAAAAAAGAGAAGCTAAATATGTCTGCAGAATTCGGATTGAGTACTTGGTTGTTCATTGTGTGTAGTGTACCATATAGCTATAACACCAAAATTAGGGGGAAGGAGAAGACAAACACTGTAAGCAGCAGCAACAGGCAGAGAACAGGTGAGAGAACTACTCCGTAGTCAGTAGGCAGACTGAAGTAGTCCAGCTGGATTTGCTCCACTTTGGGCTCGGGTCGATTTGAAGACCATCAGGCACTCTTTTCTGACTGCTTCTCGTGGTTTCTCCATGGATTCAAAGCGTCTCTCATCGCCTGAGCTTCAGGCGAATTCTCCCAAGCACGTTTCTCGGACTCCAGAACCGTCACCTTATCATCTATACGAAGAGTAATAAACACAGCGAAACCCCACATCAGAGACAATAGAAGATTACACAGCAAGACAAACTAACAAAACCGACTCTCCAATGGCAATTCACAAGGAGATAGATTCGATAGTGTTCAAGCTCTACCAGCTAAACATTATGAACAAAAATCCAACAGCAATCCGAACTTTTTGTCAGGCTATTGTTATCTTGTTTCTTAAAAGTGATGGAGTAAGACAGCGAATGCGGTTTAAGATTCGATAACTGAAGTAGAAAGATGGCTGCTTCTCCAATTCCCTCTCACAATGGCATTCACTATTCCAATTGAGAAACTAGTTAACTAACCCAAGAGATTATACGGTATGATTTAACAATAGCTTAAACACCATGAACACACCCAAAACCCTAAAAACAAATCTCGCCCAAGCAATTAACGGTACAGAACGTGATTGAAAAAAGAGCTAGGTGTGTCCCCGTAATCTAAATGACAGCACTAGAAAATAAACAGTTCGAAGCATCGATTAACAACGCTAGGTGCAGGGAATCGAAAAAACATGTTCAAGGAACGGGGAAAGGAGAATTCTCACACAGAAGCCCGTCTTGATCATGAAGAACTCCATGGAAGCTCCGATCAAAGCAGAACCGGCGGCAATCTTCACATACCAATCTAGAAACTTCATTCTCAGCGACGGGAAGGAATCAGGAGCTCTGGTAAACAAACAATCTACGATGGCAGAGCTCCAAACTGAGAGCAGCTACCTTTCTTCGATGATGACGACTGACGAGTCACGGCTTTCTCGCGAGTCGCGAGGGATGGTTCACGAGTTGATGGAACGAGTTCAGTCGCTGGGCCGAACTTATTCGTTTCCTCCACAGCGAGTGGTGGGCCGCTGCTGGGCAGGGTTCCATGGGCCGTAGCTTTGGGCCTCATTTTCAAGTTTTTTTTAAGGCTTCATTGCAGTTAACAGAGGGATCTTTTTTTGGTTGTCATAACAGTTAACAGAGGTTTCAGTTAACTTGTTTAGGGATATAGTGAACATTTTTTTACTCTCTTTCTCCAACGACCAATCATAATTATTCATTACCAATATAAAAAAAAAAAAGTTAGGTTTGGTTTTAAAAAAAGTAGGTGAAATTTTAATTTTTTATACGACTAATACTTATAAGAAATTGGAATTCACCATAATAAAAATTAGATTTTAGCCGATCAGATGTGAGGTATTTCATTCGGTCTAGAGAACAACGCAACAATCCTTAAGAACAATATTATCAACGGAAAAAAAAACTTGCTAATTAGCACATCAACACTAATGCATATTCTATACATATAGCTATATCTTAATGCACATGTAAAATTAAAAATCTATTGTGCTGATGAGCTGACTAAATAAGCATGTCTCAATTCATAATAATAAGAAACATGTTTTTGATTAGTTAACAAGAACATTCTTATTATTGTATCTACAAAATGCAACCACCACTCCCAAAATTATGAATAAAGAAATCGGTTACCACTGAATATTTTACTAGCAAATGCTTTTTGGAATCAAAATATGGACATAGATTTTTGACGAATTGATCATAAACCAATATAAAATAAAGCATCGCCATCGTTCTCATTTTTTTATATAAGATATATATGTGAACAGGTCTTCTCCTACTTCTAACACAGTCGTCAACCGCCGGTCTCGTTTGAGAGATTCCGTCGGCCGGAGTTATTATACACTTCACTAGCTAGCGTCACTGCCTACTTGGAAAACATTTTCTCTACCCCTTCAACTTAAGAGTGTTGGATAATAAGTTCATGAGATATAAATCAACAATTCAATGTTTAGGTACGCATATCGTTTATACTTTATAGCGTTAGATCATAGATCTGTTGATAATGTATTTTAAGAATGTATTTTTTTTTTCTTTTTTGTAGTCGTATCGTTTTCTTTTGCAACTCTAGGTGTTGGATAATGAGTGATGGAAAATCATATAAATATTGACAAGACAAAATGACCACAAAATCTGTTGGGTTTTCTTTTCTTTCATATTCTCGTTTTCATGTTTCCTATATTAACAACAAAATGATCATGTAGATCATACCATTCATATAAACTCAATCAAATATCGTCAACCCGATATCAGTCTGTAACAACTTATTATGATCACCAAACTCGTGTAATTGAAACAAAAAGTTATGAGCACTAATATAGTGCATATATGCACATAAATCTTCCAAATTCAATCATCAAGAGTACAAATGAATAAACATTTGAGAGAGTCATACAACTTGTAAATTAAACTATTTCAGTTTTTTAAACACAAATTGATTATTTGAATATCTCTTGACTTGTAAATTGTCCCAAGATACCCATTATGTCAAGAATCATCAAAACATTGATAGCAATATATAACTAGGCATATTATCATGGAGACACATCAATATAAAAATCTTGACAACTATCCATTTCCATAATAGTAGGAATCCCAACATTACATTTCCGACCATGGTACCTTTGGCTTAACCTACTTTTCCAAACACAGAAAATAAAGAATCAAACAACCCTTGAGATAGAGACTCACTTTCTTTCTAAGTTTGTACTTGCATTCCTCATTATTCTAATGTGCCTTTGTATGAACTAGGAATAACTCCGGCTGCTATAATGAGACGGCGGAATGAACCTAAATTACTTGTATAATAATGATTAACAAACAATTCTATAAACTCAAGGCCACAAAGCAAAGCCAAAGAATAAACTAAAGGCAGGAGTTTGTTTGTCTCCCACCTTCCCATCTAACCAACCAGTTTCCCAGAACAAGAAATCAAGTTTAACATTTGTTTGAGAAACTGGGTCATAAAGAAGTCATAAACCCAGTTCTTGTTTAGGCTTAAAGGTCCCTTCTTTTCCAAGTTTTCTACAGTGGGGAAATTTGCAATTTCCTTTCTGGTCTAACAGGCCTTGTAGTCTTGTGGGTTAGTCTAAGTTGTCCTGACGTGCTTATTTCTCTTTCTTTCTTCTTTTCGGGTACTGATAAGTGTACTGCCAGGTAGTAATTTGATGATTAGAGATTATCAATTCTTCTGGAGGTTCATTTCCCCTGCAGAAAATCCTCTCGAGATCTGGCGAAAAACGAAGTATGCAAGCTCAGTCTCAGGATGTAGGCGGTAATGGAGTTGGTGATCCTCGGGCTTCATCATCGTCATCATCTTCTTATTCACAGGTTTTTGTTCAATTGTTCCCTCGTTGATTCTTTCATTTCTCTTTCTTCCGTTCACAGTTCAAGTGGTTGTCTTTCATCCTCTTTTGAGCTAGATGTTGATCTCACTTTTCTCTCTTGTTCTTGTGCTTTTTTCCTTTTCAAATGAATCTGTTCTGTGCTTTTCCCCCATCTTGAGCAAGGACCCAAAATGAGGGTATTTCTTGATACCCATTTGGAAAAGTTACCAACTTTTTCATTTCTCCCATCAAAATCTCTGCTTTCAGTTTGTCTGGTGTTTTGGTTATTGGAACTTCATCCAATTTGGGTGACCCATTTTAACCCCAGAAGAAGATATTCGAACTGTACTTCTGGAGAGCAATTTGAATGTTTTTTAGTGAATATGGCTGCATGATCCGTTTTAGGAGAAAATGGTGCGGAGCTGGATGAACTATCGCTATAATGAACCCTAAAATTTTGGACCCCTTTTGTCTTGTTGTTCTCCACATTGGATGAAGCCCATACTTCAACAGTTGTTTATAACATCACTTTGATTCCCACATTGTAGGTTGATATGGGCAATGGCAGAACATCTAGTGATGAAGTTAATAGGGCAGGACCAACCATTCGGAAAGCTGATCTTTCTCTTAATATACCACCTAGACCAGTAGGTTTTGGAGCTAATCGATTTGGGAAAGGATTGATGAACTCTCAAACTGCTGGCTCGTCGTCGTCATCATCGAGACGAGGCTTGCTGAGGGCATTAAGCTTCAAGAAGAGAAATGGCGGTGGGCCTGAGGGTGAGAGGAGCTCTCTGCTCAACTCAGAAACCTATTCACAACAACCTCCAGTTAGTCCTATCATTGCCAATATCAAGTCTGCATTTTCCAGATGCATATCACTTCCACCTGCTTCAGCTTTGTCTCCCACGGTCGCAGTTCAAACGCCTGCTTCAGCTCGATTTCCCTGGGAAGTTCGTGACTCAGAGGTAAATTCAGCTCTCTACAGTGCTGCAATGTGTCTACTTTTGTTATCTTAGTCATAGTTAGGCATTAAAGATTGTGTGATCTTCGACCATGGTTATATTGTCATGTAGAGGAGAACAACTTGGTTAAGGGGATTCTTCGTTTTCCTCTTCCTTTTTTTTCACAGAATGTTGTAGTTTCAAGGTCTCTTTCTGTTCCTGGGCGGAACTTTGTCATTGTACGGTCTACATCCTTTGCTGCTCCGAGGCAGCAAACCCCTAGAGACTCATCTAATGGTATGTCAATATCACATAATGTTCTATCTTCCTTCATTTCCATAGATTTCAACCTTCTCAAACTTCATAGCTGCGAGTTCGAGCATTTGTGGCCTTCAAAATGTCTTCTGAACATAGAAATAAGTATAACGAGTTGATTCCCAGAACTGAGAAGCTTAGAAGGGAACATAAGTCTTTCAGACATGAATGAACGATTTTATACACTTGCAGCACAAAAAACTTCGGAGTCCAATGAGGGAGATGATGATGAACACATACCAGAAGAGGAAGCGGTGTGCAGGATCTGCCTTGATGCGTGTGAAGAAGGAAACACTCTCAAAATGGAATGTGGATGCAAGGGTGATCTCCGACTCGTACACGAAGCATGTGCTGTCAAGTGGTTCAGCACCAAAGGTAACAAGAACTGTGAAGTCTGTCGTCAGGAAGTCAAGAACTTACCTGTGATCTTGTTCCGAGTAACGAGCTGTGCCCAGTTCAATGGCAGGGAGTCACCTGGTGGTGGCCAGAGTTTGAGGGCTCAACAAATAAGGTACGAACTTCAGGGTTCTGTCAAATGCACAAACCCCTTATCAGCTTGTTTTTTTTACTGAACCCTTGTCTCCCCGTTTATGGGATTCTGCTGCAGTGCCTGGCAGGACTTTGTTGTGCTCGTCCTGATTAGCACGATATGCTACTTCTTCTTCCTGGAACAGTTACTAGTATGCTTACTTTGCTATGTCTTATACACAAATTCACTTCACTGTTTCATACATCTTTATCACCAATTCAGTGTCTTTAGTAAAGGATTGGCATTTTGGTAGATCCAGGACATGAAGACACAGGCAATCGTGATTGCAGCACCATTTGCATTTGCTTTAGGCGTCATGGCATCGATATTTGCAGTTATCCTAGGTACAGCCATCTGAACCTCAGTACACAATTGAATGTGATCAAATCAATCTCCAATTCTTAACAAAGGAGATGCTTGCACGAAAATTTGCAGCGATCAGGGAATTCATATGGACATACGCTGCACTCGAGTTTGCACTGGTAGCTGTGACCGTGCACCTTTTCTACTCCGCTGTAAGTAACCCACTTATCATCTAGGAACTAATATAACATGCATGAGTTAATCCATCGAGCACCGAACATACCCCTTTCTGCATTTATCTTGTAACAAATTAATTCAGGTCGGGTTGTGGTTGTTTCTGACAGCTCGATCTGGATGCTATCTATGCCATACTCCTAGCAGCAGTTTTCGGGTTTGCAGCGGCTATGAGCCTCAACTCGTTGTACGTTCAGTACTTCGTCTGGCGAGCTGAGGCTGCTCGAAACGCTGTCTTCAATGCTTCCGCGGTGTGACTTGGACACTTCTTGAGAACCCTGAAATTTGCGGTGCTGAAATCTGATGGGAATTGGTGGATGGTAGCAGAGGTAGCGTTGTGTATAGCCTTACAGACTGGTAAGGGGTTTCCAGTTTCTGGGCTTGGAGATATAGTGTGGTAAAATGCGACCACAACTGTAATTGTTTTATCGGATGTAATTACTAATTAGTGACGGAATATTTAACCTATTCTTTCTTTATGAATTCCATTTATATTTTTTCGGCCGAGAAATATATGCTTGTTGCCTGAATTGGGACATGATTTGATCGTTACCAAAATTTTCAAACACATGTATCAAACAAAGACCAATGACTCTTAGATTGATTCAAACTTATTCATGAATCATGAGACATTACACTTGAAACTTCAAGGCGTGATTGTCCATAAATTATATATTCATAAAAGAAATTGTCCACAAATTATAATCTTATAGCTTCTTCTTTTTAAAGAAAAAAAAAGCGCTAAAAGGTGCTCCTACTTGGCACTTAAATAAAACGAGATTGAACAATATTATTTGTGTCGTATAAAAACCAAAACTTGAGCACTGAGTTCTGCTTATCTATAGCTTGAAAGCCTGCGACAAATGAGTAGCCCTTGTTGGCGATATAACTTCATAGCTTCAACTATGGTGGTAGTTAGTATTAATCTGAGTTTCTAACTATGGTGGACTTGTTCATAGCTTCAACTATGGTGGTAGTTAGTATTAATCTGAGTTTCTAACTATGGTGGACCAAGTTCGAGAATTTCGAGAAATGTGAACTAAGTTTTAAATAAAGGAAGTTAATTAAGATTATTTTTTTTCTTTTACCCTTTTCCAAATCTATGTATTTTTTCAATGAAAGAAACAAAATTCACGTATTTGTCTCCTTTCCCTCATACTTTTTTTTTAATATCATTGTGGATCTTTCTCCTTTTTGTTTTCTTGCAAGTACAATAGGACATGTTCATACAATTTCCGTTATTGTCTTCCATAAGATCCCAAAGAGCCCATCTTGATTGCTTCTTCTGCGAGTACCATCTCCAATGTACTCGATTTTGTGTTCATGCGATAGAAGGATTGTTAGCTTCAAGCCTTTGCCGTTTCTTAATTATACCGTTACTCTAACCAGAATTCATGGATCCGAATCTTTACATTCCATTTATCATTTCGTAATTTTCAGCGAGATTCATACATCTCATCCACAAACTCACTAGTGTAACTACTAATTAGCAATTCGTAAATTCGTGGATAAGCAAATTCGGTCTCGTCATTAACCACATCCACTAACACAATCTTGAGAGACTGAGGAAGATCGAGCTGGTTCGGTGTCGGCAGAGGCGCAAATGACTGGATAGAGCTTCTCCCTAATTAAAGAACATAACATGAAACACCGTCACACAAGGCTTCTTTTTCTGGGTTTGTCCGAGTCACACACTTTGTGACAGAACATACGGATAATACGACATTCACCAATCATCAGCTTTTCCTGATTACCACAAAAAATATAATAATGTCGGGAAGAATTGGCAATGTCCTATGGCACTTGAACTCTTCCAATCCAATAACTCCATTAATCTAATTTCACTGACCTTGTCTCTTAGTGCTTGCTGCCATTTGTTCATATGATGTTTCCTTCCAGAACAAACACCTGATGGTAACTGCCAATGTCTCTCAAGTTCTGTTTCAGCAAAGTGAAAACCGAGAACCCATTTCTCAGAGATTTCAAGCTCTCTAAAGTTTGTTGTCAAGGAAGGGAAGAGAAGAAAAGCTTACAGATGCAAGGTTCTGATCCTGATGTAGAAGCAGCTTCAGATGTCCAGGTTCGTCTTCTGATCTCGTGGTGTCGTGATCTGGTTTGATTCAACTGGTGATCAATCAGCCAAGTTGTTGGCTTCTCCATCTAGTGGGTGAATCTGTGTGTATTGAGAACACAATCTTGTGACCTGAAAAGTTCAATGACACTAAACTGAGAAGTATTGAAGTAGTAGTACCTTTGATCTGGTTCGACACAATCACCGTTCAATCAACCCAGTTATTCCGTTCGGTTATACATTGATTCATTGAACCAAATGTCCAGGATTTCCTTAAGCTGACCATCCTCAGGTTTCGTAATTCTGTCAGGTTGATCTGGAAAATGGGTGGCCGATCTCGGACGTGAAAGTTTCAGGGCGCAGCAAAAGCTCGAATCTTTCGATCGAGATCCCAATTGGACCAGCACCTTGTTATGCCGACAGCTGCATTGGGAAAGCCATACTCCACTGCCACAGCTTGCGGGTCAAGATCAACAGCTCCATATTCGACCTCGGCGGCGGCGGTGGTGGACGGAGGAGCTTCTGCCTCAGTTCACACTCCACAGCTCCTCCGGACAGTCCAACCAAGAACAGACAATCATCCGTGGCACAGCTCTGCTGGCGAGAATGCAAATCGCTTCCCGCCACACCCACGTCTCCATCTCGCCCTTCTATCTACATCTCGGCACCAGGCTCAGAACGCCGGCCGTCCACCCAGAAAGACCAGCAGCTCCTCGTCGATCCTTCCAAAGGTCAGCCACGCATTTCCACAAACACCTTGCGTGCAACGCAGTTGTTCAATGACGCATTTTCACAAACAGCTTCCGTGCTTTCTACCTTCCAATGAATTCATGTTCTCCCCTTCCAATGAATTCAGATCCAAAGTTCCCAACGATCGTCATCGACAGCGGCCACGACAGAAAATTTTCCGAAGACGACGAAGCCGGGATCTGCAGGATCTGTCTAGACACGATGAGGGAAGGGATCAAAATGAAAATGGCGTGCAGTTGCAAAGGCGACCTCAGGCTGGTGCACGAAGCTTGCGCGGTGAGTTGGTTCAGAACAAAAGGGAACAAAATCTGCGAGATATGCGATCAGGAGGTTACCAATTTGCCGGTGATCGAGTTTCGGGAAGACAGCCCCGTGAAGACCGAAGAAGAAACCGAGGACCTAGATACCCAGAACTGGGCGATGAATGAAAAAAGGTAAGAGCGAAAGCCACCTACTGAGCCTCTTCTTCTTCCAATGGCGGCTTTTTCTTTCTGGGTTCTGCTTAAAGTTTCGAACTTTGCAGTTCAGTGCAGGAGTTTCTGTGCCTGGTGCTGATGAGCACGATAGGGTACTTCTTCGTCCTGGAGCTTCTACTGGTATGAAACACTGTACAACTCCATAAAGTTCAGGGTGCAAAATGGAACTGGATTCAAATCCGATGATGTTTGTGAAATATTTCTGAAGGTTCAAGAGAAGACGTCTCGTGGGCTCTCAATTGCAGCCCCATTTGCGTTTGGCTTGGGGATTCTGGCATCAATCTTTGCAGTCATCCTAGGTACGTTTGTCAAAAGAAATTTTTTTGACCCTCATGGTAAACTTCCAAATTAGTACCCGGCTCGAAAAAAAACTTGATCTCCGAGATTAGGCCGGCTCATGATCCGAGCCGCTTATAAGTTATAAGCAGTTTCACGGTTTGCTTGAAAAATGTTTTTCTAAACTTAAACCTGAACTTATTGTAGGTTATTATATTTGTCACGCTCGTTGGCTTCTTTATCTATAGTTTGAACTCTGAATGCAATGCAACTATCTTCTAACTCAATTTAGTTATGACCAATAAAAACTCAATCACATCTCATTCCACTACTTAATGAGAGAAAAATTGTCATTAGATGTATTGTATATCTGACAATTTCGGAAAACTTTATGTAGGAGTGAAAGAGCAAGTATGGAAATATGCAGTACTAGAGTTTGCGCTCGTGTCCGTGATAATCCACCTCTCTTCCATCATGGTGAGCACACTCGTGCCTCTTCTAACAAGATTCGAAAACGTGAGATTTCGAATAACAGCTCCAGGTATAAGCTAGTTTAAGTCACTAAGCTCTTCTGGTTTTGGGTTTGTTTTTTTGTGGGCAGCTAAACGTGGAACCAGTGTACTCCATAATGCTGGGTTCAGTTATCGGTATGGTGTTTGCCATGGGCATAAACATCTTGGTTAGGCATTGCACTACTCCAACTAACAACGACATCTAGAAGTTTTGGAGGATAACTGTGGTATTCGATCCAGTCTCCACAACTGTAGATTTTCAGTTCAGATTCATCCATCTTATAGAAGCAATCAGCTAGAGTTTGTTGGTGCCAGTTCAGTGCTACCATTGGATGCTTTTGGAAGACAAAACAGTATAGAAAGCATGTTACAAAAGGGCATTATTTCATTTGTATTCATTCCCTAATGGTGTTTTTTTCTCACTATACTATATACCACAATTCATGTGGGAGCCAATGCGTTGGAGCTTGTTTGTTTTTCTGTTAACCTTGATGTAAATGAGTGCTTGTAAACAACCTAAAAGAAGAGAATGAATATGCTTACGATTCAGTCGACATCTTGTTGCCATTCATTCCAGACAAAAGATTTGGTGTTTGAAGTCTCCATATTAAAAAGATCATGCGATTACTTCCGAAAACGGGTTATCAGACATTAGGACAGCTACTTAATAGATATAGTCGTTCTCTTGATTTTCACTTGATTTTCGTGGCAAAATATGTACTAATCCAACTATCACGTTAGCATATTAGTCCAAAATTCAGTAACAACTAGCAAAGGTGGAACCATGAGAAACAAATACCAATATCACTGTTTTTTTTCTTTGGGGAAAATGGGCACATTTATTGCATTTTACTAAGGATCAGAGAATCCACCAAAATTTACAGTAGGACACGAACAGAAACAGGAATTACAAGCTCCAACACAGGGAAAGTAAGAGGAAGAAAAGGGGAGGGAAAAGAGAGACCTTGGATTTACTTGTTCTTCACAACAGGAGTGAAACTATGGCCATCTTTTTTAACCCATATAGTAGATCGGGTTCTCTTCACATGATCCAAAAAGAGCCTATGCCTGTTTGGCAAGCATAAGAAAACCAGTTAACTCCAATCTCCAGAAGCATTTCTCACTGGCAAATGGTGCAGAAGAAGAGGGAAACTAACTAACCTGTCGTATTCTAGTTTCCTCGTAACGATTCCATTCAGGAGCAGCTCTGAACCGTAGACAGCAGCCCCTGGAAGCACACAGCGAAAACGTGTGACAGTAATTCTATTGAACATCTGAAATCGTTTGTTTCCCTGCAAGTATGAGATAGCAGGCATAGTAGAGGTATGGCTGTACCTCTCTCAAGGAAAGGAATGCAGACTTCGTAATCTTCGTCACTAGATAGAACCAACAGGTCTTCGATGAGTGTGTCGTCCTTCAGAGCAGATCTTCCAACTCTCTCGATCGGCTGAAAACGAATGCGGAACATACATCATAAGAAAGACAGCACCAGAAGTTAAGGGATGAACAAAGCTAGCCGAAACCAGACCCACGAAACTAACCGACCAAATGAAGGTTTACAGGCAGGGGTGATAGTGGGATTCTGGAGTACAATTTTAACTACGGTGATAATCTGAACAGCCCCAAACTGACCCATTATTCTCTATTCATCAACCACCAACCCTAAGAATCCATATCTCCATCCACTAAAGCTAGCTTATTAATCATCGCCTAGTCCTCCATTCTTCTTCTTTTTGCTTCCATACCTTTAATATTTAAGCTTTTCTTGTCCATCCTAATCTGTTTTCAAGTTCTAGTATCCGTCATAAGGGATCTATTGAGTTAGTAAAATCATTAATCGAACAAATGTGAATGGTTATACTTTTTGGGTGTTGTGTTTCTCTATTGTTATCTCTAATTTGACTATATTTTTCTCCAGCCAATAACAGGTTTCGCAGCTTCTTTCTTTTTAGTTAGATGATGATCGTTGTGGTTTCCACCTAGACTGGCTTGACCAAACTAACCCAAAGTTAATAATAAATACAGAGGTTTCATCTTTTGGCGATTGGATTCATATTGCTTGAGATGCAAGGGTAAGCAGAACTGGAAAGCATCAGCAGTCCAAAAGAAAAGTTTTTGCGAACAGATAATCATGGCAACTAAGTAATACCATGCAAAGACTGAATACGTACTTGACCATGAGCTGCTTTAACCAGGCCAGATACGATCTCTTTACTGGGCTTGGCATTTTGGGTGATCAAAACTTTTCGGCCCTGCTAAAAAACTGTTACTTCAGCAAACAACTGCCAACCAGTACATAACAAGACTATCCCAGAGGAAGAAAAAAGTTCGTCACCTGGAGGAGTTGATGCTGACGTGCATGTTCTAGTGAAGCCACCATGTTGAACCCTATCTCCTTTTCCTTTTTGATATCTTTCATTATGTACTTCTGCTCATCAATGTAGCATTTAGCTCGTCCGATATGCTCAAGCCACAAGGGTGTCACCACTGGTTTCCCAGCAGCAATTGCTTCCAACATATTCCTCGTGCGAACAAACCTATCTGTAACAAAGTGTGTTGCGTCGATAATAGAAGAGGCGATTGGAACTTTTAAACGATCCACAATCTGTAATACAACATAAGAGGCAATTTCTTATTATAAACTATCTAACTAGATCAGTAAACCGAGCTAGTGGAGCCGACAACATAAAAAATGTCACTTTTTCAAGCAAAACCTAAAATAATCACAGCCTGTACCTTTTTCTGACGCTTGATGACATTCTCATTAAGGTGGTGACTGAACAGGACTCGGATATCAGCCAAATCTCTCCTCTTTCTCGAACCTTTTTCTTCAGAAATAGGTTCTGGGTCCATGGAGAATAAGCTATTGATTTCCCTCTTCATGGAAGATGTATCCAGTTTCTTCTTGGACAATCCATTTCCCATACAAATAGGTGATGCAGCATTTGTAATAGTTGTATTAGTAGTGGTCAGCGAGCCTAATGGTGAAGCAGCAGCTGAAACTGAAGGCGGGCTTACTATTCCCCTCAATAACTTGTCAGGCGTTACTACATTCACTTCTTTCTCAGCCAACAGAGTACTATCAGTATCACCATCACTTGATTTAGCAAACTTTGCCTTAGCTTCATCATTTGACTCCTTGCCTTTGGGCTGCTCTAAGAAGTTCCTTTCTGATCTTCTTTTTCTGGGAAAACTGATATCATGAGTCAAGGCTGTCACCTTTGACTGGAGACTGTTTGGTTTTGCTGGTTTGCAGGAAGTCAGTTCTGAAGTTTTCCCGCCAGAGTTCAAGGCTTCAGCAGGAGTCTGTTCATGGCCACACACTTCTTCCCATGCACCATCCTTGTCTTCACTGACATAAGCATGTCTACTATCAGCAGTTTCCAACAAAGAGACCAAATTGGATTTTCTAGACTGATGGGCTATTGTAGTATGATCAGCATGCTCCTCGGGTGAGTGATAATTTTTAGCTGACCGACCTCTCCTTAAAGCAGTCCCTTTGCTTTCGGGCGCTCTAGTCCTAGAGGGAAGCTTTTCCATGGTTTTCTGGCCACAAGAACTTGAGCCTTCCGCAGCACAAGATTTCACTCTCCTTCTAGTCATCATTACTGGACCTGCATCACACTCCAAGTTAACCTTCTTAGCATTGTTCTTCTTTCTTATATTTGACTTCCTTGTGTCGGCTCCAATATCAGAATTGTCATCAGAAGCAAATTGCTTTGAAGAAGCTCTCTTTTCAGCTTTTCTAATAGGGGAATGTTGAAGAGGGTGTTCTTCCTTGCCATCCTTACCATCACAGTCAGAGATAGGATCCCCATTTAGCAACGCTTCCATGGCATCAGCAGCTAACTGCGTATCTAATCCTACATCAAGAGTCTCTGGAGTATCAGCAGCTAACTGTGTCTTCCTTTTCTTTGACTGCCTTGTGCGAACTCCAATGTCATAATGGTCTTTAGGAGCACATTTCTTTGAAGACACTATCCTTTTAGCTTTTCTTATTGGAGAACCTTGTTCTTCCTTGGATTCCATGGCGTCAGCAACTTTTAACTGGGTCTTCCTTTTCTTTGACTGCCTTGTGTCAACTCGAATCTCAGAGGTGTCACAAGAAGCACGTCGTTTTGAAGAAACCCGCCTTTTAGCTATTCTTATTGGAGACTGTTGCACAGAATGAATTTCCTTGGCATCATTACAATCAAAGTCCGGAACTGGGTCCCCGTTCAGCAATTCCTCCATGGCCTCAGCAGCTAATTGGGTTCCCAATCCAACATCGGGAAATTCTGGATCAAAAGCGATGTCTTCAGGAGGTCCGGTTGGTTTCTTCCTATTAGCCTGGTCATGAAACTCATTCAGAAGATCTTTTCTGGTGTTCTTCGGAATTCTCCTAGTTTTGCTTTCGGGTACCTTGAACTTCTGAACTACTATTTTGGAATCAGACTGTACAGTAGTCACCTTATTCTCAACTTCAAAATTCCCTCGATTTCCCTTCTGTGGGTTTAATCTGCCCTTGGGGTTAATTGTCAACGACCTGGCACCAAAGAAATCGTCCTTTCTTCTAATGAAAATATCTCCACCTCCCTCATCTTCCAGCCCGTCATCCCAGTCAAAGATCCCAGCTTCTACTTGAATGCTTCTTTTGAGGGTTTTCTGGGCCAAACTTTGTGGGCCTTTGGCAGCTGATACACAATCGGATATTCTCCCACAAGTGTTTCCCAGATTAACCTCAAAATCGAATGAGGATTTGGTCTCCTCAATTAACCTTTCGACAACTGCGAGTGCATCAGCTTGTGATGCATCGCCCGGTTCTTGTGAGTCTATATAACTTAATCCTGCAAACTCATCATCAATAGTGGACCGTGCAATTTCTTCTACTCCACCAGGGATGCTACTAGGATTACAGATATCGCCATCTTTAGCAACGGAATCAGTAGAGAACAGTCTTCTCACTATAGATGAATCAACCTTGGACTTGGTTCCATTCTCCAGTTCCTTCTCTTGGGAAATGTTTTGCCCTGTCTTAGATTCCCAAATTGTTTCATTACAACCACTTATTCTCAAAATGTTCTTTCCAGAAGCTATATGCTCAGAGGAAAGTGGGACAGATTCTGGAAGAAGAATAGAGAGACATTAGTAGGAATATATGGCACTCATGTAAATAAATGTTTGGAAGATTATGCTAGAAATATACAGAAAAGTTCCTGATTATCATAGCTTCAGAATGCATCCACAAGCCTTCTAGAATGGGCATATTTTTCCGAGATTACTTTTAGCTAACCCAACCTATTGATGTAACAGACATCCGAAGCAACCTTCTGAAGACCAGATTTAACAAAAGCATGAGTCACTTGAGCAAGCACTTCAGTCAGATACATTTAGAACCCACGAGAGATACATGCACAATTAGTTTGCAGCTTATTGCTTAACCTAGTTCATCCAACATATCTAGAATGACAAAAAGGAGAATATCCATAATGAAGGCATGTAACTTAGGAAATCGAGCCCATGACAAGACGAAAAGATTTTGTTTCGACTGTGAACCAAAACTCAAAAAAAGATCTCACGCTTCAGAAACACTCACCTGAACTGGGCTTCTGGTTGCACAAAGCATTTGCTTGATTCACACACTTATCCCCCATCAATTCTTCAAGCTTTCCTCCTCTCCCAGATTCATCATCAGATAGCTCATCATTACTTTCTAGAAGTTCAGTCGTGTCAGTACCTTCACCGTCGCTATCGAGAGACACTTGATCACTGCACTCATCAATCTTCTGAGTGCTTGTACTCCCAAGGAAATCTAGATCATCGTCATCCAATACTTGTGTTTCATCCCCGTAGTTCACAACTTGGGTCTCGAAAACATCTTCAACTGGAACAGTATCATCAAACGAAACCTTTCTTGTCTCCATATACAAGTCATCGTCATCATCATAGCCACCTTTTTTGCCTGATAAATCATTTTCCCCAGCACAAGTGAAAACAAAACCCCTAAAAGATAACAAATCAGATCACTATCTATGTTCATGATCAGGTCGGTCCTACATAAAATCAGACTTGCTTCTCATTGTTTCTCCGACGAAAAAATCCTTCAATTTGGAGTGTCGAATCTCCATCGTACAGAACCGGAGACATACGAACAGTTCTTTTACCCTAAATCGACCGCTCCACGAAGAACAAAGCTTCGCAAAAAAGGATGCTATGCAGTCAGTTATCAGCGATTACCTGGCGAGGAAGGCGGAAAGCATTGAGAATCCAAAGGCTGAGTATCACCGGCGGGGAAATCGGCGCTCGAATAGTCATCCGCTGGTCGGACCGCACCTCCGCCGCCATCGCCAATGGAAACCATTTCTTTTCACCCCCTCAGTTCGCCGTCGAAATCGAAAAGAAGACAATCAGCAACTCTACAAGGGAAGAACGGGGAGGAAGAAGAGTAGCGCCGCGATTACAGTCCAGAAGGAGAACAATTGCCGCGCGGGAAGGTAACTAGTGCCTAGTGGAGTGAGAAACCACAGGCTTTTGCGGAGCTGGAGAGAGAGAGAGAGAGAGAGAAACAGGCAGATGGGTTGCGGTGGCGCGTTTTTTGGAGGGAAATTTGGCCAGTAAAAGTTACGGTGGTATATAGTTTATGTATATACAGAACTGAAAGCTGTCAACATAAGGGCATTTGGTCTAGTGGTATGATTCTCGCTTAGGGTGCGAGAGGTCCCGAGTTCAATTCTCGGAATGCCCCAGTAGCTAATATATGTTTTTCTGTTCAGTTGCTATTTTGCAGAGTTGGAGGTGTATTTTTTGTACTGTTAACTCCATTATTATAAATGCATATGCATGAAGATACCCGTGCTGCTAACTAATTTCCATAGTGAACCTGCCATCCATTTTCATTCCACCAAACAGAAAATCTGCCAGAGGCTTCCAGACTACAAAACAAAGTACACTATTCATGGGTGATCTCTGCATGTCCATCTAAATCTAATAGTCCTACTACAGCCACAAATTAGAAGGTCGACAATGAAAACAGATGATACATAATATAAGTTTAAACTGGAAAGCCGAGAACAACCCTAAAACGAAAGCCGGCAGCCTTGAGCCTCTTTGATCAGAAACCATCCCTTGCCAGCATTGCTGAACATTCAGGTGACTCGGTGAAAGGCTGTCAATTAAAATACCGAACTGGCAATGCTCCTGAATCAAGCTCCCAGAACCCCTTCAAGCTGCCACCTCCCTCGTTTGTTAGGCGGTGAGCAGGGATCTGGTGAGAGAACCGAAGCAACTCGGACATCTTCACCACCACAGCGGCTGATCGTCCCCTGTCTGCTCGAGCTCTGAAAACCGAGTTGAAACCTTTCACGCGCTCCAAATGCAAGACTCTGATCTGCAGATCATCTCTCTCAACGACTTCCACCACGTCATAATCACAGGTCGCTAACTCGGACATCAGAATTGAGTGAGACCAGTTTCTGTAGAGTGCCCAAATCTCGCCTTTTGCGGGGAGAATGTTGTACTCGTTTATTTTGCCAGCTGGTTCTGCATTCACCAGGTGAGAAAAGGGTCCAGTTGAGTCGTAGCTTATATGTGCGTTACTGCCCTTACTGACCTTGAATCTTCCACAAGAAATGGGCATTTCCGTATCAGCCCACTGAATTGACCCAGTTGGTAACTGAGCAGATTCAAGCCAGGTAACGTGAAAACGGACTGATTTGCCTTTGGTGACCCGGGTAACTCGTGCATAGTACTTGGGCAAACTGTCCTCGTCACTGTACAAGGACCAGATCTGACCGGATTTGAACTTCTCTATTGCTTTCTCATCATCGAAATTGAAGAACTCTGGGTCCAGGATTTCTTGATCTGTTGCAAGTGGAGAACCAGGATCTTCAGCCTCGTCAACTCCAACATCATCATGAGCATCATTGATCTTGATCTCCGGAGCAGGAGAGCTTGCCACTTCTGGTTTCACTTCGCTAGCACCGTCCTCCTGGCATTCAGAGATTTCAGGAGCATCAATTTCTTCCATTTTCTCTGGGAGAGAAGCTGTATCAAGCTCAAATGAACCCTTGGGTACATCTTTTCTCTCTTCACCTGTCATGGTAAAGGATGGCACCAGGTGGGAGAATCGAAACAACTCGCTTGGCTTGATCTGGACAGGTTTGTTGCTGATTCGGCAGAAGAGACTTACAAAGCCCTTCAACTTCCCCAAGTACACTACCGAGACACCCACATCATCATAACTGAAGTCGGACAACACTTCAACAAAATCATACTCAAACTCTCGACGATTCTCATCGGTCTGAATCTCGGACTTCCAATTGATATCCCAGTTCTTGAACAGAGCCCAAATCTCTCCCTTTTTGGGAAGTATTATGTACTTATGTTGGTGGGAGCCTTTCTCCCACTTAGCTTGGTGCGAAAACAATTCACGGTCTTCAACATCTTCATCTTTGCCAAATTTGAACTTACCACAACAAACTGGCAGGTCAGCTTTTGCCCATTCACGTTCGTCAGCATCATCAGGTTCAGGTTCCAGCCATCTGATCTTCAGCTTGAAACCACTAGAAAAAACTCTATTGATTCGAGCATGAAACCTGGGCATCCCGTACCTGGTGTCATATAGAGTCCATATCTGCCCGGATTTAAAAGCCTTCTTATCACGGAGTTGGTCAAAGTCATTGAACTCTGGATCGGGAAGATCAAACGTCTCTGTGTCTACAGCAGATGGCTGGTTTATCTTCTCATCTTCATCCACTACGCCATCTGGATTCAAGTTGTTCTTGTCTCCAGCTACAGCCCCTTCAGAACCCTGCATATCTTTCTCGGATATATCCTCCCCCACACCATTCCCAACATCCTCTTCCGTATCACACTTTGCTTTTTTCCGAGGGGTAGCAAGATCTTCCTCGTCACTTTGATTTTCTTCTTCGTAGGAAACCTGGTGTCTACTTCGAACGGACCTCCTTGGCTGCTCCTTGTAACTTCCCAAATCACCAGCAGCCTTCATTATTGTTTCTTCATCGGTGCTACTGCTGTCAGAATCTGAGCTTTCAATGAAATCATCTTTCTTCCTATGTCTCGATCCATTTGCCTTCCCCCGACCAACCACATCATCATTAGGTTTCTTTTGATGTGCCACCTTAGACTTCCCTCCACTAGTGTTCCCCTGGGTTCCAACTCCCACATTGGCAGCATTTTTAGGAGGAGCATCCTTCGGTTGGTGAAACACTGGCTGTGTGAACTTTTTTGCTGTTGGCACCCCTTGTGCACTCCGTTCATGTGCTATAAAGGATTTAAGACAATTCTGACATACAACTGACCTATCCTTGATATCCATATAGTACTGGTACCTTGAATGACAAAAGGGACAGGCAGTCCAGAAGGTTGGACGGTTATTAACATACCCTGCTTGATGTTGAGTTGCTGCTGGCTGTTGTAGTGGCCTCTGCTGTTGTGGTGGATTGAAGCCAGGAACATTCCCCCTGACATTGTTAGGGGCCCCAAAGGTTGAGCTGTAGGTTGGCATCTGAGGATTCTTGTATGAAGGTGCAGGTTTGCTCACAGAAGCTCTGCACTTCAAGTCGTGTAAGGACCTTTTCCCTTTATCTAAGAGAACTCTTTGTGCTTCACCAATCAACTTAAAGGCAGCTTCGGCACCAGGGAACTTATTTTTGTCAGGATGAAGTAGAAGAGCAAGCCTCTTGTACTGCTTCTTGATAGCGGTGTCATCAGCAGTCCTCTCAATTTTAAGGATACCATACCAGTCCATCTCGGTCCCCAATATCTTCTGCTCAGCAGCACAGTGTACATCACAGATAATCAAGAACTGAGAAATGTTATCCAAATTGGTGTAAAGCTGCTGAGCCTTGATAGCCATTTTCCGGGCCCCTACATAATCCTTGTTTTGCAACTTGGTCTCGGCTAAATTTTTTGCCCTGATGGCCTCTTCTTTATTGCACTCCATCAGTTAAATCCAATAGCCACCAGGGGACTCCACTGTTGAAGGCTGATTTAGAAACTCACTCTAACCAGCAACAGCAACACAAGATAGCAATTTATACAACCCTCACATCCACCTACCTCTATGCCCTGCATATTTTCATACAGGTGTCAATGAGACTCTATCAACAGCTCCAGAGACTGACAATATGACCATCATAGATACAATAGAACTAATCCAATACCCAGGAAGAATATGAAGCAAAATACACCTTTTAAAGACTTCACTATAGTCATGGTCAACATCACAAATGCATTTGAAAATAGGAACTCACAAAACAATGAAAGTCATGGTACGAGAACATAATATCTTCCCCGACCAACTGAAAACACAGAACCAATTGAAGAACACATTCTCTACTTAAAGCTTGACACCAATGCCTCCAGGAGAAAACATATACGGATATACCCATGTTTCTGAGACATCAAGCTCTGACCCCAAACTGAAGAGAAATATAAGAAGTGAAATAGAACCCACTACCAAAACCCAAATACGAAAGATAGAATTTCACCAGTGCTTCAGCCAAAGTTCACTTGACAAACTCAGAGGTTACGAACAGATTATTCGTAACCTGACCCGTTCCAACCAATCCCAAACATCGAATCGTCCCAATCCAAGGGGCCACAAAGAAAACCCTGAACCCCCATGAGGGAAGACGGTCAAAATCTAAGACTCAACTCCAACGACCCATAGAACTGCAGGACCAACGCGGTAGACGCATGCAAAACGAAGAAAACCCACAAAATGGGAGCCTGGAAAGTAACGGAGCTCAAGGAGAATCAGTGATTTTTGCGGCGGAACAACTCAAATTGCGCGCAAAATTCAGGATTAACAAAGGCTGTTGATACTCAAAACTGAAGAATACAGCCAGGCAGAAATTCAACATGAAATCCAAAGTTGAAAGAGAGGGAGGGAGAGTGAGACTTACTTGTTGTTTGTATCGTTAATCAACTCAAGGAAGATGGACGAGGAGGGAAGAAAATTTCGCGGAGCTGTGGTTCGACCTAATTCGTTCGTATTTAAATTTTGGGGCGATGGCGCTCTTTTGGAAATAAGTCAAATGCAAGGGGCAATTATTGGAAAAAATTTCTCTATAATTGCAAGTGAGTCCTTGCATTTTTTGAAATTTGCGAATTTATTTAGGTTATATATACTTTTGGTCCTCGAGCTTTATCATCGTTGTTATCGAAGTCCCTAAAAAAATTATTCCTACTATTACCCCTCGATTTCATATGTTTTTTTGTAATCGCGTCCATTTGGTACATTGATGGTTACTTGTAAACTATAAATACTTACTTGGTGTTGAGTCAACATGACTCGCTCTAAGTCTGCCCTAAACAATTCGAGTTTTCTTGTAAGTTGTTGTAGCTCCATCCCTTTTGCCTAACCTATCACCATCCAAACAATCATATCGAAACATTTATTTGATACTTTGTAAACTATGTATTTGGAATTTTGATGAACTTTTAAGGGAGTGGCAGATAAATAAAGGGTCACATAATAATCGGGCCTTTACGAGCTGCCTAGACCACACGACATGATGGGTCGGGATCATTCCCTGATAAGTTGTCCTCTTTGGTCTAGTGATTTTCTTCCATTTCTTCGAAAAGATGCTCTATTACCTCATTCTTAGTGAAGTAGATTGCGCTTCCTCGTCTTCTTTCCGTGCCCTCATAAAATGAGACTAGGGAAACACCATTGTTTATGCAATGCATGTCACAACTTGACTTCCTTGAATTAGTGATGGGCAAAGACCTAATTGAATCGAGCATCTTGATTCACATGTCGATCAAGTAACCTGATCTTCCCGAATGATACATGGCGAGCATCAATGATGTTGGTGGAGGTGCTCGAGACGACAAAAAATTGCAAAGAATTGAAAAAACAGAGTTGGAAATTCATTGGCGAGCTGAATATGGCCATGCGCACGAGCGTGCTCGGACTCAGAGTCCGAAACATACACGAAACACTGTTGTGTTTGGAGTCGTGTTCGGGTGCGGCGACAACTCAATTAAAGGGTAAAATTAAGTTTTTTTTGGGGGGGGGTCTTGTACCCCAAATACTCAAATGATGAACCCTATAGAGGGAGAACGATCCTAGAGAGTCTTGGGAGTGAATCTCATTATAGCTCATGGAACAAGTATATAAGAGGAGATTGAAGATCAATAGAATATTTCCATCATTATGAAGTCAATCATCTTATTTTATGTATTATCTTCTCTCTCAATGTAGTACACTTCCTTTCACTTGGGTCTGAAGAACCCTAGTCATGTTTGTTTGATTTGATGATTGTATGAGTACTATTATTTGTTAAACTCGATTTCATATTCAGTCCATGCATGTTTACTGTTCGATTGTGCTTTAATTGAGATTATTGATTCGGTTTTGACCTATGAGAGGTAATACCTGATTAGGTTGATAGAGCACCATTGATTGGAAGATCGGGATCGAATGTGTGAGAGTGAGTCCATTCATTGTTTTGTATTAGGTGGAAGTCTTACCCAATGGAGGGAGACTACTTCTAAATTGTCTTGGTATTCTATCATCGTTGAGGGTGATATCCCTCAAAGCAGTCTATTTAGGGAGGGTATTGTCTGCTTTAATTGAGATTCAAGACTTGTTAAGGACTCTTTGCATTATGAATGAATGGTGAAATAAGTTTGAGAATCATAAATCATTCATCCGACTAGTGGCTAGGGAAAATCATACCTTAGTGAGTTACTAAACTGTAATCAGTCAGGTTAGTATTTTCTTTGTTTATTATAGTAGTTTAAACTTACGTAAACCTGTATTTGCTACTCATAATTCTAGTTTCCCATTCATCAAGAACTTCACATATGGACTTTTGCTACTCATAATTCTAGTTTCGACCCATAAGTTTGCTTGTATATTGAAAATCGAGTTTGCAGATTAAAATACAAGCTAAAAGGATATAGATGTCATATGGTGGCTCTGTTTGGATTTTTGAGACATTAACTCGAGTGGGATGACAATGAGTCGGATTGGGGCGGATAGTGCATATCTGTTACCCTATCCAAAATAGTTTGGGTTTTACTCATATTCATATCCACACGAGAAACGAGTAAAAAATTAAAATTATGCTCATACCCGTTCGGGTTTCGGTATCCACGGTTATCAATGAGTAATAATTTATCCTTATAACTCCAGCCGATATGTTAATATTTACACGTATGCTCACATTACATTAGAGGAAAAGTACAACAATAATTCACTAGAATGAAGAAAATTAATTAACACAACTCAATTTCATGAAAATATTATATGTATATGCTACGTTAGAGAAAATGATGATTATTTCTAGACAAAATACATATCATGTGTATAATCGGGCGGGTTCGGGTTGGATAGTGAAAAAAACATGCCCACCTATTACCCGTACCCACTAAAAGTACAGTATCGGTATCCCAATAGCAGATATCAAAATCCCGAATGCCGAATTACACCCTAAAATCAACCCCAATTCCTAAATATTTTGGTATCTCAATCATCAGTATTTCGGTATCCCAATTGGTATTATCGAATACGAAATTAATTACCTTTTCAATTAATAAATAAATATATAAATTATATTTTATTGTTTAATTTATGACAAAGAGAGTAAGCAAAGAGTCTTGAGTTTTCCTAGAGCTAGGATATGGATAAGGAGAAAGGAGGAGAAGTGACATCTCAAGTTACTGTCATTGGTGATCTTTAATTTGATGAATTGGAGGTTGAAAGAGGACTAATACTAGTGTTTGCTTTTTGGTTTTATGAAAATAACAAGAGATTGAGTGAGAGACGAGAGTGATTTAAATTAGAAAGTCAAATTTGAGTTGGATGGGGACTTCTAAGATGTGAAATAGTGATGAAATGATGTATGCATAATTAAATGACATTCTTGGTGGTTGAGAGTCGTGTAGTAGTGAATGAGAGAGTCTAGTTGAGACTTGAGAAGATAAAATACACACTAGTTTATATTTCGGTATTGATTGGTATTTCGGTATATACCGATCCCGATCTCGTAATCCCTAATACCGAATAACAATTGAAATTCAATCCAAATCTCAAAAAATAATATGTGTATTTGATAATACCAAATATAGACAAATTCGATATAATATTCGGTATATTCCAAATACTGATACCAAATTTCCAGGATAATTGACATGGAGTTAAAAAAAGAAAAATTTGCGGATCTAAGAGGCCTTCATCGATCGTGGTAATGGATGCCAAACACTCCACCCCCACCTTCACAGAATTTTGTGGACTGCCATTAGCGGCGGGGGCAACTTCGGGATATTCTTTTTCTTATTTGCTAACAAGGCCCTCCACTTTTGCTATAATTATGCAAGTTTACAAAGCACCGAGTGCCGGAATAGACCAAAGAAAATGCAACAATTTTATGGTACTCAAAGTTAGGAAGATATATACGATCACTCCATCACTAATTTTTGGCAAAGCCCATCTTTCTTGGCGGAGTTATCATCATCTTTTCATAATTAAAATATATAAATAAATATAATTTATTATACACAATTAAAATTAACAACATCCAAATAATTCGTTCATAGGTAAAGAAATAATAGACTAATACAATCACTATTTTCATAAACAATCACAACACGTTTTATATTAAGAAAGAATCGCAAAATATGTTCGTTGTGGTTGTCGGGTCGGAGAAGTCGTTGGCGGAAACGAGGACAAGAGAACATCGCCGCTTTGCTGCTTCTTCAGGTTGCTAGGAAATATGCCACAGGGATAAAATATATCATATTTGGAATTTATTTCAATTGAGAATTTCGTCTATAGTATAAGAGATTAATTACGTGTCGATCTAAGGACAAGAATGAGTTGTATTACAGTTACATAAAACTTTTAAACAATCTAAAAAATGATGGGTTCAACAGTCATACGTAGAAGTATACAATTTGTTCCAAAAAAAACTTACATGTGCCCTGTAATAG